AGTAGGATAAGAATTGACTATGTACGCCGCGCGTCCTTCGACCAATCACACAACTCCGCGCTCATGCCACTTCAGGGAATTACTACGTGTGACACCGTCCTACAGACGACCCCGCAATGCCCCGACGAATTATGGCTATGCTAAGAATTTCATTGGCCGATGTAGTTTTGCTCTAGGGAGGAATGCTTATAGCAGCAGCCCCCTTCATTGATACTGGTCTTGTTTGTGCACTTTAGCTTTGCTCCCATACTCCTGCAGGACTAGCACTGGATACCGCATCAGGCATCATCTACCTATTATCACTCTGTATGCGAACGCTCTTCTCGTCCTGCTTTTTTACGGTTCACACAAGTCCTGACAGAGATTGGAGACCCGGAACCTCCCGAGATAACGCGGCTTGTTGGTTTACAAGACATCCTTGACGTCCAAAGTTTGAAGCTGCCTCCGTCTATCATGATCTCATGAACGCTATCGAAAGGGCACCGTCGTATTAGATGGAAACATCAGCGACACTTGCCAAAGCTCTGCCCACTGACTATGCCACACATGATATGATTGGAGGAGAGCAGAAAAACTCATCATCTTACCTCGCCTACAGGCTGACCAAAAGTCGAAAGTCACAAAAATCAGCAAAGTGGGAAACGATAATCACAGTCGATCACGCCGCCGCTCGAGGCAAAATACTTGTTGAGACTCGCAGGAGAAGCTCGCCTCACTGTCATAGAGCCACTTCTTCTACGCATGATGATATTACCTCTGTGAACGCTATCGCGGGTCTATTGTGTGGAAGCATTGCTGGGTTGCATCCGGAATACGAAAGCGAAAGATGTATCAACCTCAGAGCTTCTGCCTGGCCGCTTGCTGATCAAACTCGTACAAAGCTCCACTCCACCGTCCCTGTCTCTGTTTCTTCGTCGGCAGCAAAATCCTCCACTGTCTTCTCCATGAGAACTACACTTCCATTGCCGCCATCATTGCGCGAAACGAGAGCACCTTCGCTCAGGGGCTGTCCTTGTAGTGTTGAAACGTAATCGCAGATGGCTTGGCCGAAAGCCTCGGAGATCTCGGGTCTGACTGTCACGGCCTGCTGGGACGCAGCAGGGGAGAGGACTGGAAAAGGTGTTTTTGGAGGGGAAAAGACTTTTTCGGTATTATCGCATAGAGAAAGAGTAGGACAGTAGGATAAGAATTGACTATGTACGCCGCGCGTCCTTCGACCAATCACACAACTCCGCGCTCATGCCACTTCAGGGAATTACTACGTGTGACACTGACAGAGTCTGGATGTGTTGAATAGGACAAGGTTGACCGCCACACCACCTCAGAGGGTTCGTCTTCTCCCTCGTCCACGTTGGATGCAGTTGCAGTGGTAGAGACGGTGAACCTGCCACGAGGGAGAAAATTTGAAGCTGGTTCACTGTTATCAACTTTGGGCATAATGTTTGTGATGAGGAGTGGTGTATTAGATGGATATTGCCAAGAGACGGGTCATCTCGATTCATGCAGCCTTTTTTACATACGGTTTTGAAAGTTGACATTGGCTGACCCCATTACTTCGATAATTGTCTTCTTCTCAAATTTGGTCCTGATCTATCAGTCCATTCATTGGAGGCTTACTAAGCAGGGGTCAAGCAATAATAATATAGCTTTGTGGGGCCATGATGCGAGACTGAGGTGGTCGCAAGCGGCTGCTGCTGAGTCGATCGACAGTCATTGCGTGAAAGGAGAATACCGGTCTTCCAAAAACCCATTGTCTACTGGTCTCAGTCTCAGACATCGGGTTGATGTTTAGCAGGAGTGCATTCAACTGGTGGCAAGAGTATTCCATTGGCGACAACCGGAAGGTGAACATGTAGTAAATGTAGCTCGGTATGATTACGGTCACCCTTTCTCCATCACCACACTTGAACAGCCGACGATGCGGGGCTTATGTGACTCGTTCATTCTAGCCATCATCTGTTTCAACCGTTCTTTCAACACTGACCCAGGCATGTACCAATTCTTTTCTTACGACGAGTGGTGGGATGATGAGGTCAATGGCTGCAGGTGGCGAGCACTATACGGGCGTTCATCTTTGCATGCTGCAGCTGACCTGCTGTGAGGATAATCTATCTATTTCGCTTCACAGCTTCTTTCGCTTCACAGCTTCTTTCGCTTCACAGCTTCTTTCCCCTTATCATCACTTGTCCCAATACTCCAATTCACGCCGGCCTACTCCTCTTCCTCCTCCTCCTCCTCCTTGCTCTTTGTTACAATGCTCCACTCTACAGTCTCTAGAGTCTTTTCTTCTCGAGAAGCCAATGCCTCTACTGCGATCTCCATGAAACGCAAGCTTTTGGCCCCCTCGTCATTGCGCGACGACAAGACATCTCGGCGGAGGGCCGTTTAAGAAAGATCCATGATGTGGCTGCAAACCAAATCGCCAAACTTCTCAGGAATTTCCGGAAGAACAGAATCCGCATCGGTGTCATAGGACACGCAAGATCGCCACTCCACATCTGGCTGTTCTTGTCCTTCCTTGTATTCGGGTATCGTCAGGACAGAGGCGGACATGGTGAATCTGTCACGAGGGATGGGTTTTGAAGCTAGGGCGCTGTTATCGACTTTGGGCATGATGATATGTAGTTGTAGGTGTTTTGTGAATGTGAATGTGCAAGCAGAAATTTGGTTCTTGAGATGAGTACTTGTTGTGGTGAGATGTTGTTGTAAGACAGCTGAAAATAGTCTTTGTGCTGCAAAGCATGCAATGTCTGTTTCATTCCATCCGACGTTCATATGTCTATTCATGGCTTGTTTCCGTCTATGGTCTGCTCATAGGAGAAATGTCAAGAAATAACCTGCGGAAGGAATTTTGCGGCATAGAATAGTAAAGACTCTTGGTCTTGTTGCATCGAAGAGTCCATAGTCCACTATTGATTGAAAGGAGTATGTCAGACTATAAAGCACCCACTGTCCACTGTATCCCAGCCAGTCTCAAACAATAAAGTGGTCGAGGTTACAGTATGTGTTACGGGTGAAGGAGCTCATCTTCCATTGTTGTCGTTGTCGAGTCGAGTCGGAAGAACGTCAACGAACAAAGAACAGTCTGCTGGTGGTATGCCCACCTCCGCTGCCCCTCCGTTGATGGCCTCTCCTTGAAGTCTGCCAACAAAGGGCCTCATAAGGGGTCGTCTGCTACATCGCTCAGAGTCTCCTTCAACCTTCGTTTCAAAATTGGAAACGCAGATTCCTGATCGGATCTCCTGCTGAGCTAACTAAGGCAGGGCTCCGTTTGTCTTCGGCTCATTGTCATTCCTATTCCTGAATGCCACAATGCATGACCAGTATTTGGCATGCATACTAACCAAGGGAACACGAGAGATGCACAGAAAATCTCGACGTATGAACGACCCCCTTGTGACAACGACAGAGGCAATAAAATGCCTACCAGGCACATGCGGCAATATTGGCACATCCTCTCATCTCCTATCCCAAAATCTACTAATCTACTAACCTATCGCGTCTGAGGACCATGCCCCCCCTTTACCTTGCTGTCGGGTAGCTTCCACTCTGTCCAGGAGTCGGGCTGGCACTCCTCCAAGATCCTACCGAGATCCCCCACCAGCCTCACAGACCGACAAGCCATAAATTGGCGTAGTACGGTGCGCTCACACATGAGCCGCCACATCTCAGGGCGAATCGCAGTTTGATCATCACTGCAGACTTCTCTTTCGACTATTTCATCTCTTCGCCCCCTCAAACTAGCCGTTCAGATCTCCCCACTTGGCTAAATTCCTCCTCTTGGCCCTCCCTTTTGAACCTTCTTTTTTTTTCTTCTTTATCACATCAATCATGCTCCCTCCTCCCTCCTGTCGACCCCACTCGCCAATGACACCCCCGAGCCCTTATGCTGTGAATTGGTGACGAACCCGCCTCGAGGTCACTTGCATGCGTCGGGTATTCCGGGGGTGCATCCCCCATCCTAGGCTTCTCTCGGTCATCCAACTTGCCAATCATCGTACGATGTGCATCTCGTCCCTGGGGGCGAGAAACGTATATATACAGCTCCAAACAAGCCTTTCTTTTCTTTCTACATAAACGACTTCTCGCGACTTCTTCAACGACCAACAACTCAATAACACCACAACAACACAATGGCTGTTTGCTCCACCATGGTACGCCGGGCCTCCTCTCCCCTTTCTCCCCTCTTCCAGTCTCCTTTTCGTCCCCGCCCTTCCCCACACTGAATCTCTTCGCAGCTCATCTCCCAAGCCAACGGCTGCTCCCACGGCTCCTCCTGCACCTGCAGCTCCAGCTCCGGCCGCGCCCTCTCCAACGCCGCCGCCGGCGACTGCAGCACCCACTCTGGCTCTTGTGCCTGCGGCAGCAACGGTCGACTCGTCAACGAGTGCAACACCAACGGTGCTGGTGGTAAATGCTCCACTTGCCAGGGTACCGTGTAAGCTCTTCTCTTTTCGGCTTGCACTCGAAACAGGAAAGGAGTGCTGATGGATGAGCAGTTGCGCTTGCGGCACTGGGTGCGGCTGCTAAGCACCTCTCCTCTCCAATATTGTCATCATCATTGTCGCCGGCGGCGGTTGATGAGGATCGTGGAGCAAGAGTGTTTGATTCTTTCTTTTCCGTAAAGTAAGGCGTAGCTAGGTGTCTTGTTCGCTAAGATATGCACGAGTTATCGAGGTGATGATCTCTGTGAATGTGGTTGCAAGGCGTAGCTAGGTGTCTTGTTCGCTAAGATATGCACGAGTTATCGAGGTGATGATCTCTGTGAATGTGGTTGCATACTTGTACAAAGAAAGGAATGCTATAGGTCAAGTCAGCTCGATCCTTGACTGGGAGCATATTGTGACGTACTTTACAATCACAGCGCTGGATCTCCCCGATTCAGGCGCACCTCTCACCATCCGATAGCTTGCCCTGCAATGTCCCAGAAAGACTTTGGTGTGCTCTGTAATACACATTAGCCCCCAGTCAGCGTTCGGTCAGGGACTCACAGTCAGGACAAACACCTCCTCTATTGCCACCCCAGCCCGGTCTTGACCCTCAGCGCGAGCACCACCCTTGGGCGCCGCTTTCTCCAGTTTGATGCCGCCTATACAATGTCAGAGCGTGTCTTGAAAGTGAGTGAGGAAGAGCAGCGCACCAGGCAATCGAGCAGGATCCTTGAGCCTGAGCATCATCTCGAACAACGGCGCTCGAAGTAACAACTTCTGACCCCCTCTCAGCACACCATCCACCCCTAAACATGCTACTCTCATCTATCACTACTCGTCAGCATCCTCTCAAGCAAGCATCAGAAATAAGAGAGGGAAGGGAGACGTACGAGGAAGAACAATGCGGTGTAACTGAGGACGGTGGGAAAGAGAAAGGCCGAGACGGTGAAGAGGAGTGTGCCGAGGAAGAGCTGGTCGATGTCGTATTCATATGAATCTGTCCGCAGTCGGAGAACATTCCATCTCTTACCTGTTATCGGACATCAGTCTAAACCTTTCCCTGGGTGTGATACGCAAAGTAGAGGAGAACGTACCGCGGAACAAGTTCCAAAGACCATACAACGAAGACGCCTGCCACCCGCACACCCACTGCATCACCTTCCAGCTCAGCGTTAGGTGAAGAGCGAGTAGCGACGTTAGATCAGACAGGAGTGCGAGGGATGTGGAGAGGCCGGTGAACGAGGAGAGGGCGAGGATTTTGAGAAGGGATGGGGCAAGGCGGGTCAGATGGGGCATCGTGATTTCTGCATTGAGTCAGCCTGCGAGCCATGGAGAAGAACAAGGGACGTACCAGACCAATGACGGATGACGCCTTGGAAGAACACGCAGAAGAATTGGCTTAGGGGAGTATTGAGCTTCAGACCGACTGGCCAGCTGTTTAGCCATTGAAGAGTTTGGATCGGAGTGTCGGCCAGATGCCGCTTGAGATCACGTTAGTCTCCAGACGCTGAAGGCAGGGGGCGGTATTCGTACTTCATAAGCGCTTTGCAGATGTAACAGGACATTCGGACCATAGTGGAGGATGGCATCGCGAGCAAGGTAGCCCAGTATCAAGTCGTTCTGCTACAATCAGTGAAGGCGCTTGAGGTTGCTGAACGGAGTGACATACCAAGACAAGCCAGATAGTACCCCAGAACCTGTCATTGCAGTCAGCCTTGAAATTTGTCAGGATGGATGCAAGAAAAAGACGAACAAGTTATACGTTTCCGCCCGCTCTTTCACGTCTCCAACCTGACGGGCCCTCAGATACCGATCTGGTACTCGCACAAGCTGGTCCAAGCGTACACAAATCTGACGAACTGACACATGCTGTCAGTATATGTACCATGAGGAGCTCCAATAAGAAAAGACAAAGACATCGAACTTACATGAAGCTGACAGGCTGCGTAGTGGAGGCAGTTCAAGGAATGAGGAAGATAGAAGGCTGGCGGTGGTCCGAGCGTCAGAAGTACCGGGTCTGTCGAGCTGTGTCTTTCCTAGCAGCACAGGCTCTTTGGACGGCCCTGGCTGTGAGATCAAATGTTGTTGGGCCTTATACGATACGTTGATCTGCAAGATGGATCAGTATTCCGTCCCGACCTTTCCTGTGTTTTTTGATTTACCTTTGTGACGACTTGCTGCCTATTCACGTCCTTGGTGATATCACCAGATTGGGAAACGTTTATGGAGCCATGGAAGTAACGCAAAGAGGAAATGTTGGGCGCGTCATACAGTATGAGAGACACATACTGTCTTGAGGAGAATCAGCCCGCGTGTCCTGCCTTTGAACACACAGGGGGACTTACGAAGATGATATAGGCTTCTTGTCAACATCAAGATAGAGCGTAAGTCTCCCTGGGACGTGGCTAACTTTGTTCGATCCCGATTCTGCTGTCCCGAGCACTTCCAAGTCATGCAGCCCGGGCCAGGTCTTGTCGTCGTTATTTGGTTCTTGTCGTTCCTACAGCTTTTGATCAGTCTATAGCCTCACATGGATCTTGAGGTAGGCTCACCCATCTGTCTACAACCGCTACAACACACACATCGTCCCCTATACGCCATCCGATCAAGTCGCCTTGCTCTCTGGTTAAACCAGAGGTCGGCCAGAAGACTTTGAGGGCGGCGTCTGGAATTCCTGATGCCATGCCGAAATCAATAGTGGCAGAGGAAGAAGCTCTGGAAATCTCAGCCTGTTGAGGGGCTGTTGTGAATATTTGGTCCAGGCAGAAGAGTGCTGCAAGGATGCCTGAAAGATGTGGACGAGGGTGAGCTCGGAGCCCCGCGGCGCTTCTGCTCAAGTAATTAAGAGATATTTTTACCTCAATTTACAAGCGCGTGTCTGGGCCGCGGGTCTGCCGAGCTGTTGTCCGAGCCGACCACTGAAATATCGAGATAAGATAATCTATTGACATTGTTTTCTTCGCCGACCTACAACTCGCTCACGATGGCGCCCTTCTCATCCCCTCTCGTCCAGTCCCAGCTCTCCACCCTCCTCCTCCTCACCGCCATGTACCCCCTCTCCCCCGAACTCACCCTCGCCCCCTCCACATCAGCCTTTGCCCAGCAGGCCGAAGAAGGCGAAGAAAGAGAAGCACCAGATGCGTTGGAAGTTGAGCTGGACTTGAAGGTGGACGATAGCAAAGGGGAAGAAGGAGAGAGGGTGGGGATCTCTGTGCGGTTACCGACTGTGCCGCTTTCAGAAGGAGACGAAGAAGAAGAAGCGAGGGTGGAAATACACCCGAAACAACCGACCTGGCTGCCAAATTCGACATATACTTCCCTCCTAGATTCATTACCACCACTTCTACCATTATCAGAAGGCGGAGACCCGAACGAACATATCCTTACCACAATCGACCTCATCCTTACTACCCTCTGCCCGCACGCTCCGTCAAATCTCCCAGACTCACCACCCCCGGAGAAAGAAAAGAAGGGCAAAACACTACCACCGAAGGATGGCGGTCCACAAGAGAGGGTGTGGTTTTGGTTCCCGATGCTGCATACGCGGGAGAAGAGAAAAGACTTGGTTAGCTACGCGAATGAATGGGGACTCACAGGGTTTGTCCTTGCAGGTGAGTACTTTCCATTTCGAAATCAATGGTAGATTTGGCTGACTATATACTCCTCATAGGAAAACCCGCGTTGTTATGTGTCGAAGGAACGGGGATAACAGTCGAAAAGTACATGTCGCGCATCAAATCCGAATCCTGGGGCGACATTCCCTCATTCCAGAAAAAAGTCAGTCCTCCCCTCTCCCCTCTCCCCTCTCCCCTCTCCCTTCTCCTATCTCGTTCATACCTTCCCGGCTCATTAATTAACCACAATCCCAGGTTTCAGAACGTTTCCGGAAAGAACTCGGCCCATCCCTATCCAACCGTGCCTTCTCAACCATGACAGACATCACATCCACCGTCTCGAAATACGGCCGGTTTGGGGATCGAGGCGAGATGGGACAAGTGAAGCGGATGATGGAGGATTGGGGAGTAGGAGAGGACTTTAGACTGGCTGTTATGAAGAGGGATGATTAGGGGTTTTGAGCGAGAGGGTTCGAAGGAAATCTTATATGTATGTCCCGGAGGATCCATCAGTAGAGCTGGGTAGAGCTGACACGCATCCTCAGTCCAGATTCAGAACAAGCGACTCTCCTTGGGCGTTACCCTTAGTCGGCCCCTCGTCGGGCTCTATATCATGTCCATGTGAAGATGCATCCCAGTGTGACCAGGAGAAGCTAAAGAACAAAGGGCAGTAGGAAGGTTGACTCCCAGTGTCGTAGGGCCCTCCATCTGTCAATTAACATGTCTTACCACCCTTCAGTCTCTTCATCTCACCAGATGAATGCGCATGCTATGCATCAAAGCATGAGCTGGTATATTCTCTCGACCCTGGGTATAAATAAGCACTGGAAAACCAAAAAGATATATCGAGAAAGACGCCTCTATCCATCATCCTACCGCCAATGTTCTTGCTCCAGCCATGCCAAACATCCCTCTCCAAATACTGACCTTCGAAATGATACTCTCGCCCCTATCCCCCCCACCATCGATAACCCATCTAGAACCTCCTCTGTCCCTGGCCCTGCATGGGCGCATACCCCTGAGGCGCCCTCTGCTGCCCCATCCCACTCATCTGCTGCTGCCCCATATGCGGCCTCATAGGCGGACCCCGGCTCTGCTGAGGCGGCGGCGCCTGCCTATAGGTCTGCGCCAAGTTCATCGCGGGGTGTTGGCCAGGCAACGGCGCGGATGAGGCGATACCTGCTCCTGGGGCGGAACGCGGGCCGGAAGAAGGGGGTACGCGTTGGAGGGAGGCGAGGTTGGGACGGCCGGTGGTGGAGGCGGGGGAGGAGGCGGGGGCGGTGGATGCTGGGGAGTGGGAGGGGGCGCTGTTGGGGTTGGCGCGCTTTTCAGCAGCCCGGAGGATCTCGTCACTGTGTCTTTGTTAGCGTGGAAGATGAAGAAGGAGGGGCGACGTACTCGAGCAAGTTCAAACAAGCACAGCAGACGACCCATTCGACGCAATCTTCGTTTCCAACACCCAAAGTCTGCCAGACTTGCTTCTCATCCTCGCTCTTGCCAGTGATGGAGAGCCTGGTACCACCACCCTTCTCGGGAGGGTTCTTTGAGATCTTGCCAAACTGCACCACCATCAGTGTTACCCTTTGACTCGCGAGACAATACACACCTCAATCCGCTTGGGTGGGATCTGATGCCCAGCGTACTTGAAATAGAACATGGTCCAAAACTCGGCATGCGGGTTTGGCTTGCTGATCTGGTACAGTGGTGTGTCGTCTTGGTTGACAATCTTGTAGATGGGGCTCATCACACCGGTATTCTCTATCGTCCACCTCAGATCCCTCGAAGCCTCACAGCGGACAGAGTTGGGCGGCTGCTTGTTGGACATGGTAGGGAGGGTGGCAGTGGAAGACGGCTGGCCGGGGCGGGGAGGGGGGAAGAGCTTGGCGACACAGAGGTCGCCTTGCGGGGAAGGGGTGAGGAGGTAGTTGACTCGGTTCTATGCGGGGTGTCAGATAGCGTCCACGTAGTCGTGTGAGAGGAAGGAAACGCACCTCTTCGGTATGGAGGTAGGTGTAGAGGACATGGTCTGGCTGGCCGTGGGGGGTGACGATCAGTGTCGGGAGGTGGTTGGGCATGGGGGCATGGTGCGGGGAGGTGAAGCTATCGCCGTTTCCTTATCAGCGACGTGTCGTCGGGAAGCCTTGTCGAGGCCGAGGGGTGCTTACACGGTGTATATGGCTGCGCTTTCCATGGCGGCGGGGTAGCGAGTATGGTATGCGTAGAGGGTAGAGAGAGGATGCAGAAAGAGACAAGATGGAGGTGTGAACGAGAGATGATAACAAACGGGATTAGCCCGTCTGGTCTGCGCACGCCACTATTACCCGTTCGCACTCACCGGACATGTTGGCTCGTCGCTCGCAGTTCTCTCTCGGAATATCTACCGTGTCTGATCTCTAATAGTCGCCTAGCGCAGGTAGATGGGTCGCGGGTCCGTCGTCAAGGGCTCTTTGGATGCCACGGGTAGTGCGTGCTGGTTCAACCTCCTCTGTTTATTGGCGGTCCCCTTAGCAGTGTATCGTCGCGCCTCGGTCGCCAGTGCGCGTATGCAAGAATACAGGAGTATATGGAGGGAGGAGAAGAAAGAAGAATGCGGTTGTTGTTGTTGTTCTCCAGGAAAACGAAAGCCGCACAAGCGAGGCGAAAACCCTGTTCCCCGGTGTCCCTGTATATCCACAGCTGGGTGTTCTTTTTCGGGCGAGCGGCGTCCTTCAGCGTTGCCAGCGTTGGATGGTTGTTGTATGGGCTGAGGGGCAGGGATGCGAGTGGGAGGGGTGGCTGATGAGCTGAATGTCAGAGGACGTGGTGTTAGCACCGTTTAGGGAAGACTTGCCGTAATCGGAAATAAGGGCACCCAATAATCTCGAGCTATTGTGCCGGACGTTCGATGGGTCTCTGGCGACATGTCCACCTTGCATGCTCTTGCCGTTGCGAGCAGAGAGAGTGGTACATACACAGGATGTGCTGTTTTCTGTGTGGGAGATGGTGGGATGCGGCGTCAGAGGTTCACAAAGTCGACATAGGCACCTTGTGCCTCTTCTATCATCTCCAACACTGTCCTCCTCGACTGCTTGACATCTTCAGTAGCTCCCTCAGTCTGTCCGGAAACGCTGGGATACTCTCCAAAAGCATGCATTGTCGTTCCGGAGGTAGGACGATACTGACTCTGAGTATGGACACTGATGAGCTCACGCGAAGGTCTGCACTAACAGATATTACAAACCTGTATGACACTTTGTGATCTTCTTACGTCCTTCTGCCTAATTGATGATCGACCTATGATCTATGAGTAGTCTGGATGGGTCACTACTGCTGATGATTAGCTGAGATTAAAGTTGCGTTCCTCTTCGTGGGAATCAAATACAAAGCTGATGTCAGCGCGTCGCGTCGATCTGGAGGTTTCCATGCTCTTCTTGCAGACAGAACGTCGGTCTTGAACGGCAAGGGTGAATGTAGTTCTGGAAATACATTTTGGATGCTGCGCACGTTATGTAGACTCCTTGTTGTCGATACTTTGAGACTCGGCAATATTGAACCATACCTGCAACCTGCCACAGCCCCTGCTGTTCGGCACAGCCTTCCTCTTTTCTCTCAAACATACATACATATGAATAGAGCTGTGGATTTTCGTCTACATCGTCTGTTCGTCGAACCTGGCGGATTAGACGAGCAGGTATTCAATGTACAGCATGTCAACCTCCCCACTGCCATGCTGATCGTCAATCAACGTGCCGTTGTGGCGCCGAAACAGCATACATGCTCCTACCACCGGCCCACTGCTTGACCATGCATACAGCTGCTAGCTGCTGATACTCCTCACAGCCCTCTCCTCCCCTTTATACCCAGATCTCTGTCACCTTCCCACATTCGGTGGCCGAATGCAGCGATCTCAGGGCCAAAACGTAATGTTCCCGTCAGGCACCCACCTCGGCCTCACCCTCTTCTGACGCACGCTTTTCGTGCATTCCAGAGCAGAACACAGCAGTATTTTTTATTCCCAGCTCGACGATATCCATACCACAGGGGACAGCCCCGACAGACCGCCATGAACCCCCTCATCCTCCTCCCCCTCCTCCCCCTCGCAGCCCTGGCACAGCTCACACCCTCGCCCACATTCTCCCCTCCCGCAGCCTCGGCAGGCCTCGTGGCCTCTACTGATGCCGTCAACACTCACTGGTCGAATATCATCGGCAACTCGCTTTACTTTTATGATGCCCAACGGTCAGGCAATCTGAGCTCGGGGACGTACGAGAATAGAGTAGAATGGAGAAACGATAGTTGTGAGGATGATGGGAGTGACTATGGACTGGATCTCAGTGGTGGATGGTATGACGCTGGAGATTACATCAAGGCGACGTTCCCTATGGTAGGCCTTTCTGCATATGAGGAGGCCATTCTGCATATGAGGAGGCCATGGCTGACAGATGTAGACATTCACGTTGTTTGGAATATCATGGGGAGCCTTGACACATGGCGAAGGCTACGGATTGGCGAACCAAACGGCGTATCTCGACGGTACCCTTCGATGGGGTTTCGACTGGCTCATGAAGGTGCGCATGGTATCAAGGCCTTGACAAGTGTCTAATGCGATACACAGGCACACCCGACAGACGACCAGCTTTTCGTCCAAGTCGCCTCTGAAGAGGTCGACAACAACTACTGGGGCGGCGATCAAGATATCCCTACTCCCCGACCTTCCTATCCCATCAACTCGTCCTATCCTGGTACCGATGCCTGGGCTGCCGCTTCCAGAGCGTTCGCCATGGGCTCCTTGCTCTACACCCCGGGCTTGACCTACAACGTCACATCGTCAACCGGCCCACCCACGAGCCCCTCCTTGGCCGACTCGTCGTACTCCACGAGGCTGCTGAATCATGCCCAGACATTATACGACGTCGCCAACTCTACCACTCCCCGCCAGACGTATTACACGACTCTCGGCGAGCCGCTGCAGGCATACGCATCGTCGAGCTGGAAAGACGATCTCACTCTTGCAGCGCTGACTCTGGCTTTGGCCACGAATGACTCGAGCTATTATCTCGATGCGCACAGCTGTTACTCCGAGTACAAGTTGACAAAGCGACAGGATGTGTGGAACTGGGATACCCAGACGCCGGCTATCTATGTGCTTTTCGCCGAGATTGCGAGTGCCAGGCCTGGTTTAGCGGCGGGTGCTGGGCTGGACGCCAATTTGACCGGGTGGCAGACCGAAGTAGAGGGTTATTTCGACAACATTGTCAATGACAACCTTGATGATGGCTATACCACCGATGGTAAGTGTACCGAGAAGTGCATATGGGATCATGCTGACTGGATTAGGCGGCCTGTTGTATTTTGAAGGCGACTCGGATGAAGCGAGCTTGAACCCTGCCATGGCTATCGCCACGCTCATGTTCAAATACGCTCCCATCGCATCCACATCCGACAAGACCGACTCATACAACGTACGCCCCTCTTCATCTCCACTTTTTGCTCTGCTCACACACTCTACAGGACTTTGCCTCATCCCAAGTATCCTACCTCCTCGGAGCCAACCCAATGAACGTCCCCTACATCGTCGGCCTCCACCCCAACTCCCCTTCCAACCCCCACTCCGGTCCCGCCTCTGGCGGCACAGATATCAGCAATATCCGTACCAGCCCCGAGACCGAGTCACGCGTCTTGTACGGGGCAGTAGTGGGTGGGCCGCTGAGCAGCGACAAGTTTTGGGACTGGAGAGATGATTGGGTGCAGACGGAAGTGGCGTTGGACTACAATGCGATGATTTCCACCTTGGCTTCCATGCAGGTAAGCTATCTCTTTTGCAAAATTATTTGTGTGCTGATGAAGGTATAGCTCATAAACGGTACCTCCGACCCACCCTACGTCTCCATCCAAGCCAACACATACACCATCCCCGATGGCGACCCATGCGACGAAGCTCTCCCCTGCAGCGGCGGCGGCGGAGGTCTGTCGAAGGGAGCCAAGATCGGGATTGCGGTTGGTGTGGTTTTGGGGGTGTTGTTGTTGGCTGGGGTGGGATTTTGGATTTGGAGAAAGTGCAGGAGAAGACGGTCGTGGTAGAAATATCTTGGGGCGGGGCACGTCATTTGTCGGTGGAGTGCAGAGAAGCTTTTACGAGTTCGTTCAATGTGGGCATATTGTTCTATAAATTTGGCATGTCATCTCATTATGTATTATTGTGTTTCAATTGAGCTGGAATCAGTCTCTGACGTCTGACGATGTCCGAGTGCATACGATCAAAAGATCAATTCACTGACCTACATACGGCCGAAACGTTAGCCTGTTGATTGATCAACTTTCGGCCATCATGCGACATCATGATGGGGAAGTGTCAGATCACATTGGACCGGCATTCATCACCTCTAGTCTTGATTGTGCGCGGCTGATCATCATCGTTTCTCGGATCGACTGCATAGGCACACGCGGCATACCACGCTGCCATCATGCCCTGGGTCTGGCAACTTGGTTTTTGTGACGAGTACCAGCAGCCCTCATACGATCGCCATTGCTGTCCATCAATGAGATCTATCACATGGGCCACCCTCCTCACGTACTCGCCGCGGGTCTCTGATCTCCTATACCTTGCCCTCAACATGATGCTATTGTCGACCTACATACGGCTACCAGCTACGCGAACGACTCGACGACATATGTGAATCATATCTCCTTTGTCAGATCCTCCTTTCACAACCGGAACACAGCCTGGCGTTCCATGAATGGACCGACCACCAACTTTGCTGATCTGCGAAGCCCCCGAGAAGATCGACAGTGGCTGAGTTTTTAGCGTACATGATTGACGAGGACATTGGAGTAGGCTGAAGGGGCATGTGCTGCTGAGTATAAATACTTGTTGGGGAGTTTTGCTGTACTGTGGTTTGTTTGTTAGTTCTGTCCTTCTTTGGAATTCAGTTATGATCATTGAAGAGTCAGTGAGACACGAAGAATCAGTATGTCAGGCCCTAGTAAACCTCAAGAGAACGTAAATGAAAGCGGGCAACCCGCGCAGTAAGTCTCTATCATACCCCTTACAACGATCTGCCCACTTACACATCTGTATCGCAGGGACAAGACGTTCTCCCCGCCACCAGCATACATTAACAGCCCACCCCGCCGGCGACGGAGATGGAGCGAAACGGACCTGGCTTTGTCGTCACTTCCAGAGATGAGGAGAGAGGACGGGAAGTGGGTGGGAGCAGTAGCAGGGCTAGTAGCGAGACTGCTGTCAATATGTAAGCGAGCTGCCTACGTGGGAATGTTCCTGTCCGATGAAGCTGATGGAGCGCCTCAAGATCCAACGAGAACCAAAAGCTACCCAAAGACCAAAGCCAACAAGGCCCGACCAAGTACGAACAATGGTACCCCGGCGATGCGTCCCATAACGGTCGTCCGGCCTGGTGGAACAGAGTCTTTTGCTGTGGTTATGGGTTGGGATGTTTGCTTTGCCCTTGTGGAAGCTGGAGCTGTAAGCAGGAAAGAAGTTGAAATTGTTGAATCGAATTGGAAACTGTGTTATACATGTCAGGCTTCTTACAGTAATGCAATGTTCTATCCCCTTATGCTGCTTCATGTCTGGGAACTTGTATTCCCCAGCCTTCCACTTTTTCTTCGCCCTTCCACAAGACATGGCCTTTTCTCCCATCGAACACGTTGTCCGCTCCCTCAAGCTGGTGGAATGGAGCCTTTCTCCTTTTGGCTGCCTTCTGTCTCCTCGCAGCTCTGATCGGGCCATCCAGTGGATCACCCAAGGAGTCCTCTACAGTGTGACTGGGTGCTGAAGGGTCCGCTGGGACCGAGGACGACAAGCGAGAGGCGGAGGAGAGGGACGTAGGAGGAGCTGGGATGGAGAGACGGGTAGAGCAGGTGAGGCAAGTCTGGTGCGCGATGGAGAAGGTGTTCTTGTTGGCTGAATAGAAGTCAGCAAAGGTCACGGCTTGATGAGACAGCTCGAGATTTACCTCTATTTCGAACCCGGCACGTTAGACCCGGTACCAGTACGGCAGAACAGCCTTTACATATGGCTCGTTTGAACGATGGATCCCTGCGTACAAAGTCAGCCTCAATCATCACAATAGCAGTCAAAGACTTACAGTTTCAGCTGGTTATGTACAACCATGGTATTGCTTTCCCTCATTCCAATCCTCGCGAGCTTGCGGAAGCCTTCTTCGCTGCTGGAAGGATTTTCGACAGCTCGCCGCTTGCCCTTCCTGTCTTTCACCACATTCACCTCTCTTCCGCCATCTTGTTGACAGCTCCCAGATGACTCTCCTAGGGACTGAAGGAAGACTGAAGCTTGCAGGGAATAGTTGAGTCGGTGGAACAGGTCTTTTGCGGGCACGCTCGGTGGTTGTCCGGTGTTGTTGGACCCTTTTTCTTTCTTCGACTGCTGTTGTTTCTGCTGTGGCTCCTTTGCCTTTTGGGGTTGGAGTGTGTTAACTTTAGACATCGCAGTCTTCCGACGTTTAGATGTACCTCCAAGACCAACAAAACCAGGCTGAGAAAAGGTCAAAACAATACGAGGTGGAGGCCAGGCACGACGACCGCTCTATTAGCTGAGATGAACGTCAAACTGTTGACAACTTATTCTTCTTTCAATTCGCGAAATATTCTTTGTCCATTAATTCATTACATACAATTCTGAGGAGAGACCCGGCTGGGGGTCTGCTTCAAACATCTCACGACATGGCCCCAGGAGGTGAGTGACTTATACCTCGTTCCCGGTCACATCTCTCATTTCCCGCCCCATCTCTGTGCCTGAAGCTGACTACACTCTTTCAGCGGGAGTCTCGCATAACGACGTGATAGATTTGAGCTCAGATGAGGATGATTTTAGAGTCGTGCCGGAGAAGGGTGAGTCGGCTTGTTCTGAAGGTTGTCGTGAACGGTGACTGAAGGGTACTCAGCATTCAAGGCGAAAGCGGGCGCGAAGAAGGCGAGAAACAGTGTAGCCGGGAGCAGCCGTGGGAAGGGTAAGTCATACTCTCCATTGTTCTAGACAGCTCGTAAAGGTCAAGCTAACCCTTGTCTAGCAATAGTAATTGATCTCACCCGCGACTCGCTTTCGCCTTCGCCCGACCCCCTGGATACCATCCTCTCCGCTCGTCGCGATCCTGATCGTCGGAAGTCTATACAGACTAAAATCGAGCGCCGGGGATCTTGGGAGAGGTCAGATGAGAGCTCAATCTCAGACCACGACTACAACGAGCTCAGAGGTGACGATATTGACCCTCCAAAAGCATCACCCGTGAAGAGCGCTTCGAAGGTGGAAGGGAAAAAGAGCAAGGGGAAAGACAAGGAAGTCCTGAAGTCTCCTCCGGAAATTGTGGGAGGCTCCCCTTTGTCGAAGAAGGCGGCAGACAACGATACCGCCCAGACTCGGTTGGTCTTGGGAGAGGGCAGTTTGAGCACCGGCGGGCCTTCAGGCAGACTTGGCCTGTCAGTCTCGCCCAAGAAGAAACCCTCGCGCTCAGTCTCGCCCAAGAAGAGGCCCTCGCTGCCTGCCCAGACTTCGTCGGAAACCTCAGCCAAATCGCAAAGCTCAACTACTGCTGGTCCTGGCAATGGTCTCAAGAAGACCGGCTTACCAGCCAAAATGTCGAGTCCAGACAAGGCGAAGGAGAGAGAAAAGGGGTCAGAGAATGGGAAAAAGAAGAAGACGGTGCCAGATGGCTCATGGGGATCACCGATGCCACTGTTATCAATTCGCCCCTCCCATAAAGACGTGGCTAGCACGTCCACTGTCGGCGCACCCTCGAGCTCCAAGTCTCCTTCAAAAGATGCCACCATCACAGCCAGCAAAAACCCCACTCCTCCCACTCCCCCTATATCTGCCGCACCCGTGGCACCTGTACCCTTTCGCAGACCGACATGGGCAACAGCACCTGCCAACGAATCTCCTTCATCTTCCAAATTGCCTGAACCTGTACCCGGTCCAACGCCAAAGATAAAGATCCCCATACGCATAGTCAACCCTGTGGAGACGCCGAAAGATGCGCCAGGGCCCAGTAGGAAATCGGGAGAGCTGAAAAAGTCGATCGTAGACAGGCTGGCATTGAAGGCTGGTGAAAGTGTCGTCCAGAAGGAGGCGCTGAAACGGGCGGGCAAGGTGGATCAAGCGGATGAGGATGTGAGGATGGACGATGTCAGTCCTTCCAGAGGTGGACCTTCGCCTAGGACGAGCTCCAAGCCACTCTCTTCGGGTGGTGGAGCATCCGATTCTGTCAATCCTGGAGCTGCATCCGCCGCTTCGGCCAATATTGCCACGCCCATGGCTATACGACTAGCTGTTCCCAATTCTGCCAGTCCTGCCGGACTGAGTCGACCTCCTACCAATTCCTCATCTACACCCGTCAATCCCACGTCTACGCCCAATGGTACACCCAGTAGCGCAATCAGCAAAGACAAACCCAAGAAGAAGAAGATGCCGCCCCCTGCAGCCGGGAATTGGAAGAATCCCTCAGAGTTTGGCAGTAGCAGTAATTTGAAGAATGGGAAGGAAAGTGGAAATGGGTCTAGCACAATGTCGAGATCCACCTCGAGTGAGAAGAAAGACGATGTTAGACCGAAAAAATCCTCATCCCGCCCTCTTCCCCAAACCGTACCTTCCACGTCCTCTATACCCAAGATACCATCACCAGAACCTGCCACGGGACTGCATCCTGCAGGGTCATGGCTGAATCCCAAACCTTTTGGCTCGAACTTCTCTTCGGCGGCTGGGCCTTCCACGTCTACCAAACCGGCACAAGCACCGCTGACTGCGGAGGAGAAGGAACGTAAGCGTTTGATGCGCGCTGAGAAATTACGGAAGATGGCAGAGATAAAGGCGCAGGACACAGCGGCAGCTCAGGCGGAGCTGGAGCGGCATCGACGTTCAGCGGGGTCGCATGTGGGTTCTATTGGACGTGCGGTTACTGCCCCGGATGGAGTCATGTCGGCGTCTGCTCCTTCGTCCAACCGCCCGCCACATCTTCCAACTCCCACCTCCCCCCGGCCCATCGCCGTGCAGCCTGTCGGCCCTCAGAAACACAAACGGACTCCTTCTCCAGATCATCCGCTGAAGCCGGAAGATAGACAACGAAAGAAAAGTCGACCTGCGGTGGATATGGAGGAAATGAGAAAAGTCGCGGGGCTTCCTGTGGCTCCTGCTAGTGCTCCTCCCGCTGTCCAGTCTGCTCCCGCATCAATGATCCCTGCCGCAGAGCAAACAGAGTTATTTGGTGCTGCTGAGCGCGTCAAACTCCGCAAACGGCAATCTGCTATCAACGCTATCTCGAGATCCAACTCGACCAGCGCCTCAGGATCGACGAGTGCCACCCCGGGGCCGAGTCGACGAGGCAGCGGTGCTCTACCTAAGTCTTTCATCGAAGGAAGGGCCAACGAAGCTATTATGGGTGAAGTATCCGATGACTCTAACGATGAATCACCATCCGACAATTTACCTCTTTCGACGGGTACCGGCGCGGGCTCCAAACGAAAACGCCAGCCCCAGTCGAACATCGGTGTGGGCGGGAGTCAACGCCTGGAGAAGAACATGGAAGAGGCACGGGTGCTCTTGGATGCCGCGAACCTATTCAAGACGCAGAGTCCGACAAGCAAGCGTGTGAAAGAAGCACTCTCAAAACAGACGTCAGGGCGTCTGGTGGATTTGACGGCGGGCCTGAGCGACGTTACCATTTCTTCTCCCATCAAGGGCGGCCAAACGCCTTCGAGCCCTGCTGGCAGCGATACGGAGGGAGACGATGACAACGACCAAGAACCGGGAAAGAAGGAGCCAGGGAAGGCTGATCTGTTTGGTTTCGCAGATAAAGGCAAGGGGAAGGCAGTGGAATCCCGAGGTAGCGATAGCGACTTTGCTATCCTCAGCGATGGAGCTGCTGCGCTTGCCAAGCAGCAAAATGGGGAACCGAGTGAGAAGGGCCCGTCTCGCAACAAGCCAATCTCGAACGCCGCGCGAGCAAAAAAGCAGAGTGTCGCTCCCAGCTGGCTTCTCAAACTCTCCCAGGCCGCTCCTCAAGGCTCCAAACCCGCAAATACCACTGTCACTATAGATGCTAGGAGCGAAGAGGCTTCATCTGAGCCGATGATTACGACGCCCACCTATTCATATTCGCATCTTCCCCGGCGTTCTCGTCTCACCGACGACCAGTGGGCTGGAGCCATTCGAGAGGAGCTGCAAGCCCAAGAAGAACGAAAAGCAGGGACAAACAAGAAGTCTGGGGCGCAGAGAAGAATGAAGTTGAAGGACTACGCGGGGTTGGATCTGGATATAAACCTCTCAGGTATCACGGCGCCTCGCCTCTATTCTATTCCTACCCCCAAGCAGTCACAATACTCACGAGGGCTAGACGAGGACTCAACCTATAACGGCTCCGACGAGGATTCCGACACCAACACGCGATCCAGGTCGAAAGGCAATTACAAGAAGCTCTTCAACAGGGCTCCGGACGCGTCTCCGTCGCCGCCACCTGTGCCTGAAGTCGACCTTCAGACCTTATACCCCGATCCGCCTGTCCCTCCAGACCGCATTGGCATCGCCAAACGGGTCTACGAACAAACCAACATGCACGCTTGGGCGGCAATGTCTGCACGATCACAGCCCACTCGTGCCCGTTCTCTATTCAAGGCATATATCCATCAATCCACAGCCTGTGATCCTTACGGCCCCGACAGTATACCTGTCTATAACGAGGTGGATGAGGACCAAAGGCCCCCTGATTTCGACTTTGTCTACTCCAACGACATGTACTACCCAGAACCGATGCCCGCCCCAGAAAAGGGCCTGGGATGTGGGTGTGATGGCCCTTGCGATCCTCAAAGCGCAACTTGTACGTGTCTTCAGAGGCAGGAATTGTACTACTATGACATCGGGGTGAAAGGATTCGCATATCTCGAGTGAGTTCACCTTGCGGTTAGAGCATATCGGATACTGTTGCTCATCAATTTCGACAGAGACGGTCGTATCAAGGAAACCACTGCGCCTGTATGGGAGTGTGGCGAGACGTGTGGGTGTCCGCCGGAATGTATCAACCGCGTACGTTATAACACTGCTCTACGATTCCCAGCCTACGCTTACCCGCTACACAGGTCGTCCAGCGAGGCCGCTCGCCCCGAACCCAGGTCGAGCTATTCAAGACTGAACTCAAAGGTTGGGGTGTACGTGCTGGCTCCGATATACCCAAGGGAACATTTATTGGCACCTATGCTGGAGAACTGGTGACGGAAGCAGAGAGCGAGCAGCGAGGCGTGATATACACTGCGATCGGAAAAACGTGAGTACCAGTGGTGGTACCTTCTCACAGTCACTGATTCTATACCAGTTACATCTTTGACCTCGATGGCTACCAAATTCGACACCCTCCTTCCCGGGGATTGGAGGAGGTAGACCCTCGATTAGCGGTCCTCGCTGAACAGGCGAGAAAACGAGCGGAGAGAGTGAACAGGGATGAGAAGAACGAAGAGGAAGAACGGTACAACGCGTACAGTGGTGAGTATTACCCGTGAAAATGGCCTATGCAGATGCAGCCTTGCTGACCACGTCCTCGCAGTTGATGCCTTCCACTATGGTGTGAGTGTGCTTCTTGCCCTGCTACTGCTATGACTGATCAATCCTTGCCTTTCCTCTCTCGGTTGTCTCTTCGTACAGAACGTAAGTGACTGCCCCCCACATTTTGGTGGTGGTCGCTAACGTGGAAATAGTTCACGCGCTTCTTCAATCACTCCTGCGACCCGAACCTAGCTATTGCCCAAGCCTACGTCAAAGATTTCCACCCCGAAAGACCCATGTATGTGATCAGACATGATGTACGACGTAGGGAACTACGTTTCTGATGTGTTCCATGTAGCCCAGTGATGTTTGCCCATAAAGACGTCAAAAAGGGCGAAGAACTTTGCATCAGTTATAAAGGCATTCCGGTAACTCCCTTCACCATACCTCTTCCCGTTCCCCTGCTTATCTCTCTTGTAGGACGAAGAGGAGATCAACGCTGCCCTCTTGAAGCCCACTCCCAAGAAAAAAGCTCCTCGCCTGAAGAAGAAAGATCAAGTGCCAGTGAAGGGCAAAGGCAAATTGCCATACCAAACCGTGGGGGACGACTATTACGTCTGTCGATGGTACGTTTCTCCCCCAGTATGTCAAGAATGTGTGGGTGCTGATGCTCTAATCAGCGGAGCGCCCATTTGCGACGGAGTCATGTTCCCGGGGATGTGATAGCGGAGAGGAGAGAGAGGGGATGGCACCCGCCTGAGGGGGAAGGGCGGCGTAGCGGGCCACCGGAGCATACACTAAGGAGTTAGCGGAAGCTGCTCTAATAGTGCGTGTTATATCGCGCCATAGTTCTTCAGTTTGAACGTTGTACTCGTACTGTACAATGCGATACGTCGCACATTCTTTGTACCCGAGTACTTTGGGTCCCTAGTTGCCTTTAGACATTGTATCCTTCTTCCGCATATTTGCATAGGTTGATGCATGGGCTCCGAGATGATATCACTTGATGTATCTATCACGCAATTTCAAAGCGGATGAGACGGTGGACGGCGGACGGCGGAGCTTCAGGCGGTGGAAAGAGGTCTGGGCGAAGAGGGGGGCGATGGGGTCGTTTCTAGCGTGGTGTCCAAACCAAGTTGGAGTTCCTTTACTAGTTGTTCTATGTACTATGTCAGCTGTCTTCGCGGCTACCACTTCAGAGAGGCAAAAGCAATGCGGAAAGAGTTATCGACACATACTAGATTGCTCAAGGACATCCTTATACTCTTGGTTTGCAACCTTTATCTCTTCTTGGAGGTGCTGGAGTCTCTCAGCCTGGGACATGTCAGCAAATACTGGTTGCAGACAGCAGCGTAGCTACATACCCGCTGGGAAGAGTCCCCAGGCTTGGGAAGCTCCTCGATAAGTTGTTGTATATCTTTTGAGCGGCGGATGATATCGGCGACGAAGGCGCTTATGGCAGCTATCAAGTTAAGTAAGCAGCTACACTACCATAGTATTGAATTCATAAATGTCTTCCGTCCTAGTCTTCTAGGCCAAGTAATGCTCTGCCCGAAGATTCTTGGCAAAGTGTGGAACTCACCCTTGTAATCCTCCCGACTCGCGGCATTCGCTGTGGTCAAAGTGGTAGGTATAGACTTGGAGGTCTGTTCGAACTGGGTTCGCTTGGTGATGTATTCGACAGAAGTGGAGGTGATCGTTAAGAGCTGAAGGGTGCTGTTTAGCGCAATGTCATGGGGGCGTGGCGAAGGAGCGCACATCTAAAATGGCATCCTGTAGCTGCGTGATCCTGTCCTGCGATGTAGGATCAGTCATCCGTCTGGAGTTCTTTGAAAAGAGCTTCATCAACTCTGGACCGAAGTGCACTTACCATGTCAGTGGATAACTCTTCGTGGATCATCTCTGGCGAGGCGAGTTTATAGGCTCAAGGGACATCAGTACCGGCCCCTTCTTTAGAGGGACGGCAAGGTATCAAGCTATCGATACTCGTCAGCAATGACAAGGTCACCTTGTAAGACTGCTTACTATGTTGAAGCAGAAAAGCAAGAAGAGATGGAAGCCCGAACGAGAAAATGGTCGGGAGCCCGCAAGCGGAGAAGCGCGCCGCATCGTCGCGTCTGTTGTTGTTGTTACTTGTTGTGGAATCGTGGATTGGCCTTGTGAAATAACTTATCTTACATCCCGACAATCATGCCCAGCTCAACAACCCTACACGGCCTCCTCTCCAACATCCTTGACAACTCCTCCAAGTCCGCCAGGCACCGTGCTTCGACAGATATCCCAGATGGACTGAAACGGATACGGCGTCTGGTCCTCACAGAGGGTATCCCTGAAGTGGTGCGTGTAATGTCGCCAGAGTGGTGGGGAGCATGGCGGGAGTGTATAGGTAGAATTCCCAGACTGCTAGTGATGCTGACCGTGTTTATAGCCTGGAAAGCCACCGCTGCGGGCGCGTATATGGAAATTGATGCTGAAAGTCGACACACTCAATGCTGAGGACTATCTGCGCTGGGTATCTATGGGACCTTCATCCGACAGCCACAAGAGTGAGCATCGCTCATGACTATGTGAATGAGATCTGACGAGCGATCATAGTCAAAAACGACACTTTCAGAACCTTGGCTACCGATACGCAATTCAAGGGCAAAGTGAAAGAGGACATGCTCATCCGTCTCCTAGAAGCTTTTGTATGGAAGATCACTTGTAGGGTTCCCCTCTTATATCCGCCAGGAGAAGAAGCTCATCTGTCTCCAGCTACAGAGTCGGAAGACGATACACAGCCCTTCAAATACGTTCAAGGCATGAACGTCCTCTCCGCTCCATTTCTGTTCACCATGCCTTCACAACTGGAGGCTTTCGCCTGTTTCTCGACCTTCATTGAGAATGGGTGCCCGCTATATGTCCAGCCGTCCCTGAAAGGTGTGCACGAGGGCTTGAAAGTGAGCTCTGTTCTATGTTGAGACAAGTTCGCAGCTGATGAGGGCGTAGCTGTTCGATCGATGCTTGGAGATTGTGGACCCGGAGCTGTATGACAGATTGGCGAGCAAGAACTTGAAGGCTGAGATCTATGCTTTTCCTTGTAAGCATCCAGGCAGCATCAAACTCCAGTCGTGGCTGATAGCGTTGACCTACAGCTGTTATGACCCTCTGCGCTTGTACACCTCCGCTTGAAGAAGTACTTCAACTTTGGGAGTAAGTCTCCTAGCTACTTGTGTATCAACACCCGCTGACAACAAACAACAGCTTCCTCCTCTGCTTTGGTCTCCACCTCAACATCCTCTGCGTGATCGCCCAGCTCCTCCTGATCAAACAAGACCTTATGGAATCTCCCTCGTACGTCCAGTTGCGTCTTTTAATCGTTGCAAACGGCTACTGATTCCAAGTCTACAGACCGATGAAGATCCTCCGTACTTTCCCCCCACTTCAAGCGAGGCCTGTGATAGGCGTAACTGTTGCGCTGGTAAAGGATATACCGGAGGATCTATATAGGGAGTTGGTGGCGCACCCATACGCTGTTTGAAGATAGGCGAGAGAGTGTGGATGAAGATTCTCAGGCGCGGCTTGTGGTGCGATTGTTCACGATCTTTGATACGATTTTACGACATATTATGCATCTTCACAATGACAGTTGATACACAGTATGTAGGGGGACGGCGGGCAAAGGGTACCGTCGTGGGCCGTCCAACCTAAGCTTCGAGCTGAGAATGTATCAGCTCCGCCCGCCTCCGCTCATGTTGAGACCTATCTTCGTCATGATAAACTTCGGATCACCTCAAACTCCACCTGTTTACTTGCAGTCGGGGCCCATTCCCCGCAATGATGAGTGTACGTCTCTTTCCTGAGTTGCTCGATCTGGGCGAATGTCTCGCTGGGGTCGAGTCGATAGCCTTCGAGGATCACACGGGCTTTTTGGATATAGCACTCGGTCGCAAGGTTTCTGCACAAGCAGGAGGATAAGAGATCCGATGATCTTTCATGACATGCAGGTAGCTCACTGAGCAAAGATCCTCACTAGCGCCCGATGGTCATCACCGCCATCCTTCAGTCTCACAACCACAGTCTTCAGAAGAGACATAGGAGAAAGTAGGGTGACGTGATGGATGTTGGAGAGATTGGGATTGGTTATGGTCGCAGCCCGAAACCCCTGTGACATTGTTCGGCGCAGAGAGCCATCGATGAGAATTATAGGCTCGTCTTTAGGCTGGTCTTGCGATCCATACGAGTACTGGCCCTCAAAATCGAATTCGATAGTAGGATCTCGAGCAAGCCGCGATGAAAGTCTGCGGTTGTGTTTATTTCAAGGGGTCACGTTTGAGGGAGGAGAGCTTCCTGAGAGGAGCAGAACTGGTGGTTGGTGGGCCTTGCTCGTCTGTGGACGTCAGAAGAAGAGGTGGGTAGGATCATCGGCTGTGCCCAAATGTATGCGGTCAAGTGTCTCGAGAGAACACGACGGCTGTCGACCCGACGGCAGATGTGCACTCGGCCGCCGACAGATCACGAGTCCGATGCATAGACGAAAAAGGTCATAGCACAAAAAGTCAAGTATGATGGTGGCATGATGTACAAACGTTGTTCTTTCGTGACACAATAATGAGGTTTTTATAGTAAAGAAGGAAGAAAGTAGCACAATGAGAACAGGGGTGAGGGAATTCAACAAGGAAGCGAGAGTACTCTATATGTTACGAGTAGAAACATCGGATGCAGTTACAACGGGCGGGTGCAAGGTGATCTTGTCGATACCTTGCTTGTGTCGGGTCATGTCACAGACGAGGGCGAAAGATGTGATATGATGTCGGGTGTGGCGATATATATATATATCCGGGGTTTCCGGGCAGCTGAGGAGGTTTTATCGATACTCGAAAGTACTGCAACTCTTCTGAGGAACGTGGGTAAGAGCAAGTTCCTGGAAAGGTTCTTGATTCTACGTCCAAAGTTAGCGCTGCCCAGTGATCCGCTTGTACGACTAGAGACTTACAAGGGAGTGGAAATAGTACTAGACGGCGCGCGATCATGTCAGTACACTTTTCACAGAAGGAATACAATGTTACGTACGCCTCGGATCGTAGCCTCTCTCCCTGTCACCGACGAATCCTCACGCTTCACCCCTCCACTCGACTTTCTCTCCGCTCCCGGTCTGAGCCCTCTCCTCAAACGGCCAAGATCGCCAAGGTTCTGCCCTGGCGCAACGGGCTCGACTGTTGATGTTTGGTGGGTATCTGTGGGTTGAGGTGCTGTTCTGGGTGATATTGAAGGCATGGCGAGGGATGGGCCAAAGTCTATCATGGCATAATAGAAGCCTGTGTCTGTGTTAATGAAGAGCTCGTGGCCAGGAGATTCATAACTCGGAACGTACCTGCAAAACTCGCCCCAGAGATATCCTTCACACTATGATCCGGCACCAAAAACCTCTCCTTCATCCTCATAAACACAAAATCCCTCTCCCTCTCATCCTCCCCAACCTCTCTCAAAAACAGCTCCTCCCCTCTTAGATCATCTCTAGTAGACCCCCTGCGGAACTGCTCAAAGCGGCCCCAGTGCCGGAGATCATCTTGCTCTGAAGCAGCATAGCGCGGGCCTGTGAGGAAACCGTATTTGGGACCGATGATTTCGGCTGTAAAGAGAGTAGTGAGGTGGGGATGAGTTTCAGTAAGGCCGACGATGGAGAGGTATCCAGAGAGGTGGGAGTTGGCAAAGTCGACTTCCTGCAATGTACTGTTAGCGCTCATCCCAGTTCTATCGGACAAGACTGACGATGAATCGGATTTCAACATCGTATGAGCTTCTCCCACTCGTCTGTTTGCCCTTGAAGACACTCCCCGGGTATATGGAACCGCGGCAGACATTGGGCTGTCTGAGGTTCGCGACTTGGTTGATGCGATGAGGTGGGCCTTCGTCCCTGGTGGCATTCCAAATGTCGATCGGGCTGATTGTTTCAGCCTTTGAGCTGGCGGGAGGGATAGTCTTTGGATGTGGAGGTAGGGGGGAAGAAGATGAAGCGAGGGATGAGGAGGATGATGTAGATTGCGGCCGAGAAAGGTCGTCTGGGGGTATATAGGACAATCGGGGTGGTGAGAGCTGGGGTTCAGGAGTATCGGTCTCTGCACCCCTGGTCTGATCCCCACCAGGTTCATCCTCTGTCCTACCGCTCTCCGCTCTCCCCAAAGATATCCTCTCAGAGGACTCCTCCACTGCTCCATCTGTGCTGTTTACGCGTCCAAGCCCACTCCTTTCCAGCCCCTGCTGTTCCCCACCGTCTGCCGGAAGAACAGGACGCACACCCATCATAGCCGCACACTCCAAACACACTCTCTCACCATGATCCGGGTCCGACAAGCCGATACAATCCGAGGTCGGGACGAGGACTGTGGATGAGGGGTTCGGCACCCCGCACAGGGAGCATTTGAGGATGGCCGAGTCTGGAGGGTGCGGAGGGACGGAGCTGAGGGGGAAGGATGACTCTGTGGGCATGGTGGTGGTGGATGAACGGATGTAGGATGAAAGTGGCAAGAGCGAGTCCGGTGTGGAGGTTGATTGGGTGCACAAGCTATTAGATGTGCGTCCCTCCCGGTGCATGCCCAGTAGGCTGTGCATGTACGAGTCTGCTGCATCTCCCACCCGCGCTCCCCTCCCGCGCTGCCCACCCCTGCATGCATACCCCCTCCCTCTACCAGCCTATCACCTTACGTCATGCCGCGCGGAGGGGGCCGCCCGGTACGCGTTCTGCTGCCATGATCGACGCGTCCAAACTCGTCCAGTCCTTCTATCACTCAACATTCTCGTGCTCGCGTCAGCACCCTCTACCAAAAATGGCCACCTTCGCATCTCGCCCTGCTGCCCCTGCTCAAGATCCCAAGCTACAGCCTTGGGTCGAAAAGTAGTGCGTCCTCCTTCTCGTCCCATCTAGTCGTATTAGACTGATCAATGTCTGCAGCCGACCAAAGACGATTGATGATGTTTCCTCGCAAGACCATACCGTGGCTGTCCTGAGAAAAGCGCTTGCTTCTACAAACGTCCGTACAACGAATTCGCTTTGACTATCAACTGACCTGGCCATAGCTTCCTCACATGTTGTTCTACGGCCCGCCTGGAACAGGAAAGACCAGTACCATCCTCGCCCTCGCTCGGCAACTCTTCGGGCAAGTCTCTCTGGCCGCCATTCTGTGACCAAGCTGACCTTCACGCCAGCCCGGACTTGTTCAAAGCGCGTGTTTTGGAACTGAACGCTTCAGATGAACGAGGTATCTCTGTCGTCCGAGAAAAGATCAAGACTTTCGCTAGGGAAACACCTCGACACGCTCCTGGTGTCAGCTCGTATGTCCCATCTCTCCAATGTTCAATTCGCGCTGATAACCAATAGCGACGGCAAATCGTACCCCTGCCCCCCATTCAAGCTCATCATCCTCGACGAAGCCGATTCAATGACCCAAGATGCCCAGTCGGCGCTGAGGAGAATCATGGAGTCTTATTCCAAGATCACGAGGTTCTGTCTAGTGTGTAACTATGTCACGAGGTATGTCACTCCAAACTCGATCGAACAGTGTTGACTGTTGGCAGGATTATCGAACCGCTAGCGTCGCGATGTTCCAAGTTCCGCTTCAAGCCTCTGGAACAAGGCAGCACGCAAGCGAGAATGGACATGATTGCCAAGACCGAAGGTGTGGACACTGAAGAGGGTGTCTTGGAGTTGATCTTGGAGTTGGCCGGCGGTGATCTGCGAAAAGCCATCACGTATCTCCAAACTGGTCAACGGTTGCATGCTGCCAGCAACCCACCGACACCCATTTCCGCTCTTTCCAGTCAGTCCTCCTCTCGTTCCTCTCACGCATACTAACGATATAATAGTCCACGAGATATCCGGCGTCGTCCCCACCTCCCTCATCGAATCCATCCTCCAATCCATCGGCATCGACCCTTCCACCGGTATCGACCCCTCCCTCCTCTCCTCCTCCTCCTTCACCTCCGTCCGCACCGCCGTCCTCCAAATCACCCGCGAAGGCTGGTCCGCATACCAAGTCTTGTCCCAGCTCCACGACGCGCTCATCCCGCTGCCGGCGATAGGCGCGGTGGAGAAGAGCTTGGCGGGGCTGGTGATGGCAGAGTGTGATAAGGCGCTTTGTGAGGGTGGGGATGAGGAGTTGGCGATGATGGATTGTTTGTTGAGGGTGAAGGAGATTATGGGGAGAAAGTAGTGGGGGAGAGGGCGGGTATGTTGTACGATATGCTTTGCATTGAGATTGTGCGGGTCAACATTTGACCGGGATGCCTCTCAGCTAGGGTCTCCGTGGCTTTGTGCCTCATGCATCAATCTCACATCGGCTACTTTCTGTTCTCGGCGGATACTTGATCTCTCTGAGCGCTCTCTCTGCGGCTCAACTCGTTACGTTGGCAGATGACAATTGGTAGTTCGACGTGGTCATCACTCGGTCGCATACGCACCAGAGTCACCCTCACAGTAGGAATGATGCGCCGATGTATGCGGATCATCATCTCAGGCGGGGTGGGGCCATGTACTCGTATGCAGTACGCGGGTATATACACGTAAATGTGATGAGATCAGCCCGCTCGCAAGCTCCAGCCGCGAGTTCTGCAAGAGCCGGCGACAACATGTGGCTTCTGATCTGACAGCTGCACCTCTTGTCTTACCAATGCCTGATCCCTGATTTATACTCTTGATCACCATCATAACCCAGTTCTCATTTCTCATCACGATACGCGGGCCAACCTGTCAATCAACCTCAGGCTCTGCTCATGCTTCAGCCACAGTTCAAGCCACGCAGAGCGGGATGTCCCGAGACGGGCAGGGGAGCGGGGGGCTTTACGCCAAATCGCCGACCAAAAAAACCTCCACCGCCACAAATCCACGTCGCGGGATTTATTTGGCTCAAAAATTACCTAAACGGGTAATCTCATTAGCCTGGTGCTTGGTTCCGTTTATAGATCTGCCCAGCTTGGAGCGTCTTGTTTTCTTCGTCAATACAATCTACACCAGAAAGCGCAACACGAGCAGGAGGAGAGTACTGGACCGACCTCGAAAGGCGTTCATCGTTTTTTTCCTACGCTCTGCGTCTTTTTCCAAGCCAACAACAACCGCCACAAACCACCATCACAACATCACACAACCCCTTTACCCAACACACCCTAGCAACACGCAAAGGCAAGGAAGGATCGGCTTCAAGCAACCTCCTTTCTGACTCTTATCAACGCCATCAAGTGGGAGTGAACGGAGTTGAACGTTCGCGGGACACGTTTGCGGTTTGATAAACAAGCTTGCCGTTCAACGCGACTCCTTTGAAAGCTTGTGCTCTTTGGTCAAAAGTCAGCGCGACTTTCATTGACATTACCCCCTTCCTCATCTCCACCTCTCTCCCCCATTCCGGCAGTAACCACCCTGCCAACCGACACAACCCCACTTCGCAGCGTCTCCCCTAGAGTCGAGCGGAATACCCACCCCGCGTTTCACTCATAGGCGCAATCCCGACAAGCTCCGACCTACATTCCGGCCGTCACCCATCCCATCTGCCGGTGTCTCTTTTACCAAGAAACACAAGCCAAAACCCCACCCACACCAAGCCTAAACGGTGCGAGAAGTTCTAGCGTTACTCGCTATATCCTCTCTTTGCTGTTTGTCGTCATCTCGCTTGGCTGTTCAAGAGCATCGCCTTGTCATTGGCGATCTTGCCTGTCCTTATCGCCTCGACCCGTGTTTCAGCGTTGTTTAGGTACTTTGTGCTACTCGCCGCTTTTCGCTGCTTAGCCGCTTACGAAAGTGTTACATTGAGGGTGCTTTAAAGGCAAGAAGCGTTTGATCCTTCTTGTCATTCGTTCTATTCAAGGTACGTGCGCTTTATCCATCAGTGGAAGGTCATCGCTTAACATGTCTTTGCAGGTTGATATCCTTGTCATCCGGCTGATTTGCTGTCGAGCACAGCCTCTTTTCACGCACCACTCTTTATCATCATCACTCTGTTCGCCATGAACATTAAACACTAATTCGGCTTTTGTCGAGTTATCGTCCCCTTCGACCTCGTCTATCGACACCCTCATCGCCCGAGTCTTATCTTCTCATTCGAGAAGATTTAAGGCTCATTCGACCAGTCAATCGCATAATCGACCATCTCCGCATACACATCTGTCACAAAAACACTCTTGTCTGTATCCAATACCCATTCGCATACGCATTCACCCCCATATCACCACATACCAGCATATCAGAACCAGCATCATGTCAAGCACGATATACCACCCCGCCCCCATGCCCCACTCTCATTCCCCATCCCCTATCCCATTCTACCAGTCCAACGCCATGTCGCCTACGACGACGAAGCGCTTACGCTCATGCCTCTCTCCAACACGGACGAGATGCAGCTCGCCAGCGCTCTATCCCAACACTGGGTCGGGCAAATTTGAAGCTGCCGGTGGAAGAGGGGTTGGGGAACAGGGTGGGAAGAGGATCAAGACTGTTAGGTGGCAGGAGTTGAACGGGTGTGCTGTCGCTGTGAGTATCTTGCTCACTACACGTTGATCGGGAACTGATCAGGAGGCAGTCCTTCCACGATACCTATTCGCACGAAGAGTACGACCGCACTCCGCTCGAACCCCCTGCGCCCGAAGAGCGCGAATGTGTTCTTCCTGAACGCGGCTCTCGATGCCTCTCCGCCATCTTTTCCAACCCCACTTCCTTCTACTCTGCCCCTACCATGTACGACGACGACGAGGAAGAAGAGGAGGACGATGATCTTCGGGCATGTTCCTCCGATCTGGACTCGTTCATGCTCCAAACGCCGCCTAGTACGGAGGTCAATTCCGAGGACGGTGATCCTTCCGATCGTGACGAGGAAGGAGAAGAGGAGCAGGATGGATGGGATTCGTGTATGCAGAGAAGACGGATGATGTTTTCCCGTCTGTGTGGGCGAGGAGGAGCAGAGGGAGAGAGGTATCCCGAGTTTGAGGGGTACAAGTCGTTATCTGCCACGCTCGTGCAGTTGCTGCAGAGTGTCGGGTGTGATGATGGCGATGCCACCGAAGCTGCTCGTGGCGAGAACGAAGAAGAGGAGGATGACGAAGAGGAAGAGGAAGAGGAAGAGCGGGGTAGAGATAAAGGTCTTAATATTTTTGGTCTTTCTTCACTTCCTCCTCGCCAAGAAGAGGCTATCGAGACTGGCACCCCATCGCTCGTGTCCACTGAGGAAGCCGAGAGCGAGATTGAGTGGAGCATACGAAGCCCCGATGGCGGCTCGTGCGGCCGCGGCTTCCCCGTGACATTGGGAAGGCCGATAAGAGGGGAGAGCTTGGACTTCGTCTCTGGCGTAGAGGGCGGAGATGCGGACAAGGTCCAGATGGCGTCCGCGTACGAGGGGGAGAGATGGAGAGGGGGCGAGCGACTAGACATTTAATCATATCAGACCATATAGTACTTGTTAGCCCGGAGAGGGGGGTAGAAGTAGACCGTGGTAATACGTATACGACCACACTTATGACATATCATGAACATACTTCCAATTACACTGTACTTGGACTTGTTGACATTGAATGAAGGCTGCCTCCACATCGCTCCAACCTCCACCGGGAGAGTGGCGAACGACTCCGATCAATTCTCTTGCATTACACATCCTCGCCATATCCTTGTGCTCTTTCTGTGCCCGTAAAAGCGGGTTTAGTCACCTGTACTCTCAAGAATCCTCCATCAATCCCTCAAATCTTCAACGAGGGCAGGAGCTTGCCATCGCGCGGCCCGGCTTATAGAAAATCACGAGGTCTTTCATCACTTCGGCAGCTCAGAGCAGCATAAAAGCTCTGCTGTGGACACTCAGGCATCAAGGGTTGCATGGGTAGGGCAGCGTACTTGTCGAACGATATCACAAATCGGTACCCCGCTTTGGTAGCACTGCAGTAAGTGTAGCCATCGTCGAGAGGAATTTGGTGCTGACCGTAGCTCTTGTAGTTCCTTCACATAACATGGCCGCTTTTGAGGTATCAGCTGCAGGGGTACCCTCCTCCACCCCTGAGACAGCACCCATCCTACTCCTCCCTCCCGAGATCATCGACCACTTCCTCACTCTAGTCCCTCCTTCCGAGCTTCAGCTCACAGCCCTGTCCTTACTCAAAGTCTTTCCGAACCACAACATCTCAAGGCGGCATCTATGGAGGCACCTGATTGTGTTCAGAGCTGGGCAGCTATGGCCCCTGTGGCAAGTGTTGAAGCAGGAGGAAATGATGAGGCGGGGTGTCAGCACTTTTTGTCTGGTGCGTCTCTACAAAAAAGACCCGCAGGTATTTAGGACTGACAGTGATGTAGCAATCGTGGCAGGGAGATGCGGACATCCTAAACAATGTGATGCGCCGTCTCACCCACCTCCATACCCTCATGCTCAACATTGGAACCAATTTTGCGCCGGGGCATTTGGAAGAGATGTTTGAAAATCCGAGGATGGACTTGGAGAGGATGGAACTGAGGTTCAGGCCGTATGTGGAGCAAGCAAGCTATTATCAGTTTTTGGCTGGTAAGTCGTTATAATATCATGACGAAGGTTTTGCTGACACCGCTACAGGGTCGTACTTCGATACTGCTATCGAAACGCTGACGAAGAAATGGCCCGTTTGTCCAAACTTCACTCATTTGAGTATCGTACAGGACCTCCCCCCTCGGTCCACTGTCCCTCCAACGGCTCGAACCACTGCTGCCAACTCTGCGGCCAACTCTGGAGTGAACTCCCTGGCCAATTCCATCTCGGACCTCCGCCTCGAAGCTCCTTCAGGCCAATCCACCGCATCGCCGTCCGACAGCGATAACGAAGACTCCACCCCTCCCACGTCCGTCGATGATCCGAACCCATACGACAGATCCAGGACGAAAGCCTACACTGGCCATGGTCCGTTTGGTAACCCTTTTCTCAACGAAAAGATGGGCATCACCAAACCCAAGACTTTTGCTCAGCCTATCGTCTTCTTCGATATTCGGTGTATCGCGACATTTGGCGGCAGCGCTTCGGCTGCCAGCCTCACTCACCTCCGTATCCGTGTCCCCTCTCGCGACCTGGCGCGGGTGATGACCTTGCCCCCTCCCCGAGGATCTCGCTCTCAAACCCTCTTCCCCGAACTCCGCTACCTTGACATTTCCACCACCAACGTCCGTATCGACACCACCTTCTCCGCCCTGCTAAAGCAGTATCACAAACTCGAGCATCTCGTCCTCGACCGAGTCAACCTGTTTGGGTTTACAGCGCGAGAAAAGGGCTTGGAGTTGTGTAGCGACTTGGGAGCGCTCTTGGTGAATGCAGGTTTGGCGAGGTCGAAAGAGCGTGAAAAGCAGATGACGGCTTGGGAAGTGGCAGAAAGGGTGAGGCAAGCGGAGGCGGCTGCTGAAGCTGCTCGTCGAGAGGCGGAGCTACGGGCAGAGGAGGAAGAAGGTGAGGAAGAGCAGGGCGAGACAGATGAAGACAGGCGAGCGAGGGAGGCCAGGGAGGAGATTGAGCGGAACCTGGAAGCAAACAGGCGTCGTCGGGGACCTCGGTCCATGGCCATGTCGACTTTCTCGCTACGGGATCGCCCGAGGAGGACTGTAGCGGACTCGTCAGCATCGTCGAGCACCAACAGTCTTCCTCTTCCCCCGCAAGACAAGCTGTACTTTGTTCTTCCGCCTCTACCGACGCTCAAATCGTTATCCATCGGCGGCGAAGCGCATACCTTGTCAGCAGACAAGGTGCAGGACTGGGAAGACCAGTTCCACGAAGGATGGCTGGAAGGGCTGGAGCGTATCTTGGGCTGGGCGGCGCACTTGGCAGACAAGTACGAGCGAGCGCAGAAGAAGGCTGAGGAATGGCGTGTTGCCGAGCAGAAACGTCTCGGACAGTCCAGCTCCTCGACACCTGCTGCTCCCACCGGCCCTGGGGCAAAGGGAAGTAAGAGCAAGGGCAAGCTCCCCGCCGCTCCGAAAGTCAACATCAAGCCACCCACCGACATCCGTCTTTTCCGTTTCCCGCACCCTTCTGAACCATACTCCACCGAGGAAGACGTCAACGTCCGACCGGGACCACACAACCTTACTGCGGGTCTTGTTGAGATTCTGCCCGCTTCTCCCGCCGGTCGAGAGTACCTCGAGCCATACAAGACGGCCATGTCGGATGCCCAGCTTTACTTGGACGGGCAGGCTGGGGAGACGGCGAGGCCGCCGTGTGTGTTCTGTACGGTCCCCGACTGCGAGGGGCCGGCGAGAAAGGGTGCGGAAGGAGAGAAGGTGGACGGGAGAGGCGGGATGAATGGGAAGCACAGGGATGGATGTGGGCATATGCTCGGGAGGGAGACTTGGGGCTGGAATGGCTTGTGAGGGGATGATAGGGTTGTTAGGTCTTGATACTCTGGACATGCTGAATATGTACTTTCTAGTCTCAGGTGGAATGTAGCATTCGACTGGTAGCCATAATGCGTCATATGGACACTACGGTCACAAAAACAGGGGAGCACTGTGCAATCTGATTGGTTTGTGACTAAGTAGATGGCCCCGATATGTTGCAGAAATTACATGCGAAGGTGCAGATTAAACATACAAGATATCGAAAAGGTACAAATCCGCCTACTCATCCCTCTGTCTCTTTCTCGCTCCGTCGGTATCATCAGCCTGCCTCTTGCCTCCCTTCCTAGCAGCATCCATAAACTGCTCAACACCGAAAGGATCAGAAGACCCATCCAGCGCAATGACCTTGTCCTTCTCAAACAGCACCGGTCCTTCCCTAGCATCCGCCTTGTCCGCACCCTCGAACCCTCTCGTCGCATTGCCAAGGGCAAATCTGTCTTTGGACATCTCCTCCTTGATACCGTCTTCTGTACCACCACCAAAGGACTCGTCGTTGCCATGCGAAGCGCCGACGGGCTTGTAGATGGCAGCAGCGGCGGAAGAGCCGGCGAAAAGGGGTTTATCGTAGAGGTTGTAAGAGTCTTCAGCGGCAAAGGATGTGGACAGGGCTTCTCGGTTGAAGAGACGCGAGTCGAGAAGAGTCTCTTTGGAGGCTGAGGGCTTGGCGAGACCGAGGGCGATCTTTTCCGAAATGTCTCGATTTGCTTCCCTGCGTAAAAGTCAGCGCCAGCATAGTTTACGGATGAAGAGTACGCACTTGGCAAGCAGCTTTGCTCTGGCCTCTGAACCCATGTTTGACAGACGCATCTCCTTCTCGCGCTCTCTCTTCTTTTCAGCTCGCACAAGATTACGCTCCTTGATAGCCTCATCGTCCTCTTCTTCCTCGTCTTCCTCTTCGCTTTCTTCCTCAGACTCGCTCCCACTACCATAACCTCCAAGACCCATGCCAAGAGAAGCGGGAGGCTTGCTGCCAGAAGCAATGGATGGTGTAGTAATACCACTCCTTCCTTCCCTCGCCCTCTGTGCCGCCAATCGCAATTCTTCCTCTTGAGCCGTCTTTTGCTTTTGCGCCAAGAGCTTTTGCATGTTTGCTCGCTCCCTGACCTCGTCTCGGATGTGGTTGTCGGCGATATACAGAGCTTCGGAGAGCTTGGCAAAGTTGTCGTTGATGTGGATATCTTGCAAGCCTCGGCCATCGGCGGCAAGACGCTTGTCGAGCGGAATGGTGTAACCCTTGTTGTTCTTCCAGTTGGAGATACAGGGAGGGATCATCCAATCCTTCTGGTCTTGCGCGGTAGCGGCTCGTGGAGGAGATTGGAGGACAGGAGCGGGGGGCTCATCAGGCGCCCTGGGGATCTTCTTGTGCTTGAACCTAGGAGGTTCGAGTGGGTCCTCCTGCACCTCTGTCATTTTGATTACCCTCTGCTTGCCCTCGCCTGCCGACTGGTTGGCGGGGGTGTATCGGACATAGGTAGCGTCGGAGTTGGTTTTGGGTACGTGTTTGGGTTGGGCGGCCTTGATCTTGCCGTGGGTGATGCGCTCGAGGGCGAGTCGGGTACGTTCGGCGGTTTCGTTGACAGAGGCATTGTCTGGTCTCTCCATTTGTCTATCGGATTCGGAAACATCTGTTCTGTTGGCGAGGGGCACAAGGTCTGAATGCGATGAGTCTACGCTCCTGAGAAACAGAAAGAGGCTCACCCTTGAAGCTTGACTGCACTTTCGACCCCGCCGCTCGTCCATGCTGAGCAATCGCATCGTACCTCACCAAACCATCAGAGTCCACCTGCAATGCCAACGTACTGCCCGCTCCCTTTGCCTTCCTGCCCATATCAAGCGGGTACTGCGCGACATGACACTACACCCACCAACCTTCGTCAGTGGCGAATCTCACAACTTGGTCGGAAGCGGGGAACTGACCTCGGGATAAGCACCACCGCCGTTGAAATCGGCGGCAGTCTTGGGCTTCCATCCTTTCCTCGCTCCGTATTTTGGTAACTGAGGGCCTTGAGGGGCGGTGGGGAGGGAGGAGGCGGGGAAGACATCTTCCCACTCTGTTTGGCGGATTGGAGCCGGGAGAGCTCTGTTTTGTTCCGTTTTTGTCAGCGAAACTATGCGGGCGTAGCTGAAGTTTTGGGGATCACGTACCGAGCAAGAGCAGCCATTTTTGTTATAGGTGTAAATGTGAATAGGGGGTTGTATCGATAAGATTGCGACGAAGATGATGACCACCAGCGGAAATTCGGCATTAGTAGCACGTGGCGCATGATGATTCCATCTTTCCATCTTTCATCGTCAGTCTGACTTTCGTTCGTTCCGTTCGTAGCCAGTCTTGTTTTTGATGAGCATGCTTATCCCGTCACGTATCATGTGAAAAAAATTGGAAGCATATATGACGAGTCAGCCTTCCAGTATGCCTTGTATCTGGCTGCGTCTGTTCAACGTTACTCCGCTCAAGAATGAATCCGCTCTTCCAGCTGCGGTTCACCGCCATATGATCAAGGACTAGGATGGGTGGCATGCAATTGCTGTGGTATGTACCGTCAACATGAAGTCATACACCATCGCAACGTCTGTTTCGGACATGGCCGTGGCCAGATTTTACCATTCTGATCTTGATACTGTGTTGCCAGTCTGTCTACCAAGGAGCACCTGACCCATGCCTATCGCTCATGTACTCAAAAAAGCCGATTTGATACTCGCTCAGCTATCAGAAGCTCAACGTCAGCACTGCTGCAATCAAGCTGCAATTGACATGAGTCCATTGCATTCAGTGGACATTTATTACATAATGAGACCTGCGACGCGCTCGGACCGCGTCTGACTTTGCGGCAAAGAAAGACGAACATGCTGGACTGCTCTATTCAACTCTTTCATTTCTATTTTTTATATCTCATTCTACGCCACGACCTCGACTTCAAAGTATTCCCTCGCCAAGACGCCATCATTCACCCCGAAAAGCCGCTCAAGTACGCCCACCAAAGATTTGGCCACCGACGTCAATTCCCTCGACGCGTGTTTCTCCACGTGTGTGCCATTCCAACTGGCTCTCAGAGGGTTGTATCAACTATACTCAACAAATATTATACCTTTAAGGGGTACCGGGCCGACGTCGGAAACGGACAGACCCCGTCGTGTGGTCCGTGTTTAACGTCGCAAAGTGCGCGTTTCTCGACCAAACTTGAACTTTACCCCTCGACAACCCGTTCTTCATTGCCTCTCATTCCCCCCAAAACACTCGGCCTGCGATGAAATCAATCCTCTCGAGGTTCAAACACAACAACCCCGCCTCCCAATCCCGCTCCCAATCAGCCCCCCAGCCCGAGAATGAGAGCTACCAGCCTCCTCCCGCCAAGAAAGACAAGGAGGGTACTCGTCATCTCTTTCGTACAAAATCCCGACCTCAACTCCCTCCTCTCCCTGTGCAGTCTCCCGAACCAATGTCACCAAAAGAAGAGGCACCGCAGCTGGGACCGCACGAGTTTCTCTCCGAACCCATCCGGGCTCCAGAAAGACCCTTCAGCGTCCAACCGTCCCCCCACCCACCTACTCGAGCCGTCAACACTGCAGGTCCCAGAAGACGGACTGTCAGTGCGAGCGGGGATGGGCCGCGTAAAGTGACCTTCAGGTCTCCACCGCCCACGCCGACGACCAGTGTACTCTTGGACGAGGCTGTGCGCCAAGATGAACCAGAGGTCGTTACGGATACCGACTCGTTGATGATGGAGAGGACTGACTCCTTACCCTCATCTGCCCGTCCTTCCACCTCGCAATCACATACGCAGTCTCGCCGGTCGTCTCACTACACCACCACCTTTCCCCATTCATCCCGGAAAAGTTCTGGTGCCTCTCAACGGACATCTTCCCCCGAGAAGCAACCCAGTAGTATCATGATGCGGAATAAAGATGGCACACTTAGTCCGTCACCGTCAGAGATGAGCTTGGGTACACAGAGTACGATGAGCTGGTTACCCGTTGCTGGGTCTTGGGGCGAGATGGCGGATCAGGAATTGGTGGCCAATCTAGGCCCAGTGGAGAGGACGAGACAGGAGGTGCTTTTTGAGATTGTGTCCAGTGAAGAAAGGTGAGTCGTCAAGTATGGATCAAAGGCCCTGCTGACCTTGATAGATATGTCAACGACTTGGTGACGATAAGCGATGTCTTTTGCAAGGCGCTCCTGCCTGCATCAGCTACATCTCCCCACATCGAGCTCTACGATCCCATCTACGCCCTCGGGCGAACTCGCTCTCCCACATCTCCAGCCTTCTCCAGCTTCAACATGTCCTCGTCCGACCTGCCCATCGCGTCCAAATTCGCTGCTACGAGCCAATTTCGTTCGCCCTCAGACAGCTCAGTGTCCATCGGCCCTATCACACCTATCGACGATTTTAGCGTTGGCATGCTTGGATCTGGTCTTGGGTTTGGTTCTTTACCGGGACAAAGCAAAGCTCGGCAAACGGCGTACAATACGCTCACAAACGGCGCGCCCCCGAGCCCTAGCAGAAAGCCCAGCATGGCCTCGCTGAAACACCAGTCTCTGCCCCCGTTATCGCGGGCGACTTCAACTGTGCCGTCAAGAGTAGCGTCCCGCACCTCTTACCATCCCCCTCCCACTTCCGCCTCGGGCAAGATTTCCAGATATTCGAAATTCTCTGCGTCATCTTTGCGTCTGTCATCTGCTTCATCGCCGAATCTACCTCCGATTATCGATAAGGACGAGATACAGCTTCCGGAGAGTCTGGAGAAGGTGCTCAAAGCTGTGATGAATGGGATGTTGGAAGGGCATTTGAAGTTGGTGGAAGCGTTGAGAAAGCGGTATGATGATCAGTATCCTCTGGTACGGAGTCTGGCAGATGTGTTCAATCGTCATGTATGTCAACATTGTCACGTCAATCTGTCGCTGATGTTTGTATAGTCTACAGTGTTTGAAGAGTACAGCGTATATGTCCTTCACCTTGAAAGAGCCCTGGAGCAGATCCAAGCTGCTCTCTCATCCGTCGAACCCGCCTCCAAACCCAAACGCCTCTCGAAACAACACACCCTCACGCCCCTCCAGAAACTCGGATACTACATCACCCAGCTCTCAAACTCTGCTTCTGCCCAAGGCATCCCTTCATTATCCATATCCCTCTCCAAACCATTCCAACGTCTCCTCAAATACCCCTTACTCTTCCAAAATCTGTTATTCAACACAGACCCGACTTTGTGGGAGTATGAAAAGACGTTGGGGATGTGTGAGGATGTGGATCGAATGGTGAGGGTGCTGGAGGATGAAAAGGTTGGTGAGGAAGCGAGGGAAGCGACGAGAGATGGATGGGGGAGGGTGGAAGGGCTTGGTGGGGGTAATGTGCTGGTGTTGCCCAAGGCGTCGAGGTTGCTTCTTTGGGAGAAGCCTCTACGGGAAGTGTCGAGCGTGGACCCGAAGAAGGTTCTAGCGGAGAAGGACACGGAACCTGTTTCCAGGAGTCATATGCCGCCGAGCAGTATGAAACCGGTCACGGAGCAGAAGGGCACGGATATGACGGTGAGGAATACAAAGAGTATGAAGAGGTTGGGTGGGTTGCTGAAGGCAGAGAAGGAGTACTGGATCGTGTAAGCTTTTACATGTCTCGTGTGAGCTCAAGCTGATGCCCAGGGTAGCCGATTCACTGACATGTCGCTTTTGTGCTTGAAAAGCGGCACCACTTCACTCCCCATGTCGGCTACAAATCAATTGAAGCAAGGCAAAAACAAACGCGCGAGCAGTGATGGTTATCCTGGCATTGGCATGGCCAGAGGGCGGGAAAGGAATTTGTATAGGTTCTTAAAGGTATGGGAGTGGCATTTAGAGGATGAAGATGGCGGAGCCGACGCGACGAGGTGAGTTTATTCTGTGGTTTGTATGCGGTCAATGACTGATGATGCGTGACAGTGTTACACAAAAACCTCAGAGTGCTCCCCCAGTGTCAAACAATGGCACTCTTTCGAAAGGACAATCTCTCTCGCTGGCCACGATCCCCGGCACACCCCATAAGCCCGCCCCTCGCCCGGGTCAGCCAGGCTTCACCTCGGCAAGAGCTCAGTCCATGTCCAACATCTCCCCCTCGCGAGCCGGGGCTTCACAGGATGAAGGCGATGGAGCTGCGTCAGACAGTGAAAGCGTCATGTCTTTCCCCTATTCTGGAGATGTGCTTAAACCAATTCCAAAGAAGACAGTGTTGAAGCCCCGTACTACCGACGGCCCTCGTCCGCCCCCGACCTCCTTACGTGCCAAACCCCGATCGCCTTCAGCTTCCAGCTTCCCCTCTCGACCTCCAAGCTCTGCACGAGCATTCAGCACCAGTGCACAGTCTTTATCCCAAGCATCCGCTCGCTCGAGAATCGGCGATACTGCCCACGTCAACGCCAAATTCGCGAACAGGCTCCGATCTGTGGACGATCCCACTGGTGCTGCGGCCGGACGCTTGAGTCTGCCACCTGCGATGATGCGGAGCTCCTCAGCTGCTGATAGCGTGTCTGTCGTAGGCGGAAGGCGGGCGGTGTCGACTATTGGTAGCCGAGCAGGCAGTGTGATGAGTCGCCGGGCGGAAGACGAGTCAAGTGAAGGCACCGTACGAGCTCGACCACCATCTGTCCGACCGCCTTTACACGCCCCAAAGAGGGCATCGACACCGGCCTCTACTGCGACATCGAAAAGAGTCATTACACCTACTCTACCCGCCGGCCAATCTGCCCGAGTCGTACCCTCTCAAGCCCGCCAGAGGGGAAGTCTTCCCTTGCCGCCTCATCCTTCTTCTTCAGTGGCTGGTGGTCCACCGGGCGGGGATGGCAAGGTGAGCGCGGCCACTGCTGCGAGACGGGCGAGAGCGTCTGTCGGCCCTGCTGCTGTTGTATCAGCCCCCGTGGGCAGAAAAGTGAACCCCACTTTGGCTCCTACCAACAAGCCTTCAGCCAACGGCCCCATGCCTTCAAAAGCTGCCTCCACTACCACTCTCAAGTCACCACCTTCTTCTTTGCCTCTAGAGAAGAAGTCGGGGCTGAAGAGTATGCAAAGCACCGATAGTGGGCTAGCAGAAGTCTGGAGGACGACGTATGGCGGAGTAGACACCGATCAACTTGGCTCGACTCCTCGGAAGCGGGCAGAGAGCTCCAATACAGACCTGTCGCCAGAGACGAGGAGGCCAGTGTCGAGTGGATTGCGACCTCTGGCTTTGGCTGGTTCCGCGACGATTGCTAGAGACAGGAAGAGTTCGAGCCCTACGACTAGTATAGCGAGTGGTGTTGGGAGAAGGCCTTTGGTGGGCGCTACGGCCCCGGGGATGGGGGCTGGGGCAGCTAGCAGGAGAGATCTTGGTGGAAAATTTTGATCTCGCTTTAACGATCTTTAATGAAGCTCATGTGTCTAGATTGTGTATAGCTTGTGTATAGCTTGTTTACAACTCGTCTTCCTACATCCATCTGTTTGTATACAGTATGAGAATACATAGTGGTGCTTGGTGTGTATACCTGCGCCACTGTGTGCGGAGTAGATGTATGCCCCACATGCCATGTTACAAAATCGAGCGGCTTAACCTAGCCAAGTGATATCACCAAGGACTCGCTTGTCTGGTACCTGTTGCATTTCGCCCTTCTTCATCTTGCCATCCGCCAGGCCAAGGAAGAAATTGTCCGCATTGCCCTCATTGAGGGTGACGTGTTTGTAGACCAAGGGCGAGCAGGTGTCGAGGAAATCTGTACAGGTGAACATGAGCTGGAGAGCGAGAGAGGTGCAGGAGGTGATAGATGATGAGCTGACAGATCTCGGAGGGGAAGGTGGCGGTTAGGTTCAGTCCCTGGTCGGCTTGTGAAAAGGGCTTGGCCTGGCGAGATCGGAGCATACTGATAGACAAGCTAATGTCACAAATTGGCAAGCAAAAGATGAAAGAAAGACAATTGGAACGGCGACAATAGCGAGGTGCCTGGGGTGGGTTGTCTAGTTGAGTGACTTGTTTGGTTCCAGATTGGTGTTCGGATGAGCTCGCTGCATTTTGCTTCTGAGAAACAGTACTTGTTTCGCGTGGATCCAGATTTATACATTCAATCTTATCGAGAAGGAACAACATGTTCTACGATTACACGAAAGTCGGAAAAAATTTATAGAAACCAAATCAACTTATTTTACGTATGGCCGAATCAAAACGTCCATCCCATTCACAACTTAGGCAGCAACGACCTCCTCCCGAGCATTCTCCTCCACACTCCCCAAAATCGTACTCCTCCTCTCCTCAAACTCCGCCTCCATCTGCTTCCTCCGCCACTCCATGTTAACCGCCACCAACCAGCTCTTGATCAAATCCGCATGCTTCCTCCTCAACTCTTGCTGATCCGACACTGTCAAACCAGCCGGCGGGGGCGATACAGTCGATCTCGACGAAACCGGTGCAGGGGTAGACTCGCTCGAAGACGATTCGGCAGGCGCATCCGGCCCAAGCTCTAACCGCTTCACCCCGCGCACAATCTCATCCTCCGTATGCCTCTTTGTCGGTACTTCCTTTCTCGGGCTCTGGCCCCTCGGCGTGCCCAATTCGGAAGCAGTCCCAGACGAAGCAGAGGAAACGCTGCCATGCTGGCGGTAGTGCGAGATGGACTCGAGAGGCGGGAGGTCTTGGCCCGGTTCGACGTGGGAGGGCGAGATGGCGGGCAGTTTGAGGTCTGCCTCGGAGATGGTGGGGGAGGTGGAAGAGGGGATGATGAATGCGCGAACGGGGATCTTGGGCGTATCGCTGCCTTCTTCATCAATGTCAGGGTACACTGCGTCATCCCCTTCGTCTTCGTCTTCGTCACCCATATCCGTCCTCTCGGCGCTCTCCCGGGCTCTGTGAGAGACTGCGGTACCGAGCGGCTCGACGTGCATGTAGGTCTTTTTATAAAAGTCCTTGGGGGCGAGGGTAGCAGTGGGGAAAGCATTCTTGGAGCGCGCGAGTGAGTCGAAAGAGGCGTAATCGTGGCCTGCCGGCTGGTTCCCATGGGACTGGGGGTGGGGAAGAGACATGTCGTTGAAGTTGATGTACTCTTGGTTCTGAGAGTATGCGTTGTAAATGTTGGACATGTATGGCTTTTGTTGTTGGCCAGTACCTTGGCCAGTACCAGCGACAGAGTTTCGGGGCAGGTTGGCGATAGGCCGCCTGGTATGGTCGATCGACACGTCCGGCGCGGAATGCGTCCTGCCCCTGACAGTATCCAAGCTGGGATAGAGCCCGCCAAACGAGACGTTCGCAGGGGACTCTCTGTCAGACGGACTTTGAGACAGCCCATGAACATCGGTAGGTGAATTGTGCGAAGAACCCATGGGGATACCGGGCATACCAGCCAGGCCGAGGGAGGCGAGTTCTTCAGGGTTGAACAAATCTTCAACCCCACCTTGGTCCGAGAGAGGTGAGCCAGAACTGCTTCCAGCAAAGCCCGGTGTGCGCGAGTCGGAGCCCGAAGACGTACCGCTGCCAGAACCAGAGGGCGCCATCGGCTGAGTCTGCGCATTGTTCGAGGTAGAGGTGTCTCGGCCCAGAGAGATCATGAATTCGTTAAACATGGCCAGGTCGGCTTCTGTTTTGATCTGGGGAACGGGGAAAGGAGGGAGGTTGTATGTCGGCTGGGGGGTCATGTTGGAATACATGTTGTTGTTGAGAGCGGGTAGAGAGGGGTAAGAGCCGAATTGGTTGAAGCTGTTGTTGTTGAATTGGTTGTAGCCCATGTTGGGCATGGCCGGGAAATTACTCGGCATAGAAGGAGGTACGAGGGCGTTGAGACGCTGGATCATATCTATGCGAGTGTCAGCAGAGTAAGCAGAAGTCAAGATATTACGCACCCTGGTTGTAAACCGGTTCGACCTTTCTCTTCTTCATATCCGCAAGCAGTCCCTCCAGCCCGTCCTCCTGCCCCCTCTTGACCCCCTTGGTCCCTCCAAACTGTTCCGCCGCCAGCTGCGCGGCATACGTCTGACTTTGTCGCTGATTGAAAGCCAGCTGCTGGAGCACCAACATTTCCTTTTGCTGATACGCCGCAAGCTCCTCATGCTGCTTCTTGTGCAATAAAGCCAAAGCGCTAGGAGTGGGCGACACCGACTTGTCGTGCGGGAATTGCGGGGCGAGCAGGTGTTCAAAGGGGGAGGACGAGTGCATGCTGTGGGACGAGGAGCTGCTCTTTGGGGAGAGCGAGTGGGACAGCGGGGAGCGGGGACGGTCGGGTCTAGTGGTGGAAGACAGGGAGAGGCGCGAGTTGAAGGCGGGGTCTGTCGTCGTCGGCGCCTTGGAGAGCTTGTGGAGTTGGTGGTGCTCGGTGGTATGGATACGTTCGTGCTTTTTCAAGTCTTGCGGCCGCTTGAACGTCTTGCCACAGACCGCACATGGATGCGGCTTGAGTGGTGTATGCACTGTTGTCATCAGCATGATTCCTCGTGGAAGCTATGCACTCACCTCGCAAGTGACTTGTAATGTGGTCACGCTTAACACACTTGACGCCGCAACCCGCCCAGCCACAAGTCAAGCACAGATTATTGGTGCTCTTCCTGCCGACATGCTGGTTGCAGAGATGGTCGTACAGGAGATCTGGCGACTCGGCTTCGTGGGAGCAGTCTGCCCACTTGCAACGCAGTTCGGGGTCTTTGGTGTCGTTGCCACCGGCCGCGGGGGGCGGGGCGTGGGATGTGAGCTCCGGGGTTCTGGGTTCTGGGTCGGCGGAAGAGGCGGACTCTGAGCGGGGGAGAGTTGGGTAGGTCATGGTCGCTATAAGGGCATATGTGAGTGGAGAGGCAAAAGAGAGACCAAATGAAACGGCTCGAGGGGGTTAACTGAAGTGAATCGTCTCCGGATTTTGTGCAGTGAATCACAGAATCTTGGTAGCTTGGCGCCAAGCATCGTAAGGCGCGCAAAAGATTCTAGTTAGGCGTAGAGATAATCGGAGTGCATGAAAGCGAGGAATATGGGGTCAGATCACTCAGATCAGTCCGCCACAACAGCAGCGCCACAGTACAATCTCAATCCAGCATATCTACAGCTTGTTTTGCTATCCAGTGTCGTCGTTCTCTTGCAACAGTTGACCACAGCAGTTTCTCTTGCTTCATGATCGGCGATATCTTGCAATAATCGTTTCCCTGATCCGGAGTTACGTACCCCCCTCTGAGAGCGTTCCTGGTCAGTCAGTGTGGCACTTGACCAGCTTGGCCAGCTCGGCACTACGTACAGATCTGCTTGGCTGAACGGGATCAGATGTGGTATGTACGTTCAGATGATCTTGCTTGAGCGTGTTGGAGGTTCTGTGGCAGAGAAGCGTGAGCTCGGAAAAAACGAAACTTATGGGGTGAGCGTGGGGAAAGTTAATAGCCTCAGTCGTTGTATCATCCCTTTTCCTATGGATCTGATAGCACATACGGTATCCATTTGCCACATCGAACGTGGGTCCCGCGGAAGAGGTCGGGGGGTCGCAAGTCCTTGGCAGCACGAAGTTGAGACAACACCTCAAGGCTTAGAAGGCTCACGTTATGTTTGGAGATTGTAGCATGGAAGGCATGACGATGTGATCTACAAGTTCTTGGGTTCCAGTACACCACCCCCCGAGTCTTTCCTCCAGATCTGCCACCACCCCGCCATGGTTGCCTGGTCGTGGCAACAAACGTGCCACTATTGTACAAGGCAATAGTTACATCTCATTCGTAAGTCGGCATTGTGGTGCGACAAACATCCAACAAACAACCGTTTGCGACCCGACCACTGCTTGTGGGATGCTGTAAAGCAAAGTGAAGTTGACTGACTGCATGTCAGCTCAACGGTATATGACGTCCTGTGCTGGAGCTTCTGCAGACGCGGGAGATGCAGCAGCTCCACCGCTCCATATACCTCGCATGCCCCTCTGGTCAACCAACTTCCTCTTTCGGCGACAGTAAGCGTTTGGTCACCGCCCGCCGCCGTCATGAGGTTACGTAACCATATTTATCTGGTAATGTGACGTCGTCCTTGTTTGATGATATTTGCTTCCGTCGTCCCGGGAGAACTGACGGCGTTGGTCCACCCCAGGATTGTTTGCGATTACGTACTGCATAGGCGTGCATCGCGATGATTGAAAGCAGGCGTGCCGGAGAAATTTACTCCTCCACCCATGACCAGTGCCTATCTTTGTGTTATGCAGATACATATGCACAGAGCTGATGTGTGTGTCTTTTGCCCTGTCACCCTTCACTGTCTCGTCAAGCACTCTCACCATGTCAACAGTTCTTCTTCATCCGTACTCCTTGCCTCTCTCAGCAGCAGTCACCAGCAGCCAGCATGTCCGACATTGTCCAGCCAAGATCATGCTCCCGCTGCCGCCGCGTCCTCCCCCCTGACTGCTCTACTCGTCTGTGTGATCGCTGCAAGGAGGTCGGTAGGGCTTCGCGGAAAGCTCAGTATGCCCCAATCAAAAAGAAACCTGAAGCACCTATCGTAAGTCGCCTGCGCTTCTTTACGCATGATCATGACTGACGCCGTGACTAATAGATACAATATGACTCTTGGGAGGACCTTCGAAAGAATTTTCTCCAAGAAGTAGAAAACCATGCCTCTCAGCGACCTGCACAGCATCATCCCATCGAGAGCCTCCATTTCCATGGTCAATGCGTTCTAGAAGACGGCCTGCGACCTGAGAGTGACGACCACGAGACAGGAAAGACTTGCTTGCGCCGACTGGGGATTTTTCTGGCGGGTGTAGATTCTGGTTCGGACTATCGCTTTGGGTGAGCTCCTTAATCGCACTGAGGCTCCATTCGACAGTAAAGCTCACGAGCAGCAATAGATATCATGATATAGAGGCCTATAAGGGTCACCTGCGTGCTCGTTTCCGTTGCTGTCAGGATGAGCGTCAAGCCGACGGACATGTCCCCACTTCTTCAGGAGATCTTACAGACAACGTCAAGAAACGTCGACCTGGGCGACGAGGGATGGACAGGTTCCACTGTGGGTCTTCTTTAGTCATCAAACTATTTCCGCCAAGACCTGGAGTGACAATTGTGGGTTTTCAAGAAGTCTCGCATCGCCCAAATCCCGAAGTCGTCCGGACCTAGTCCTTCAAAGCAGCTTTCAAGGCCATTAGCTTGCCACCAGATAGGTATATATACTCACGAATGAAATCTTGCTTCCGTCAGAACGACCGTCTTCGTCTCCGCATGGATAATCGCTTTTTTGGGATGAATCAGCAATGATGGATTGTTGAATGGCAATGACAAAGCTCACCTTTATATCCATGGGGTAAGAAGCGGTATCTATCTGTCACCCAGTGACTGAAGGCATCGAAGAGATCGACCACTTCACGAAAAAGGGGAGGATAGACACGGGTTGCACTGAGGTCAGCGATCGTAGTCTTGCTCTCGCTGCTCAAAGAGGGGGAAGGGGAGCAGTTCTCCATATGCAAGGTCTCGGGCCGAGCAAAGATTGGTCGAACCAGCCAAGACCGGGGTGGTTTGGCCCCCCCTACTTCCCTTATCACAAAGCAGGACGAGACGGTGATCACTGATTGATGGTGGTTAGCGCTTACTGGTGCCCATTGTACAAAGATGATAACTCACCTATCTCCGACTTGACCTCTTCCCTGAACAGCTTGAACAAGGCGCCCAAGCGTCCAAGGAAACCCAGCTGTAGAAGCTGGCTACCAAAGGCGTCGTCTTCTTCTTGGTTCAAGGCCCGAGTAGCCCAGTAGGACTTCCCGTTCCAAGACAACTAATGACGAAGTCAGTAAAGACATCGTCTTCGCTACTGCAGGTTGCAAACACACCTTGTAAGTACCAAGTTGTCCTTCCACCTTGAAGGGAGCCTTACTCCGACCCTCTCCGAGCACCACCGACGACATGACACCAAACTGGCTTCTCCCTGTAGTCACGACCTCGGAGGGATTGGCCGAAATGGGGCATTCGGCATCGTAGACACGGAACTCGATATGTTCGTCCGCCCCGAACTGTCGATCCATGGGGCACCGCAGATCAGCCTGTGAGTACGAGGTGTTGGTCGCCTTAACACCCCCCGTGACGCGGAGAGTTGCCGTTTCCGGGCCCGCCTTGACTCTGATCGGAACGTCTTCGAGACTCCTGCAATGGTTCGAAGAGTCCCAGAGTCTGCAAGACCGATGATGTAGTTCACGATCTCGGTAGGCAGTGACGGCAGGGGTTTGTCGGGCTCAGGCGCCAAGGGTCGCGATGGGGAGGAATTTGGCGGGGTCGGAAGCTGGGCGTTGGGTGACTCTCTTGCACGCTTATCAGGCCGAGGTGTGGGAGGAGGAGAGTCTTCCTCTTCATCGTCAAACTTGCGTTTCACTCCATATGAGGTCTGCAACGAGCATAAGCATATGAGATGGGTGTACAACAGAACAGAAACCTACTTGCTCATGTGGAGGACTTCCAGGTGATTTGGGCGAAGTTGTCGGTGTCATGGTTGATCAGGGGAGGGGGCGAGTACTCAAGCTTGTCAGTGAGAGTAAGTTTGATATTGGAGTTCAGGAAGGAGAGGAATCTTGTCCATATTTATAGAGAGCTCTGTCCATTCGAATCAGTATCAAGGGGCAACTTGATCAATGAGAACAATGTGAGCACATGATTTTGAAACGATGTGAACAATGTGAACAATGGGAACAATGGGAAGATGAGCTTGAATAACAAAGAGAAATTCAATGGAAGAAGGTCTTTCTGACAAGAACAAAAAGCGTTCGTAAAAACATCATGATCAATCATGATTGCAATCAAAAGGGGCAGTTGTGTTGATGGGACGAACTACGGACAAGTCGGCGATCCGACGGAGAAGTCGGCGATCAACGTCCGATCAGGGTGCTCAATGCGTGCCTATATGTTGGCGCGCCTTTCACCGTCATCATCGTACGTAATCGCAAACAATCCTGGGGTGGACCACCGCCGTGTCGGGAGAACGCAAGAGGTAATCCATTTCAGTGCGCTCATCTCCTCTATCATTCCAGAATAATTGAAGTCCCCCCTATAGAGGTCTGTCCCAGGTGGCGAGGGAAGACGGTGCGGAAACTGACCACCGCGGACTGCAGCTTGATAACACGCGCCGACTCGCCCGAAGAGCACAAACCACGCACATCAATTACAGGGCCCTCCTCGCTCCCTCTTTCGCTCCTACACATGGCCCTGCCATCGCCGGCGTCTAGCTGAAGTGCCCCGCCCCATCCGCCACTTTTCGTCCGCCTTCTTGTGAATATCCACCACCCAGCAATCTTTTCAACCCAGACCGAGGACTCGGGCGCCGTACGCTTTCCCTTACCCAACGTCACTCGCTACTGCGGCCCCCTCGAACAAAACACCCCAATATGACCCTCTTATCGCGCCCATCCAGGTCGTACGCCACTGTCGACCACGACCCCGACGGTCTCGCCGGTGTCGGCTCAGCCCCCCGGGCGGGCGCATCCACCTCGGGCTCAGTTCTGGGATCAGGCGGTACTCGTCGGGGATCGGGTTCCCAGGCTGGGCGAGAGTCTGGCAGCGCGCTCGGCGGGGTGCATGTGCTCAAGAAGGGCAGCAAGAAAGGCGACGGTTTCAAGACATATCGACCTCGTACGCATCTTCCCCTCTTGAACACACATGCTAAAAAAGGCTAACCCTATGCTCAAGCAATTTCCGAAACGCATCTCCGACGCTCACTTGGGTATGACCCGCACCCCACGTCGTCTTTCGCCCCTTTGCCGAGTGCGTTCCAGTCGTCGCGGGTGAAGAAGGAGGCAGCGCTGGCGGGACAGAGGGCAGAGGCTGATCATCTTCTTGCGCCGGGGTATAATGAACCCCGGCGGACGGCTGGGGGTCTTGCTGGAGGTCTGGGGGGGAGCTCAAGTCAAGCGAGCTTCAACCCGCCTCATTCTGCGAATTCCGGAAGGCGACAAGCTGGAGTCTACTTGGATTCGAACGGCAAGCTGCACGATACCGAGTATGACCCGTTTGCGGGTCTGACAAACATGTCTCGCGACAAGTCTCGTCGTCGGTCAGCCTTTGGAAAAAGTCGGCGCTCGTCTGTTTCGTCTGACTCTTCTTCATCGTCTGCTGAATCTCAAGCGAGGAGGCGCCAGAGTCATGATACGATGCGTTCTGTGCGGGACGAGGAAGAAGTCCGTCGGCGGTTGCGGGAGAAGGAGCGCGAGATGGAAAAGCAGCGGGACGACGTTTCGCTATATGTGCAGAGACGGCGAAGCATCATGTCGGAGAGGGAGAGAGAATGGACGGGACGGGGTTCCCCTTCTATCAGGTCGACGGAAGAAGGACCGATGGGTTCGGGGCAGAGTTTCATGACCGGCCGGCGATCCCAGGCCAACCACTACTACCCCTCTCCTCTATCACCCCAATTTGCAGGGCCGTCTTTCGCCAATAACCCTCCCACGGCATTGTCTGCTACTCGCACGCCCAATACGAGTACGTTCTCTGGTATCAACGGCGAAGGCACCCCACCTGAAAAGATCTCCGAAATGACTCAAGCCAAATCACCTGTCCAAGCCCTTGCTCCTCCTCCCCTCATGTCTGAACCGCCGCCCAAAGAGAGAAAAAAGAGTAAAGTCGAAGTGCGGGATGGTGTGACGAAAGTCATCGGCTTTGACGGTCCCGCTCAATCTCCTTCGCCTCCGACGGACCAGCTTGGCAGTCTTTCGCTCCAGTCACCAGACCCTTCTTCGGGGCTCACACCGCCTCCGCCTATCTCTGCTAGCGCTTCGGTGACGTCGAGAGGTTCGATGGATATGCCCCGTTCCCCTCGACCACCTGGTGAGCCTGCACGAACCCGACACCCCACACGCACCGCAAGGGATGACATCTACCCCGAAACTCCCGCCCAAACCAAGCGCCGCCAAGACAAAGAACGCCAGCGTATCCTCTCCGGCGCACACCACCCCTCTCACATCTCATCCCACCACACCCATACGGGCAAACCGTCGCCGCTTGCGATCAATACGAATCTCGCGCCGAATGGGGAGAGGGTGTTGCCGGAGATTGAGATTGTGAGCGATGATGATCCGAGGGTGGTGGTGCCGAAGGAGGGAAGGACGACGAGGGTGCAGAGGGTGCATGATCATGTCATCCGGAACCCGCTCCATCACCACTCGCGCAAGACGTCTCAAGCGTCCAATTCGACGCTGGGCACGCTTCCGCTCCCGCCGACTATGCCTGCTGCTGGTGGGTATGGTTTGTCAGGTTCGTCCTCGTTGAATGACCTGAATGGGAGTGGGAAGGCGAGGAGTACGACGGGAAGCAGAGGTGGGGGAAGCAGTTTCATGGATGAGAGTGGAGGGTATCTGCCCTCGAGGTGGGCGCAAGGTGATAAGAAATTGAGGAAGACGGAGGAGGAGAGGGAGGCGTATAGGCCGAGAGAGTGGGGAGAGGAAGAAGGAACCTGGCAGTGAGTTCTGCTTTTGACCGTCATTCGAGTAAAATCTGACGTTTGTTACAGTCCGACCGCAAAGGATCAAGTGAAGCGAAACTTTAAAGACATCGCGACCAGTGCGAGGTTCAGTCTCTACCGTACCAAAAAGGCGTTGTTGAGGAAGGCGGAGATGTGAGCAGGAGTTTGAGAGTCGTTCTTACTGCCGAAAACGAGAGGAGTTTGAAAGTAGTGATACATGTGGATACAGTATACCCCGTATCCCAAGACAAGGGTTCTTCTTACTATAGCATACTTTACCAATACACGAATTGTTTCCCCTCTTTTCTCAAAAATTTATCAATCTCTTTATGGTACTCCACAAATTGTTGTGTTTGGCTCAGTTGTACCACCATCTTTTTCCTCTTCATATATCTATATACAACTCTTTCTGCTCATACATGTATTCATCCATTGGTCGTAGCTTAGTGATATGACATGGTTGAGAGAGAGGAGATGAGATGGCAATGGACAGCAGGATCACGCGACTAGTTGACGGATGACCAGAAGTTGCCCACATGAGGCCGAAAGCTCGATACGACCAAAATGCATCACATGAGGTATCATACTACGTCGTAGAGATAGTACAGGCTGGGCTGTTTACGACGAGTACGATAGACAAGACAGACATGATACACGAGGTCGAAGAATTAGGAGAGAAAGAGGCAGCTTGTACGGCCAATACAAGCAGCGTCTTGGTGGGGTCGATAAGCGAGACTTCAACATGTTCAGCAGGGGAAAGCGGGTGCAAGGGGAGGTTACACACTTATCAAAGGCAGGACGAATGATCACCGGCGCAAGGTGATGATTCTGAGAATGAGCGCGCAAAGATGTTGAAGGCACGGCGGATCGTGACAACATCCATGTACCAAGTCTGACATGACACGCAGACGATAGTACGGTAGACCTTCTTCTCGGCGGAAGGGTAGACCTCTTGCGAGGTATATAGGCCGAAATCAGATATACTGAGAAGGGCGTACACTTGGGAACGTCAGTCAGTGGTCTACAACTCGTCGATGACATTTCCCAAAGAGGGATCAAGGCAGGCGAGGGTAACTCACAACGACGGTCGCTTGGACGATCATCTGTACTGTGAGGGTCATCAGCAATTGTCAAGATATGCCTGGGGGGGTGTTCGTACTTTACTCATTACAGGTGCGATGCCGCATTTCGCGTGCTCGACTGGCCTGTATGAAAACTATGATGAGGACATCAGCATCACATAATGTTTCCATACCGCAAAATACTCACAATCTGAACCTCTAAAGAGGACTCGCTAGTCATTATATCAGTCAAGAGATTGACATTGGGGAGAAGAAGAGCGCTCACATTTGATTGAGCGTATAGGACGATTGCCACCATGTTGTTGGTGGTCAAGTCGTCCGACGCCATGCCAATCTGCAAATCCAAGATCAGTCAAGTGAGTGCTACAGCAGACAACTGGTCACATTCCCCATGATACTATGCCAAGGTACTAGATTGTGAAATCAGCTCAGCCCTGCGACGATCAGACAGTGATCAACTCTTGTCTCAACCCGGACATTCCGAGGGGAGATTCTTAACGTGGCCCCAGCTCAGTCAAGCAAAACGGCCACGGACCCCATCGATAACAGGTGCGGGAAGAGAGAAAAGTCAGCGGAATCCTGCTCATATACATGTGAATGGCGGGAGCGTGTTTCCCATGGCATGACGCAAACTGTAAACTATGAGGCCTTTGCGGGTGAATGAGTGTGTGGCTCTTGGTTGCTCCGATAAGATAAGAAACAGGCTCTGTACTGGTACACTAGAACCCTGTACATCATGGGGAGGGCTTGGAGGCGTGAACTTCCGACAAGCAGGCCATTGCTGGTAGCCGGATCCGGCTCACAGACTGGGCTGGTCAAAATGCACAGCTTCTGAAATTCCGCTTACATGTACCGTCTTGATAACGATATCCGAGGCCTGCGTACCCGTCTGCACTACCGAGGCATGGAGGAATGCGGAAGAACCAGACAGATCATGATGCGCGGTGGGCAACAAGTAGGCAAAGCCGATCCACGACGATTGGCTGGCGTTGCAAGTCGGTTACGTAACTCGGCCCTCGTTTGCTTGTTTTTTTGGTCGGCGGCTTTGTGCGATTTTCGTCGAGTCAGCCAGAGAACATTTACATTTACTTGATTCCTCTTCTCAACTCTCCCAAGAATAAAAATGTGTGGTATCTTCTGCTGCTACAACAAGTCCGGTGACATCGCCTCCTACCGATCCCGAGCTATCGCCTGCTCCAAGAGGCAGCGACACCGTGGTCCCGACTGGTCCGGTTGCTACATGGCCAACAACACCATTCTCGTCCACGAGCGATTGGCCATTGTCGGTGTTGGTGAGTGCTCTTCCTACTGTCAACCGTGTCTGTGGCGACGCATCGTCTACTTTTGCGCTGCGCCGCGCCAGAGATAAGACTTCAACATCATCAGTACATCCTTTGGTTCAGGGCGCTGATCGATAACGCCACAGACACCGGTGCTCAGCCTCTCACCAACGAGGACGATAGCCTTGTCCTCGCCGTAAACGGTGAAATCTACAACCACGTCGCCCTCAGAGAAAGCTTGAAGAACAAGGATGCCGTCTTCAAGACCCACTCTGACTGTGAGGTCATCATGCACCTTGTGAGTCGAGTCTTACAATCGGGGACTGGGCTGACGCTATGACAGTACAAGGAGCACGACACCGGAGTCTGCAGCATGCTCGACGGCATGTTCTCTTTCGTTCTCGTCGACAAGTCTGTCTCTCCCCCTCGACTTCTCGCCGCCCGTGATCCCATCGGTATCACCACCCTCTACATGGGCTGGCACTCTTCCGCTCCCGAGACCCTCTACTTTGCTTCCGAGCTCAAGACTCTCCACGAGGAGTGCGACAACCTCCAGGCCTTCCCCCCCGGACACTTCTACGACTCCAACCAGAAGAAGCTCGTCCGATACTTCAACCCCTCTTGGTGGGATTCCGACAAGGGAGAGGTCCCCCACAACCCCGTCGACTACACCGAACTGAGAGAATCCCTCGAGGCCGCTGTCAGGAAGAGGTTGATGTCCGAGGTCCCCTACGGTGTATTGCTTTCCGGTGGTCTCGACTCTTCTTTGATCGCTTCCATTGCTGCCCGAGAGACCGACAAGCTTGCTCAGGAGCAAGAGAAGCTGAGACAGGAGAGGAGGGAGGCTATCGCTGCTGGCCAGGATGTCCCCGAGGACCACACCTTGGCCTCATGGCCCCAACTCCACTCTTTCGCCATCGGTCTCCCTGGAGCTCCCGATCTTCTCGCTGCCCGAAAGGCTGCCGACTTCCTCGGTACCATCCACCATGAGTACACCTTCACTGTCCAGGAGGGTCTCGATGCTATTGAGGAGGTTATCTACCACCTCGAGACCTACGATGTCACCACTGTCCGAGCTTCTACTCCCATGTACTTGCTGAGCAGGAAGATCAAGGCTATGGGTGTCAAGATGGTGTTGTCTGGTGAGGGTTCCGACGAAATCTTCGGTGGTAAGTCACTCTCAACTGCTTTATGAGATGTGTCTGATCATTTCTAGGTTACCTCTACTTCCACGCTGCTCCCAACGCCAAGGACTTCCACGAAGAACTTGTCAAGCGAGTCAAGAACCTCCACACCGCCGACTGTCTCCGAGCCAACAAGTCTACCATGGCTTGGGGTCTCGAAGCCCGTGTCCCCTTCCTCGACAAGTCTTTCCTTGAAGTCGCCATGAACGTCGACGCCAAGCACAAGATGTTCTCCAAGGGCACACATCAGGAGATTGACGCGGAGGGCCGACCCAAGATGGAAAAGTACATCATCAGGAAGGCGTTCGACTGCTCTCCCGGTGGCAAGGCTTACTTGCCCGACTCTATTCTCTGGAGGCAGAAGGAGCAGTTCTCTGACGGTGTCGGTTACTCGTGGATCGACGGGCGAGTCTTCTTTTCCATTCCACTTTACCCTGCTGACGACTTCAATAGCATGAAGGACCATGCCGCCAAGGTCATCTCTGACGAAAAGTTTGCTGCCCGAGCTGAGAGATGGTCGCTCGACACCCCCGACACAAAAGAAGCCTACTGGATCCGTGAGACCTTTGAGCACCACTTCCCAACCGAAGCTGCTGCCAAGACTGCTGTTCGATGGATTCCCAAGCAGGAGTGGGGTGTGTCTTCCGACCCCTCAGGTCGTGCGGTGTCTATCCACACTGCCGCCTACGGGGAGAAGAAGCAGTAGAGCGGTGGCTCAATGTATATAGAGCGCTTAGAGAAAAATCATGGGCATCCTCATGGCATTATGCAGTCGTCTCTGTAGTCTTTACATCCTTGCACTCAATTGCGAATTATCTACATTGATATTGCGACTACATATTTAGACCTTCGCGACGACCCGATCGAGTCGACTCTCGACATCCGCCCAGTACTGCTCACCCTTGAATTCCGTTTTCGCCAGCTTCGTCAGAAGGACCGTTATCTCTTGTTTATCCACACCGTACCTCCTCGCAAGCGCCTCAACCTTCTCCTTATATCTGGCCTTGACCTTTTCCATCACCGATTGACCTTTCTGGAACATTTCTGCCCTCTCGGCCTCGTTTGCAGGGACATGACGCGGTTTGGGCGGGACGGGAGGTTCGGCTGGAGGGCCAGGCGGAGTGGACAGGGTGGATACGGGTGGTCCACGGACATACTCGTAGGTATTGCTACCACCCGCATCCACCATTTCCAACTCGCCATCCTCTTCCGTACTCGTCTCATGGCCACTTCTGGCCCTCGCACTTTTCCTACCACTTCCTGGTGTAAACACCCCCGACAACCGATCCAACGTCCTTCTCCTCTTGATCGCACTCCCCGCAATCTGTTCTTGCAGCAAAGACCGTCTTGGCCCGCGACTCTTTTTTCGGGCATTGGCGATGGCCGCAGGTAAGGGCGAAGCCTCGGGAATGTTGGAGTCCGTCCCTTTCGGGATACTTCGAGACCCTGGCCCGTCGACAGATGGACCATTGTGAGGAGTAGTTGGAAGGTTGACACTGGTGTTGAGAGGGGAAAGGCGTGTGGTCCTGGTACGGATGAGCTCGGAGGCAGGACGAATGTTGGTGGGCGGGGACGGTAGAGCCTGTCTTGAAACGGACTGAGACGGCCCTGTCTCGACAATGCGCACTTCTTGTGCTACGACAGTATCCGTCACCTCCAGGCGTTGAGATGAGACCGTTGGGCTTTGTTCGGCCAACCCCATGAGAGTCTCGACGTGTTCGTCGTCACCAGGTGCAGTGCTGGCTTCAGACAATCGAGACCGCCTGGACACTACTACCCGGGGAGAAGTAGTTTCATCTTCGGCAGGACGAGAGGGCTCTGCAGCCATGACTTTCTCGGCGGTCGGAAGACTGTCGAATACCCCAGGCTCGACTCTCCCAAAGTCGATACTTTCTTCCTCTCGCTGCTCTGCTCTACCAGTATGTCGACCTGGCGAATTGTAAGGAGTTCTCTGGAGTGGGTCGATATCAGGGGAGCTTGAGGGCAACCTGCGAGATCGCCGATTAGAGGCTTGTCGCTGATCTTCAGTAGGTGAGGCACTCGGGTTGAAGAAAAGCGGTTCCTTCGGGGCATTGTCGGCCTGGGAAGCAGCGGCGATTGACGAACGTAGGGTCCGTTGGCCCACCCGGTCGTTTGTGGCCGCATTCTCGTCAGAAGCCTGCGAAGAAGGGACGAGAGGAGAGTTGCTGTTCTCGATAGAAGCGGGAACGAGCTCCTCCGCAGGCTGGCGCTCGGGAATAGATTGGAAAGGACGAGTTGGACTTGAGGACGCAGCACGGGGTGCTTCATCGCGCAAGGGAGGTACCACTGCAGATTGACTCGGCGTCGCTTGACTCGTTGTGGCTTGATTTCTGGAACGACCCGGGGTAGGAATTTTTGAAGGAGCTCGAGACTTGGTAGGAGACCCGGTATTATCCTCGTCATCCGAGAGAGCAATCTGCCGCTTCTTCTTCTTGACCGGTGTCTCTCTCGCTGGCGAATCTTCCTGCACCCGCTTGCCGTTTCCTTTTCCTACCACAACAGACGGCCCCGCCTCTGGAGCGACTTCTCCATCACTCGAGTCGAGCTGATCTTCTTCATCGCTCGGTTCTTGCACATTTGAGACCCGCCGCTCTTTCTTAGTCTTGAGCGATTTATCGACGCCTTCACGAGCGTATCGATGCACACGTTCTCTGAGAGTGGCGCCCTTCTTGCGGAAACGCTCGTGCCAGGATTGCGGTGGATGGCGGGCAGCAGTGGGGTATCGCGCACTGTCTGAGACCTTTTAACGCTATCAGCAGGGAACCATAAGAAGGGGAGGTGACTTACGAGAATGTCATATGTCTTGCGACTCGAGAAAGACCCGGAACTGCCAAAGTGTGCCGCCAGCCAGCGACACAAAAAGTCATCGTCATCGGGCTTGTAATCTACCCTTGCTCTGATATACATCAGCCTCCGTTTCGTTGCGATATGTAAGACACTCACGCCCCCACAGGTCTCCCGGGCCCTCTCTGCACGAGAGGCTCATCCCCAAAACTCTCCTCCCCACTATCTTCCTTCTGATCACGCTTTGCACGCCACCACTCCATCTTGCCCGTCCGGAGAGTTCCATTCACCCAGCTCCTCTCCGCAAATCTCTGCCAGCTTCTCCCAGCCTTCTTATTTTCCGCTTTGGCGATCTTGTAAAACTCGGTGGCTCTCTCGACAACGAGAATGTCGGCGTCCGCTCGTTTTGAGACAATGAGTGCGCCATGGAGGAGCAAGTCGCGTGAACAGTTTTGTCGGGCTGCGCGTCCATCATCCTCTCCCTTATTTTTATGCAGATTGAGCGACACATAGGCCCTCAGAGGGCGCCAATCCTCCGACCTCGCTGGGTATGTGAACAGCGGTTTCTCTGGTCTCAGATCTGTTAACGGTGTGTGGCGCCTCTGGTCTTTGCACCAAGCGAGCCAGTGGTATGGGTATATCTTGGGCTCGGAGTGGGCGTTGGGTTGGAACAGGTGTGGAGAATCGCGGAAGGATTGGTGGGAGGGGTTGGTGAGGAGGATGGTGGAGGACTTTTTATCAGTGGATACGGTCGCGCCCAGTTCCTGCGTTTGTATGTCAATAGAGGATTAGGGATGGGAAGAAATATAGACGTACTTGGATCATGCCATGGATGAGGTTCACTACGAGCGCTGAGAATTGTCCCTGCGCCAGACAAATGAACTCTCCCGGGAGCACATCTTTGAGGGGAGTTGGTTCAGACATGTCTTGCTGCACGGCTCGAGCTAAAGGGGCCTAGATGACAGGTCAGAAGCGATTCGAGACAGCAGGCAGGTACCCTAGCTGGGCAAAGCACCAAGAGTATATCCAGGATTGGAGAGGCAGTTGTCGAGACGCGTTCAAAGAACATGAGACAGAGACCGGTGGTTGACTGGACCATGGCCACAACTGTTGACCCTCACGTACCGTTACGTAACCTGTTCATCTTGGCAGGAGGAAGAAGGTTGAGTGATCGTCCTATCGTCCTTGTCACGGGTACCTAGGCCTGCTGCATGGGCTTGTGGGGAACATGTCGGTCACATGAGAATCATGTTAGTGTATTGTATGTTCTGAGGTACGCTGCACATACGGGAAGGCCCCAGCAGAGCGGATCTCTTGCTCACGAAGGGGTGCCACTCTTCTTCGCTTCAGTCCTGGGGTGAAGTCGTCGCTCAATTGCTTGCGAGGCAAATCCGGGAGCTGGGGACCATCTGCAGGAGTAGTCTTACATCTACTGACAGTGATTGATCGATCTGCTCGAAGAGGGCAACATTGATACAACGACCCACAAGCTCATGACCATCATCGTGCCCCACCTCCACCAAACCCAGGGACTGAGGCACATGCTCAAAGTCTCGGATTTCATGCCGACTTCATGATATATACCTACAGTGGCCCTACACCGCGCGTGCTTTGAGGATAGGATGGGGAATGATTGGGACAGCCTTGAAGTGGCGGACTTGCTAAAGGTCTTGTTGAAGAGCTTGATGCTGCTGGGCGATAGGCGGCATGGTATGACACGATGAACTTTATAAGAATGGTCGTCTAAAAAGGCTCTGAGTAGGAAGATGCGTAACCCTGTTTGACATGAACGTGCTCACAGCTGCTGCTGGACACTGTTGATCGTCTGTCAGTCCGCCGCCCTTGCACGCAACGCTGGTGCATATGAACATATGCACGATACTACATACAGCAGTGCATGATGATCTTGCACATATGACTCAAAGGCCGGATCAGACTTCAGAGCGCGCTACAGTACGAGGCTGCGATCACCTCAAGCTTTAGCGCCGAGTCCAAGTTGTATGAGCGAAACGTCCAGAGGTCCTCACTCCGACTGGCTCCAACAAGCGGTTCCAGGAAACGGTGATAAGCTCACGGCGAACGGCAGATGGCAGAGCTCTGCGCCTCGCTTGGTCGTTTCGTTAGGGGGTCTAAGAGGGATCACTCCATCTCCGCCATCATGCTTTTGAGAACAACTCTCATGCACCATCCTGAACTGCGAAACCCACTCACGAGTCACGGGTCCTTCGGATGAATCCTCTCGGCCCTCTCGGCCGCCGTTGCCGTATGTCAGGAAAAGGCCACTTCCCTTCCTTCCTAGCTCGTGATTTGTGCGATTTTTTGGTGCGGCACCGGCAGCGCACCTGACGAAAAAAAAAAGAGACTGCTGCTTTTATCGCTGATTACAATTGGTAGAGTCGCCGAAGCGCAGAAAGCACGGCGAATGGCGAGGATCGCGATGTCCTAGGTGCAGGGTGCGTCAAGGCGCCAAGTGAAGACCGTGGAAATGTATGTCCTTCAACATGGGCTCTTTGTGGTTGTGTTGGGCCGCCGTTGGGCGTGTTTGCTAATAAGCATACGCGGTGCTGTTGCAGAGGCGGACACATGCGATTCTTTTTTTGGTACCCGAAGGGTAACTTTAACAAACTGACGAATGAGATTCGCGAAGGATTGTGACGCAGATCAGATCTCCAGCCCGGCGGCCATGTTCTGTCACCCAAGAAAACTCCACCTAATCGGAGGTTTCGTGTCATCCAACTTTGGAACGTATGCACCTACATCATCGCTCGCCTCCTACAGATAGAACTCGGGGGTCAACGACCGAGCTGCCTTGTCCTGACGATCTTTGACCTTTGCCGCCGCAAAAGGCAAGTGTCACAACCAACCCTTTTGCTCGCACTTCGGCAGATAGATGATGGCTAATTACGGGTAAGGGGCGGAAGGAAGAAGGGCAAGCCATGAGCTGCCGTCATCCGCCGGGCGGATGAGATAAGCGGCCCATGATGATGCATCGGGGGCGTGGATGGATGTACGGATAGCAGCGGCTGGGGGGGGCTGACGACAGCAGCTGCTGCATGGGCACGAGCTTGTGGCAGCACTTGCAGAGATGGTCGAAGGACGGGATGGAAATAGAAAGCTCGGTGCGGGAGGGGGAGAGTTTGATTTTGATTCGCGCGGGCAAGAGGCACCGCCACTAACACCTTCCCAATCGGGAAATGCCACACGGCCCTGAATGGGTGCGCAGGCCGTTTCCTGCGCCGAGTACTTATTCCCCATCCATTTCCATCTCCATCTCTCTTTCTTTCTTCAACAATCTTCTCGCTTCTACAAAACTCTGCCTGCCTCTGCCCACCCACCCCACCACCCAACCACATCTACAATGCACGCTGCCACTTACGTCGCCATCGCCGCTGTCGCCGCCGGCTCTGTCGCCGCCGTCTCCCCCATCACCCCCGTACGTCTTCTTTCCATCCCTCTCACCTTGGTGTGACGGCAACACAATCCCGGGCATCTCGCTGACTCTCTTGCAGGCTTCCCTCGTCCAGTGTCGTACGTTTACCTTTCCGCTTGGCGGCAACAACATCGGAGACACTCGCACGCTCGAGCCGTCTCTTAGCAATCGCACTCCTTTGTTTGCACAGTCAACTGACATCTCCTTTCACAGAACCCGCCCAGCTTTCTTGGACTGACGGTACCGGCCCCTTCATTATGTACGTCTCCACCTCTTCCCTGGATGTTTTCTGCAGTGGAAACCCACGTCCAAGGGTCACGTTTGGGCATCTGCTGATCATCCTTTAGTGCCGCCATCCCCGGTGGTGAGGTCTCTGCTGCTGCCATCGAGACCATTGCCGACTCTCAGGCTTCCAGCCCCTTGACCTGGACCGTCAACCTTGCCTCTGGTACGTTGCCGTTTTTTAAGGTTTTTTCCCACCCGGCCTGACACTTGGCATAGGCACCAACATCACACTCAGGATCACCGACTCTACCGGTACCATCGGCTACTCTTCCCCCGTCGTCATCCAGGCCGGTTCTTCCGACTCTTGTTTGAACGCCACCGCTTCTACCAGCGGTCTCTCTTCTGCTTCCGTGTCTAGCACCGGCTCCAGCTCTGACACCGGCGCTGCCGGTGGTGCCGCCGCTACCACCGCCTCCGACTCTGCCTCTTCCGCGTCTTCTTCTGCGGGCAGCTCTTCTGCGTCTTCTACCGCCGCGTCTTCCTCCGCCTCTTCTTCTGCCACTTCCGCTGCCTCCGCTGCGTCTTCGTAAGTCGCTTCTTTTCTCACTTTTCGAGCCTCGTTAACTTTTCACCAGCGCCACCTCTGCTGCCTCTTCCAGCGCTGCCGGTGCCGATTCTGCTTCTTCCGGTGCCTTTGCCAACGCCGTTGTCGGTATCCCCGCCCTCGCCGCTGGTGTTTTCGCCGGTGTTCTCGCCTTCCTCTAAACAACTCTTTTCTTTTGAGGTTGGAGTGCTGAGAACAATTTTCATTTACCAGGAAAAAATATATACGATATAACGGATTCCATAACTCTGTTCATTTAGCTGAATTCGTTTGGTCAATAAAGGGACTTTTCTTTCTTTCTTGTTTGTTATTACAGTTGTTATCCCTAATAATGCGCCGGTCACGATGCATCCCATCAAATCCATTTTCTTGGTGTCTTGGTTGCGGCTTGGGGTTTGATGTTTGGCTGTTTGAGAGCCAAGGCGGGATCAATATTTCGCCGCTGTTCCGCAAGATCAGTCGCGTCCAAGTCGAGATCTGATCCAGAGCTAAATGATCAGCTTCCCGTTACAGCGTTGCCTCTTTTGCAGCCATTGTCGACCTGCAGGCATCTGGAACCATCTGGTCAACAACAGGACGGCACCGCAACGCATTCAACACGGACAGCAAGACGATAATGAGCTATCAGCCCCCTCATCTACGCACTCGAGCTGCCCCTCCCCCACCGATTGCTGCTGGCCCATCCTCGTCAAGCGTGGATAGTGGGAGGGGTGGTAGAGGACTGGGAGTGGGCGGGAGGTGGCTGGAAACAAACTCCAATGGACCTGAAGCTAGCCGAGGACTAGGCGGTATGACGACCGGTGCTGCTGGTATGGGGATGGGCATCAGAGGCCGCGGGGGTTCGACGACGGCGAGACTTCTTGCTGTGCCCAGTCGAGTGTTACCAGAACGCCCATCGGCCATACAAGCCCCGAGAGATGAAGGTCGCATCCAGCCCCAGCCGTCTCGTAGAGATTGGTCTGCGCCCACATCTTCGGTGTCCCTCCCCGGGCGATCTCAGCCTGCCTTTCAATCCGCCCCGTTACCTCCATATGCCTCGCCACGTCGTGTACCGGGAGGTCAAGGTCTGCAAGCTCCCGCGTCCGATATCAAGCCCATGCGCGTGAGGGAGAAGGATAGTAAGGAGAAAGAGGAAGAAAGAGAGATGGAGATGGTGCAGAGTGTTTCCAGGAGTGGGGGCGATGGGGCTCAGGGAGATGCGTGAGTGATCCTCTTCTTATCTCAATTCAGAGCATGGGGCTATGTGAGAGGAAGGAGCTGATGGGGGGCTGTAGGTTGAAAGATTGGGGGACGCAAGATCGGTATAGGGCGTATATCTCGACGCGGGTGGACGCGCATTATGACAAGTATGCGACCCTGAGGGATGAAGCTCCGAGCAAGAAGGGGAAGGAACTTGCAGGTGAAGGTGAGGGGGAGGAGATGGAGAGTCTGGGGAGTATTGTGTTGTTGTTCCGTAAGTTCTCTTTTCGTATTGGGTTGGAACGTGACTGACGAGTCTTGGGTGTAGGTAAGCTGCGAGAGGGTGTTGTAGCTTCAGGCAGGATCGATGACTTTGCTATCGAAGGTGAGTCTTTTACTGTACTCGTGTCGACATGATCGAACAAGGCTGATTCGCATATGTAGTCTTCGAGTCTTCTGCCAAATTCGCTCTCCTCGCGCAAAACAAGGCGCAACTCCTCTCCTCCCTCAGTGGCCTCGTCCCCGGGCTATATCAAGCCCACGACAACCTCCCCACCTCTTCTTCCCCTGACGATACACTATCAAACCAACTAAACGCCCTCAGCTTGACCCCCAGAGACGGCAGAACAGAGTTTACCGTCATCCTCCTCATATTCCACCTCGTCACTCGGGGGCATGTTGCGTTCAACGAGCTCCATGCCGAGCTTACCCGTGCTCCTCGCTCGGAGGGAGATGGAGGGGAGAGGAAGGGGTTTGTGGGGGAGGAAGAGTTGGGGTATGTTAGGTTGGCAGCGAGGGTGATGGCGGAAGAGACTTTTGATTCAGTCACATTCTTCCGCCTCCTCTCACCTCTCGCATCAACAACTTCGACCCCTCCCATCCCCTCCTCTGTGGCCCCGGAGGGGGGCAGGCTGCCCGAGAGTACGAGCTACCAACGTATCCTCCTCTCCCGCGCTTCTCCGGCTATCCGCGATAGGGCTTGGGAGAGGTTGAAGAAGGCGTATATGAGTGTAGGCGTGGACTGGGCTGGGAAAGTTTTAGGGCTGGAGCTGGGTGGGGAGGTTGAAAAGTGGGTTGAGGAGAAGGGAGGGAGGGTTGAAGCTGGGAAGGTTGTGCTGAGATGAAGCGGCGCCACCATCTGGGTCCGAAGATGGGGATATGGTGGGTTGCCCCCCGGGCTTTGTACGTCTATCCATACACTGTGTGCTTGAGTGACACTGACGATCAGTGGCAGTGAGCTGTTCGTATCCATGTGTGGAATTACGCGCCCGGAACACCATCTCACGCAAGGCGCCCACGACCCGAGAGTACTCGGATAACCCCTTTGTTCGTCCGGCCGAGTTCACCTTATACTTGCTCTCTCTCGGATCGCAAGACTTGCATGTACGTTCGACCCCCAAGAGACACAGTACTTCGAGCGAGGAATCGTCTCGGCTTGCCCATCCGGCTTGTCCGTCTACATGTACCACCTCATTGGGCCATCTATCTGCCAAGTTGAATGATCCGACGAGACGGTACGACCGTCAAACCGACTTTGAACCAGCCCGTGACCTGAACAGGGTGTACAAGGTTACATTTTGTGTATATCTAGAGACAGACATGTATGTACAGTATCATCATGCAGTTGTCAAAGGTTTCAAACAGAGTCCGCGCAGCATACCATCGTCATCTGCTCGGTGCTTCCCCGCATCATACTTCGACAGCATGCACCTCCATGGCCCCATACTCTATCACTCGGAACAAGGTCTCATTTGCCAAGTCTCGAGACCATCCCACCCTGTAGTCATGCCTCTGATCAGCAGCTGCCAACGTAGTTCTTCTAGATACAAGCTGAGGATCAACTCACGCATCTCTCCAATCTAAACCAGACTGGGCGTGCGCGACGCCGGACTTTTCCCACTGCGGCAGTTCTGCAGTTGATATGCCCTTGAACAGGACCTAAACCAAATCTTAGCTATCAGTCTTCGTGTAGTGGGGTGGACCTACGAATATGCGGATTAAGACGGAAGGGGGCGGGATGATTGTCAACTTCATGGTCGGGTCGATTTGGTTTCGGTGTAGTATCCTATACGCCTGACCACCGATCAGTATATTCCTTGATACCGGAAGAAACTCGCTTACTATGTGTCCATGCCTCGAAATACCAGGCAACCAGCTCGTGATCATCCCCGTCCTACACTCCACCTCCAACCCCAAATCTTCCAACACCCGATCCAAATGTGGTACAAACAGCTCTAGCGGTAGACACCAAGCATTCCCCGGCCTTAAATCCGGGTAAGCAGGTACCAGCGCCGCTTGTAAATCTTTCGGAGGAGCCGCAGGGGCAGTAGTCGGGGAGGAGGGGACGAGCTCGCAAAAGAGGTTGGACGATTTTGTGCCGGTGAGGAGATCTTCGATCATGCCCGAGGGGTGGACGCGGATGTACCAGCGGAGACGTTTGCGGTGCTTGGAGGAGTGGTCGGGGTTGAGAGTGGTGGTGGGGTATGAGGAGGCGAGAGACCAGTCCTTGATAGAGTAGCTGATTTCGACCTGTGGATAAAGTCAGCAGAAGGCCAGCAAATTTGAGGACGTGTCGGCGAGACATACATTCTTCTCATCTGGGTGAAGTAGTTTGATACCCGGGCGGATAGAACGAGGACAAAACATAACGCGACAGACGTTCTTATCCTGAGGTACACCTACACATCAAAGTTAGACATCTTGCGGACAAGTACAGTAGCCAGACGTACATCTGGTAAACACTTCGTCGGGACGAAGTTGAGTTCCGACAAATCTTTGCTTTGTCATGTTGTCATTGATATGGAGTACACCAAGGTAGGCTGTGATCTCATCAGCTCTACATCCGATGAGTCACGACCAACCTCACCTCCAGGCCGAGTAACCCGCACATCGCTGCCGTATGAGGTCAGCACGTAGTTCGGCATCACTTGTGGCAGTACTCTTCTGCAAGAACCAAAACTCACCCAAAGACGACACCAGCAGCAGTCGTAGTTCTCCCCTTCAACGTGGTACAGGTTAACTCAGATTCTGCCGATATGACATCCATATCGGAAGTCTCGGCTGGAAGAGGAACTTCTGCTGGCTTGGGTTCGGCTGTGAACGTTGGGGCGAGAGAAGTGTCAGTGAGCAGCTGTGATGTGGAGAGGGATACAAAACTGACTTTTCTTGTCGCCTTTGTCAGAGCCTGAGGAAGAAGAACTTGGCATAGGCTGGAAAGTCGTAGCATATCAGCAGAGAACACCGATGTGGGCATACGCGATACTCACAGTCTTTGCGTACACATGAACTTCGAACCGAGCAAAATGCTTCCCAGTGCAAGCATATTGATATGAATCGTTATCGGCGCTGTTTCGGGTCAACGTTATTAATCCTTGCTACCATCAATGTAAGACTCACATATAGACCCTGTCTTTTGCCGCGTATCCACCCATCCAAGGCAAGTCAACAGCCCGGACTGATAATCTGGCGTAATGCGTCTCCTTTGGGATGTTGAACCTTTCCATGGTTGCTGCCATCGCTTTCTTTACCACTCAATTAGCTTTCCATATGTCTCAAAGCGATGAAAGGGAGCAAACTCACTTCATAGTTCTCAGGCATGCGGACAAAGATATCGTTTCCACCGGCGGTGGAGAGGATGATCATACGCGGAGGACCGTAGGACGACATGTTGTGGGGGGCGAAGAAGGGTACGGGGATAGGCTGGAGGTGAACTGTCACGTGGCTGTTGCCACTTGACCAAAGTAACGAACCAAACACCCGAACCTCCACCTCCGACGTCCGCGTCAACCCCACATCTTGCCACCATCTGGCTATAACATCCATCCGTTCTACCTCCACGGCCGAGCTGCACCAGCACCGCCTTCGAGCTCTATGCTTGCTAAGCCTTTGCGGGCAATAACGGAAATACGCGGAGATAGAGAGAGCAAACCCATTCCACCACTTTCGAGAACATTCTTTCGCCACCAGGTTCGCCGATGTAGTTGACTCTAGAGGATTCGACGGAGGATACGATGAGTAAGCAGACTTGAGGTGCCAGGGTATATAAGGACGTGTCTCCATAGCAGTAGATACTCCGTCGATCCACTATTGTTGTCTTCTCTAGTACACACTCTCTCTCTCACTCAACACTCTCGCACAAACGCTATCTTCCTTCGGCATTGGTCTGGCCACTCACTTCGAGTTCTCAGACCATTTCGTCTCTACACCTCGGCGACCTCTGAAGGCATAGCCTAAGGAAGGTAGCCCCCTGACATGAGGTAAGGTAGGGTGAGGGAGTGGGAGGATAGGAATAGGGAGAGGTGGTGGAGGAGGAGGGGGAGGAGGGGGAGGAGGGGGCGGTGGTGGGACAGGTGCTTGGATGGGTCCGATATCTACGTCTCTTTCTTTCTTGTTGTCCTTCTTCTTCCCTCCGCCGAGAGCTCTCTCCGCTCTCTGCACAACTCTTTCAACCTCCTTGAACACCTCTGATGTATCGACCCTGAGTTGCTTGCTTGCTAATACCTCTCGCTTGTAGGCTGAGAGGACCACTCGAACGACTGAGCCTCGGTTCACGAAGGTTGAAGTGGTACTTGTCGGGTAGTGGGGTGTGAGGGTTGAGGATGAGTGATGTGGGACTAGACTTGTTGAGGTGGGTGGCAAGCGTTTGATTGTCTGACATCCTGCTTCTCCATCAGTCCGTTCTATCAATCATATTTATACTGCATGTGCCACTACAACGTGTTTGCTTACTCACCTGCAGGCAGCGCAACAGGTGTTCGGTCTTGGAGCTACTAACATCACTTGGTGTCTACGCGGGCTCTGGAGGAAACGTGGCCTGTGTCAGTAATTTTATACATACATAGCCACATGCCAAATGCATGGCATGGGCTGAAGGGCGGCTTGTTGCGCCCCTGCTCTCACGGCGTCAGTGGCTTATGAACGTGAGGTTCGTGCGAGGGTAGTATCGATGACTGATGTGACTCACGAAGGATCTCCCCCACAGATCGTCTGTAGCACGCTTGCAGTGTCAGGGTTCAATCCATCATTCAGCAACGGAAGGAAAAGGTTACAACTTGCAGCATAGGAGACGCCTCCTCATTAGTCCTCATCAGACGTCGACGTCACAACTCAACGGCCACATCATTTATCTTTGTGCTTACTTCGAGGTCCTTCTAAGCGCCACCGCAAACGATATATCGGTCGAGTATCTCCGTACAAGGGCTATGCATTGCAGTCCAGTAGTAGATCACGAATCACAAACAATCTCCTAATAGCTCGAACAGACACGACCACCCAAAACGATCGAGCTCAAGAGGGTTCACCATCCCCGCTCGCAAGCCTTAAACAACCAGGGGCCAAGGATGCAGGAGATGATGGCTGTCACCTACTGATCTACCGAGATGTACGCCACTCTATGTACCTGCTCTACATGATCTGCACACATCATTGTACATATGCAAGTGTAAAGATTAGAGAATTGCCTCTCTCGCCATCTCGATCGCAAGGCACAGGGGCCTGTCTCTGAAATTCTGAATGCTTATCTCTAGTGGAACGCCTCAACGCCTTCCTCTGCCGCCGGCCCCGCCTGCCGGGAAGCCTTGTCGGTGCAACGCAGTCCATAGTCGAGTCACTATATACTGTATGTCCAAGAGAGTCCTTTCCGATAGTATGACAACAACTTTCTTCAGCCAGCGGCAGAAGGCTCACGTTATCATGAGACTTCTAAGGAAGAAGTTTGCGTGATGCTTCTCGTCCCTTCTCTGTATTTTCTTGTTTCGGTTCTTTGCTCAAGCAAACGGTCTTCACCATGTATTCTTCGGACTCGGACTTCATATGTCAATGGTCCAAACCTACATAAAGTTTGAGAAGCTTGTCTCGATTACTGTGTACTGTGCTTGCTTTGGCGGTGCCGGGGTGCGCGGCGACTCAGCTCGTTCCTCCTTATCCTTCAACGTAGGTGCTATGTACCCTACTTTGTCCGTCTTCAATGGGCCAACGAGCAAGCCGCATCACGTACATACAGGTAAAAACCTGCAGCATGCATGGTCATAAGAAGCACAGATGCGTAAAAACAACCACTACCCAAGAAGCCCCAAGGCCCAAGGCACTCGGGATGACGAATGACGAAGCAGAGGGTTCAACTCCCAAGCTCCAAGCCAAAAGGCGATCAAACCCACCCCATTTCGGGTGAAAAAGGAGTTCGTTCCCCAAGCTCCCCAAGAAGGCCAAGAAGCCACTCAGGCCACCCAGTGCACCCAGAACCCAAAAGAAAAGAACACGGAGAAAATACTGGCACATGGTGTGCACATGGCAGGCAACAAGTGACACCAGTCAGTACCGTTCCTTGCCCCTGGCGCTAACCTCTGATTTCTTCTTCTGCAACTCAATTGACCATGCTTGTCTTTTGTGTCTTGTCCAAAATTGAAGGAGCGTGTCTCGGGCTGAGAGGTCAGAAGTGGGTTGGTACGAAATTTGTGCATGGCTGAGAAGTGGGGAGAGATGGATAGAGGTTGTGGAGAGGTGATGATGAAGAAGAAGAAGGCGGTCCTGCTCCTCGATCTCCAGTCCTCTCCGGATTTTGGAAGCAGAGTCGAGGCCTGCTTGCTACTGCGACCCCCTCCACGCTCCACCCGTCCCATGCAGTGGTCGTTCCAGACTTTCACACTTACTCGGCATGTCCAGGCTCTCACTCACCCGACTCACCGTCATCCTCCGCGGCAAGGTGCCCACCCCCGGGAAGGGCAGGGCAGGGGGTGCCCACCCAAGACACATGATCTCTTGTCATACAGTACCGCCATCCGTCATCTGCCATGCGTGTCATGCGTGGCATCATCCGGTGCATTTAGGCGCCTATCATCTATGATCCAGGGATCCAGGACGTCTAGGATGTCGTTGACAAGCCTCACGCCTCGCGCCGCGCGCCGCGCGCCGGAGGACGCTCGGAGGCCTCGGATATTATTGTCGACTTACCTGCATCTACCTGGAAGCTGTACTTGTAGAATAGCGGAGGCGATCGAAGACGGCGAAGACCAAGAAAGAGAAAAATGGGTAGGAAAGCAAGAGTACCGTCCTCGATTTCATGTATGCCATCATTGTTTGGTTCCATCCAGATGTGGCGTCCAAACTTTCAAGACTTGATACGCGGCGTTCATCATGATACTGTTATAAGGTCAATCGCCGTACTATGATCTACCTTTTCCCCTCTCTCAGTTGTATGTACGTACCTAATGTGATTCTGCCTATCCTTATTTACCTTTCTGTACCTCGGGCCTTCTTCGGGAATACATACGTAGCAAGGAAGGGGGGATAGACGACGTACCTTGTCCTTGTTGATTCCTCGCTGATCGTTGAGCAAGTTGCGTACTTGATATCTTATAGCTCACCCGGCCACCACGCCCATGGCCCATGGCCCATCCCATTGCCCAGTGTACAACAGTGATTCCACCAACAATGTACAACGTATCATGTACCCGTCCCACTCGGCCGGTCTTTTTCCTCCCTTCGCTCGGACTCTTGCCTGATGACAATGATGAGGCCATAAGGTAGCTCTCCTCGCGAGCTGTGAAAGATTCGGATCCTCCCGAAAGCCCGGTGCCACGTCTCACGTCTTACCGCTCACCGTCGCCGATGACATCTGTGGCGTTCTGTCGTTCAGTCTAAGCTCTTGTCTCTTATGGCCCAAAGATTCCATGGACTTGGGCTATGGACTTGGGCTACGCGCGCGGGCGTACTACTTTACATGTGCAGTGGGTTCGCATGACGAGACCGACGACCTAGAAGAGCTGAAGGGGGTCGCGTTTCAAAAAAGTTTCGACCCCACCCCCTTCGCTCCCCGTCCTCCTAGCCCTCCAACGAGGTCTATGTACGAAGAACTTGCCCAAAAGTCCAACAGTCGAGACAAATCAACTGAACCCGGCCAAAAGCAAAGCACACGCGCCCCCCCCCGACTCCCCGAGCCTGATGACGAGCTCTGTGACTCCCCCCTCCCCCCTGCCCATTGTCTCTAACGACGTATAATTCGTCAGCCTCACACGTCGTACGCCTCATACGAGCCCTGACCGGCTGGCGGCTTGCCGCGTTTGCAGGAAAAGGATAAATATTTTTTTTTGTGGCTGAGCCCCACTAGCGTCAAGATGAAACAGGGCGGTCGGTCTTCGGTTTCTTATTGTTCTCCTCCGTACGTCCGTACTCTTTGGATTGTCTTTTTCCACTTCGGGCGTGTCTTCCAGGGGTAAAAGGGGCAGGGGTGGATTGGGTTTTTTGGGTCTATACCGTAGTTTTCTCCTTCTTTGGGCATATGGGCATTGGTCATTGTGGTGGACGGGGAGGGGCTGGAACTGTGTACTGTGGGTCTATGACTGCATATGGAACGAACTGGGAGCGGGGAGAGGACAAGAACGAGGGGGTTGGGTAGCTGGAAAGATGAAACGATGCGTGGGATGCGGTATATGCCATAAGGCCTGGAGGTTTGGTCTTTAGAGGGTGAAGAGGGAGTCCGAAAGATAGGAAAGAAAAGAGCGCTACGGCGGAGGGTGCCTATGATTGGACCTGGCCCGGCACCGGCTGCTCTTTAGCTCTTGGCTCTTGGTCGTGTGGTGGTGGTGGAGATACGCCGTTCTCGTACATACAAGCATGCATGCTCCCCTGCCGTGTCGGGCATCTTACGTGGCTCTGCGGGAGTATGCAGCCCAGAATGATTGTTGGCCCGAAACGGGCTCTGCGGCTCACGCGAGGGGCTGTGGGTTTGGGCCGAGAAGCGGTGTGCCTGTGAGGAGTGCTAGTGGGCCATAATCAGCCAGGGCCCAGGGCGGTACCTGTCGACATCCCCCCAAATGCATCTGTCAATACTCTTTCTCCATCTCCATCTCATCTCCCCCTCCCCCTCCCTCCTCCCATCTCCCTCCCAGCGAACATCCCCCACCCCACCCCACGTGAGCACAGCCCCCTCCCTGGAGAACCAGACGCTCACTCGCTTCAGCAGTATACGCTGTCCATTGGCGCCCTACTTTTACACCCTTCTCAATCACACCACCCTGTGAGTCCTCCCTCCAACCGTGCTCTATATCAGCGAGAGGGTGTCCCCGAAGAAACACTGCCCACGGATGTCGCCCAGAAGCAAAAAGAGTGTTTGGGCAGTGGGAGCTCGGGCGCTCTGCTTTTTTTCGTGTTCCGCGTCTATCCAAGGATCCCCCTTCACAACCCATTCTTCTCCTTCTTCCCCTCTTTTCTTCCCCCCTCTCTCTCCCAGGCCATCCCCCGCTAACACCCCCCAGCGACGCTCATCCAACTCTCCGTACCAGGCACCAGTCACCGCCGATCAGGTCCATCCCGCTTGTCAACATCTCTCTCTAGAACACCGTGGACGTCGTACCTTGGCATCCACCCCGCCCACACTAAAAAAGGCCTCTCGTCAGCCTCTACTACTATGAGCTTTGCAGCGCCTGAAGAGCGTTACAACAACTACAACGCCTACCGCCCCCCCACCTCTTCCCACGGCGCGCCCCTCTCCCCCGACCAGCGTATCCACTCCTCCCACGGCTACGCCAAACCGCCCACACACGAATCCCCCAGTCAGGTATATCAAGAGCACCCGCTCGCCCCTGTTCCTTCTCACGGCTACCCACCTCAGAGTCAGCCCATGACGCCCTTGACGTCGAATTCGTACCCGCCCGCCGCCCAGGCTGGGTCGTACTATACCATCCCGGGCCAAGCCCAGGCTCAAGGCGAGGCCATCCCGTCCCCACCGCCGAGCAGTGCGAATCCGGTGAGGCCGGATACTGCCAACAGCGGCAGTGGAGAGTTTGCGGCGCCTGCGGCGCCCACACAGACGACCGAGGGAGGGGTGCCGATTGTTCCTGTTGGAGTGTCGGGCGGCAAGTTGTTTAGGTGTAGGGGTTATGGAGAGTGTGATAAGGTTTTCACGAGGAGTGAGCATCTTGCTAGGCATGTTCGGTGAGTCTATTCCCTTCTTTTTGCTCGAAAAGGTGCTAATGGATAGCAGCAAACATACGGGCGAACGACCATTCCCATGCCATTGCGGTAAAGCCTTTTCCCGTCTCGACAACCTGCGCCAACACGCCGCTACTGTCCACTCCGAGCAGACTGGCTTGAACGAGACGATGCTCGCCTCCCTCGGGCCCATACACGCCGCCCTCTCCCAGCGGGCGAGCAAAGACCAGCGCAGAAGGGGCGAGGTCGTCGAAGTACCCAAGAATGCCGTCGAGCGAAGACAGAGCGAGTACCGTACCCGCGGTGGCAGCGCGTCCTCCTCCCAGCCGAATGCGGCGCAGGGTACCGCTCCTCCGAGCCAGACCAACTCGCCTTACACGGCTTATCACGACCCCCAATGGGCCTCGCAGCCCCATAGCCGACCGAGGACTTCTGGGGGCTATGATTACCCGTATGCTGCGCCAGACCATCAGCAGAGTTTGGGCGAAGACGCAGGACCGTCGAGGAGGCCCGGGTCTGCGGCGGGGTATGGCTACCAACAAGATTTCTACGCCGGCGCCAACGGTCGTTCCGGGTCTGCTGCAGGCCCACCCCCAGGCGAGATGGGTAGCCTGCCATACCCTTACCGACCCATGTCTTCCCAAGGCCGCGACCTGCCCGTGCCCACGCACTATGCCGAATCCGAACCCCCCGCCTCGGCACATGGTCCCCCTGAATCACCCATGTACGCCAACGTGCCCAATCCTCAACAACCCGCCTGGTCTTCCCCGCCTACGAACCACTCGGCTTATCCGCCTCATGATGCTGCGGCGTACCCGGCTCCCGAGGGGTACACTTATAGCCAGGGGCACGGGGCGTACCCCCCGAGGGAGGAGGTGTATGAGTACCCGCCCCAGTCGGCTGCCGGCTGGCAGGGGGGGTATCCCCCGTCTCATGGGAGTTACCCTCAAGGATACAACGGCGCGCCCCAACCCGACTCTCCATTCCAGTACAACATCGGTCATCCCGGTGCGCCCGGAGCTCCCGGAGCAGCTGCTGGCGCGCCTCCGGCAGGGGCAGAGGGGTACTCGTACAGCAGTGGAGGGTACGACCGTAAACGCCGGGCGGAGGATGATGGCGATCACGCGCGTAAACACGCGAGACACGCGTCGGGCGGGCAAGGGACGGCGGCGGGGAACGCTTCTGCCGTCAGCCTTAATGCTGCTTTGGAAGCTTCCACCGGCCCTGGTGCGCCGGGCGCGCCCGGTGTTGGGAGGGGCGGAGCAGGGGGAATTGATTCGTGGTTGCCGCCGACGACGGAGAGGAGGGGCAGTTTGGCTATTAGTGCGTTGTTGGGGAGCCCGAAGACTGTGGCGGAGCTTGATGGTGCTGGACTTGGAGCTGGTGAGAGGGGGTCGCCCAAGGAAGTGGATGGGAAGGAGGGTGAGAAGAATTAAGGGCGGTGAAGGAGTTGATTGTGGTTTTGCTTGCTTTATCTGTGATTGTCGTTGTCTTGATTTGTTTGGGGCGTTCTTTGAGTGTTTACATGACCAGGCTGAGCTTGGTTGGTAGTCTTCTTTTCCTTTCTTTCTCTCTTTCTCTGATCTCTCTCTCTCTCTATATATATATATATCTGTTTATATTTCTTTCTCTCGTCTTGATAGTTCTCGAATAGGCGGTCTTCCAGTCTCTAGTCTTTCCTTGCCATCTTCTTTCCGAGTATTCCCAAACAAAGTATCTTAACGATGACATGACTTTCTTTCCCGGTCCGGTTCACTGGCTTACTGGCTTATTGGCTACTGGTTGTTGGTCTAGTACATACGAAAAAAAAAATGTTTGATGCATGTTTTTGCTCTGATATGGGGAAAGAGGCACTCGTAAAGATAAGAGAAAGATAAGCTCTCGGCGCTCTTATGATATGGAGAGAGGAACCAGTTACAAGGAACCGGGTGTTTTTTGGTTTTGGTGGACTTGTTTTTTGGTATGTACGCACTCCATCGTTTTAATCTCCTCCTGCTTACGCGGTACATAGAGTCGGCCAAGGGGGGTACATACGAAGAGGCGAGGTGACAATGTTGTAGATCATCCGGGAATACGGGAATACGTTTTGCGCCCTTGGTCCTGGGGGTGGCTTGGAGGCCTTGGGATCTTTGGCGGGATGTCACTATATTAGACTCTTCTACCGGTTTCTCATGACAGCCTTGCCACCCGCGGTCTGTCATTCTCGGGGTCAGCTATAGCAGATACAAAAAATGGCACCTTGCAGTGACCTTTCAACTTTACTTTACTATATCGGGGGTGTGGTGGCTGACGTCGACGACGCGACGTGGCTGCTTCATCCTTCGCCGGCCAACCTTCTTGACCATGCTCGTTTGCTCGATGATAAAGGTAAAAACCACTGAGTGGACTTGTACTGCTCAGCGCAGAAAAGGGATAGACAGGACAGGACAGAAGATGTAAGACGGGCTGGATTGATTGAGGGTGCTCAGCCGAGATACATCGTAACCATCGTACGTATTATCACCAATCAAATGTATCCTCAATGAGGGTCAAAGGATAAGTTGGCCAGATAAGAAGAAGTAAGTTGGAAACGATATAGCGGACGATCAAGGCTGAGAAAACATCCGAACCCGGGGGGTGGATACCCAAAGGTGGTGGTGGGTCCAACTCGGATTGAGACTGGTGATCTTTGGGGTTGATCTTTGTGGTTGATCTTTGTGGTTGATCTTTGTGGTCAGCATGTGCGAGCAGAAGAGGCCATGGCAATGCAGATGGTACTCACAGATAGCACCGGAATACCGGACGAGATCGTCACTCATACTATGCCGCACGAGCGAACTCTACCAAAGGCAAAGCACGAGCGACGGAACTCTACAAAGGCACGCTGTTCGCGGATCGTGACCATGCCCGTTGTGTGACACCCCACTCCAAGTGAATGGCCCACAATGGAGGTGCCACGTAAACCTTGATGCCTTGGATACTGCAGTGGGAACTTGTATCGCCGGCGGTTTGTGACACCTCACTCCAAGTGATTGGCCCACAAAAGAGGTGCCACGTAAGTGTTGACCTCTGAACAAGCAGTGGTGACTCGTTTCAGCGGCGGCGGGGGGTAATAAAAATGGTGAAGAAGAGGGAAGGATGGGAAATGTACGAGATTATATATATGCGGGATCTTGGGCGGTGGCGTCCGCACTTCACTTCACATGACATGGGGATACGTAAGTCGGGTTACCGTATGGCGCCTGACTCTGTGTGTGTCTGGCGTGCATTACGATGGCGATGAGGAACGACTGAACCACTCGTGACTCCGTGAAGGCTCTCTTCCCTCCAAGATTACCATGCATACAGGAAAGCTGCTACTCGCCCCGTATCCCTCCACAGCGACGACTCCTCGCTGTAATACAATCAAACAGCTGAGAACTTCATATCTCTCTTCCGTTCAATTCTTAGCCATCGCAGATGGACTGGGTATGCTGACGCGACGCCTAGAACTCATCGCGACACACAGCAAACCAGGCATGTCATCTACTCATCGATGTGTGCTCACGATTCGACCAGTACAGAGTAAAGTACAACATCTGCATCAGTGTTACAACAATCGAACAACCCTCCCTGAAATCGCATCTTGAAGATTCAACAATCGAAACGTCATCTGCGAAGCTCCTTCTCAGTTCTCAACAAACTTCGGATGGATGTTGTAATGCGGATTATGCATATTCTTCTACACCCCATTGATTATCAGCATCCTTCAAACGATCACACGAACCGTCGGACAAATCCACTCACCCCACACTTGGGCCACGCACAGATCGCCCCCACCGGCGGCTTGACCAGCCCCGTTCCTACGACTCTGCGGCAATAAGGACATCGCCAGAGAGGAACTTCTCCTGGTCGGGGTGGGTTGAGAGGGCGTTGTTTGAGGGGTGGGTAGGGCTGGCCAGTTACTGGGTTGATGGTCATTACGCCGGCGAGATCAAGTGTCTCTGAGAGGAAAGAGGATCGTCGTTTGCGCGGGGAGCAAGTGAAGTTGATTGATAGTTTGCTGGGACTACTGTGAGGTGGGCTATGGGGGAAGGCGTTACAGTCTCTTGAGACGTATTTTATAGACATGTTGCCACCCATAATAAAGTGGTCATATGCCCTTGCCGAACAACGTCAGTACATCACCTCAAAGCACCCGCTCAAAGTCAAACGCCGCCGCCATTTCTTTGTGTACCGCTTTCCCCCATCCTCAGATGACGCTCACTTGAGACAGGCAGCTATTGCCACGCCTTCATTCACTCATTTCCGTGAGATGCCAAGGCTCTTACTCCAAATTGGCTGTCATCAGCTGCTGTTGCCGCCTCATCAACATTAGATCCGCAACCCAGCCTCCCCCCTTTGCGGCGTTAGAGAAGCAAACACCGCGCTGATCTATCCCCTTGCGACTGAAAAGACAATCTTTTTGTCCTCTTTGGAACAGTAATAATGCATATTTCTACAAGGATCCCTACAGTTTTCTGGGCCGACTGTGCACTCCTCTTCAATCCTCCTCTCACCACCGCCCACCGCCAACATTATCGATGTCAATCTTTGGATAAACCCCGAGTGCTGGGCAATGCACAAGCTTCTGTACAAACAAAGGTCAGAGTCGCACAAACGAGCTACTTGTACCTCAAAATCGATGGACTTACACCACAAGGCCAGTTTGGACAACGGTAGTTTATCGGAGGCATCTGGATACCCAAAAACGTGCCACAGAACTGACATTTATAGGTGAAGCGAAAGCCACCAGGATTGTGCTTATAGTAGGCGGCTTGGTGACTGTCGTACTTTCGGTTCATCGGTGGCGCAGAAGGCGAAGATGTGTATAGTGGATGAAGTGCCGGATGCGGACTGCAGATCAACTGAACGGAGGAGGATTCGAAAGATGGACGAAGGTGGCAGTCAGAGATGGAAATGACATATATGATCTTCAGTACCCCCCCTCGCTTGTCATGGCGCCAGAAGCATACCCCTCGCGGCTTTGCCATAGTGAGATAACACTTGCTTCTGCACGCTGCGCCTCTAGATCAAGACCCTTCTTCTGCATCCGGCGGTCCTTGCAACGCAGCGAGATGGTGCGTGGCGGGCGCTCGAGGGTTCAAGATGCACTCGCTGGCGGCCTCGTTGCTTGCCAGCGTGTTGTTGCCCTCAATCATCACCAGAGGCTGAAAGAGTCCTGAGCGAGTCATGCATCAAGGGTGCCACGAGGGGACCACGTTAGAGCCACGCGCGAGTTGCCCTGACCCTTGTCGGTCGACCGATAAACCGGTATCGCACCATCTCGCCTCATTTCCCTGTCCAAAAGATATTTGTCGGCTTATATGAAGACAAGGTTATCATGGCGTTACGAGATGTTTCTTGACTTTTTCACTTTGACAACGACGACTTGATGTCAGCAACGATCGCAAAGACAGTCTCAAGCCCCAGAGTCACGATTGGGCCGACTCTCAAGCTCAGGGGCGGGCATGACCCGGTCGCTCTGCAGACCGCTTCGCAAGAGCTGGAAGATCAGGGCGTATGTATATCCTGACTTTGTCAAAAAAGTCCTCCAGCTTACGTCCTGTCAGTATACCGTCGTCAAAAATGTCCTCTCTTTCGAGAAAGCGGCCGAATACAAAAAACGTCTCGTACAATGGCTCGAAGTGAGAACTTCTCTTCTCGATGATTACGTTGTCGGTAGACAACTGACTATCTGGCAGGACTTTCAGCTGGGCTTCAGAAGGGATGACCCGGAGACTTGGAAGTGGGAGTACCTCCCCGAAAGCTGGAAGTGAGCTTTAGTTTCCTCTCTTCCTCCGATTCTGTCTCGGTCTCCATCTCCGGCTATCAGCGCTGACTCCTCCGCTTTCGTAGGGGAGGACTATACACCAAGTATGGCATTGGGCACGAACTGTTCGCCTGGGATCTGAGAACCGAACAGGCTCTGATTGATGGTCAGTATCCTCTTATATCAAGAAGGAGCGCCGCTGACAGACATTGTCGAAGTCTTTGCTCACATCTGGGGGACAGACGAGCTTCTCGTTTCATTTGGCAAGTCTCCTCTCCCTATTCCACTATGCAATTCAGCAATGGAGGCTGACTCTATTCCGCTGTCAGATGGCTCGAATATCTCCTTACCCATGCCCGCTTCCGAACGCGCCAAAGTCGAGAAAGAATACCAACCCTGGCCACACGTACGTCCCCCATCCCTTCTCTTTCTACTCCTCAACCAAGCTCATAATCTTGCCTAGACAGACCAATCGCTCACGAGGACATACAAACATTGTATCCAAGGTCTCGTCAACTTGGCCCCAAACGGTCCTGAAGACGGCGGTTTAATGGTCTTGCACGGATCTGCAGCTCTGTTCAACGAATTTGTCAAAGCGCACGAGCACGATAAGGTCCGTCTCCCCCCCCCCTCTTCCTCCCTCCTCTTGTTAAAGTACTGAAGAAAAGTAGCCAGAAGAAGGCTGGTCCCCCATAGATATTCACCTTCACACCCCCTCCCAGCTGGAGTGGTACCTCTCCAAAGGCTGTTCATGGCGCAAAATCGAAGCAGGGCCGGGGGATGTGGTACTCTGGGACAGTAGGTGTTTGCATATGGGTGTTGCGCCGGGGGTGGGAGGTGGTTTAAGGGCCGTGAGCTGTGAGTTTCTGGGCTCAGATATGGGAGATTGGAAAGGGAGGAGGAAGCTGACGAGGGGTTTGAAGATGTTTGTTACAAGCCGGCGAAGTTGATCACACCCGAGAAACTCGCCCTGAAGCAAGAGTTTGCCAGACGCTATGCTCAGACCGTAAGCCCTCCTGCTTCTTTCCATTGACACAAAGCTCAAGGAATGTCAGTCGCACGACCCCGTAGAAGTTCGGGAAACAACAGCCGGCGTCGGCTGGCGTATCCGCAAACCCGGAGAACGTATCGAACCTCTCATCAAGCCCATCTTGACCAAAAGGGCTCGGCAATTGGCTGGCTTGGAAGCTTATTGAAGAGAAATGATCGATGCTATGCATGATGATGTCTCTGCACAAATGAGTAAATGCACACCTGCCCAGCCCTCGTCTCTTCACGCAACCTTCTTCTTCTTCCTCGGCTGCAACATCGTGACAACCTCCTCCTTCTTCGCCCTCTTCTCCCCACCAACCCCTTCCCCGGCCCCTGTCCCTTGTCCTTCTACCCCAACCTTCGCTTCCACCGTCCCCACACACTTCTCCCACCCTTCCTTGCCCACTTCGCTCCGGACAAGACCTTGAGTCTGGTCCAGCCATATGCCGGAACCTTCTATGGCGAGCTCGCGCGTGGCGAAATCGAGGTTGGTCAACGCCGTCAGGATACGATCCGTTATCGGCGGGGGAAGGAGCGTTTGGCTTGGCACTTCCACCACTGAAACAGAAGGCTCTACAACTCCTTGCTCGTCCCCCGGCACAGGACGAGAAGGCAAAGTCTCCAACGAAAAGAACCCCGTGACATCCCCCGACGCACATTCCTGCCTGAACCCCATCCGTTCCCAGAACTCGTCCACCCCGACTTTGGCGAGACATGCTTGGGCGTGGGTGCGTCGAGAGAGGTCGTGCTCGGCTTCGCGGGTTTCTCGGGTTTTGCGAGAGGTGTGGTCTTTTTCTTTTTGAGCTTGGGGTTGGTGGGGTGCGGGCGAGGTGGAGGAAGGGGATGAAGACGTCGATGTGGTGGCAGTGGGTGCAGGAACAGGGGCAGCGGCAGCAGCAGACGCAGGCGCACCCCTAAGCCTCGGCACCCCATCAACCAACTCTTCCAAAAACCTCGTCTTTGGATCATCCGGCAAACTCGGTATCAGCCCCGCCAACCCTACCTCTTTCTCCTTCTCCTTCCCACCTACCACAGGCGTCAAAAATGGCGGGGTATAGGACCAAGTGATACCAGCGGGTAGGGGCCGACCGGGACCGAGAAGGGAGTGCGCTTCTGATTGATCGTACCCTGGGAGTATGAATGCGAGTTTCACGTCTCTTCCTTCTTCTCCTCCCTCTTTCTCCTTCTCCTTCTGAGCCTGAGCCTGAGCTTCCGCAAAGGCAGAAACACTCTCCTCATAAACCCCCTTCCACCACTTACAAAGCCCCATCCCACCAAGCACCTTCTTCCCCCCTCCCTCCCCAGAATTCGCAAACAAATACTGCTTCTGCGCTCTTGCGAAAAGCTGTACCCGGAGTGATGGGTGGGTGGAGATGAAGAAGGTGAGGAAAGAGCGGATGAGGTGGCGAGTAAGGGGGAGGGGGGCGGAAGGGGATGAGTAGCCGGAGGAGTCGACTTTGGAGATGTAGAGGATTGCTGGTGGGGATGAGGGGGATGAGGGTGAGGAAGAGGGGGAGGGGAAGGTGTAGAGGTAGGCGGATATGGCGGCGACAAGTACCCTGGGTTTATTCCCCTTCCCAGCATCTCCATCCACCCCTTCCCCTTCCTTCTCCCCGCCCACTGTCGCTTCCTGACTCCCTTCCTGCCCCTCCCCACCCGTCTGCCCATTACTCTCAACCTCAGCATCACACACCACCAGCCAATCTTGTTTCAACGCTTTTGGCGGGCTGACAGCGTGCGGATAAAGGTCTTTAGTGCGTTTGGGGTGAGAGGCAAGGATGGTAAGCCCGAGAGGGGATGTGTTTGGGAGTGGGGAGAGGGAGGAGAGGAGGTGTGTGCGGAGGCTGTTTGTGGGTCAACTGGGGGAACAGAAGAGAGGTAGGAAGGAGGAGCGTACGATTGTGGGGTTGGCATGGTTTGGATGAGATGAAAGAGAAGATGGGTTCGACGCGAAAGACGCGTCAAGAAGTCAGTCCGAGGGTGGAGGTCAGCTTGACTTTTCGCAGATTATGATCAACTGTTACTGTCACAAGTATACATTCACAAGCTACCAGGTATATCAAGCAGGCATCAAAGAGTACCCAAGAAATCCCACAACAACATCTTATATCTACACACTATAAACGGCCAAAGTAATCTTCCATCTGCCCCACTTTGGCTTCCCATAGATCAACGACTTCGCGGTCTATCTCGTCTTTCCACATCTTTGCATGCAGCCTGCATTGCTCATCAGTGCTGTCCCAATGTGAGGAGGACGAAGAGGACATACGCATAGTGCCCATCGTGCAGTTGTTCTCGACGAGGAAAGTGAGAGACGAATTGGTCTTGTAGCGGTGTCCATGGATGATCACCTTCCCAGCTAAAGTACTCATTCAATAATGCCTATCGCCCCATCAGCACTCTTTCCATTACTCCCGAGAGAGATACTTGCCTGTTCCATGTAGAACGGATTATACTCTCTGACCCCTCTCAGCTCTTCAAATGTCTCTCCATCCGGCTTGACGAGCAAAAAACCCGCATTGAGATAATCTCTCACCTCCCCTTCTTCCGGTCTTCTCCTCGTATCATCTTCGGCCATCATCCCTTTACTCCTCTCTCCCACACCACCCACACCTTCAAAACTTGATGGGACATTATCCCAAATGGGAGAGAGTGATTTGAGCAAGAGCATGTCGTTGTCGAGGTAGAGCAAGCGGGAGAAGGCAGTCTGATTGAATATGTGGAGTTTGGTATATTGGTCCTTCCAGTGATGGTTCGCTTCCATACCCTCTGGTAGCGGGAAACCGTCCAGTAATTCAACTTTTTGCACTTGGGCGCCTTCTTTTTCAAGCTGCTCGCATACTTCGGAGGGTATGGAAGGGGTGGCGAGGACGATGAATGGCCGGGCAAGGTCGGCGGTGGAGGGGTAATGTTGGAGTTGCCATAAGAGCAAGCGGGTGGAGAGGAGGTACCAAGGGTCCGCCACCGACGACAAGAACGTCACATACGCCTCTCTCCCATCGCGTCCTCCTCCTCCAGATTCTGACGAGGCCCAAGCGGGCCCCCAGCTGTACTCGCCATTCCAGCTATCCGTCAATTCTGCCACAGACGCAGGAAGCGGCAGTGAAGAGGGGTCGAATGTAAAGGCGAGGAAGGTGAGGTAGAGGATGGTTAGAAGGAGGAGGGTGTATTTGAGGATGGAGGGGCGGCGGTCGGATCTGTGCCAGCGGAGGTCGGGGGAAGAAGGGAGGAGGGGTGAGGGTGATTTTAGCAGCACCATTGTCTTGTCCTATGGCGTTGTATGCTGGAAAGAGGGTGAGATGGGGGGAAAAGAGGGATGGGAGTGCTTACAAAGAGGATTTGTTGTAGCCCGCCTCGGTCCGTCGGCGAACAGCGGGAAGGGGAACACGCGTGCGCAAATGCGGAACAAGGGAACGTCTAGAAGGGCGCCCGGTCTGTCACAGATATACTGACTTGAGCGGGATGGAAGAGATGGAGATGGATAATGAAGCGACGATGGACGACCTGGACAAAAGTTGGAGCATGGACTTTCGAGATCTGGCGCAAGAGGCACCTCGTCGATCAACTCGCCTATCCTATGAGCGGATCTGGTACCCGTTCTCGGCCCTCGCTTGCCCCCCTCTCTCTCTCGCTCGATCCCATGCTATGCATCTCCATGAGCACCCCCTCCCATGATCCCATCTACTCCCTCCACTCCATCCCACTCATCGATAGGCCGGCGGATTTACGGTTTGGGTGACAAATAAGGTTCCGTCCCTGAAACCGTATCCACTCAAGCGCGTCGCGCCACGAGTTCATTGTCAGCTCCTTTTGTCTTCTGACTTTGCACCGAGCCGACATCTCTGGCGCTGCTGCTGGGAAACTGCACAGGTCTCTCTCTAAAGATGTGTTCAGGCGTCTTCTTGTGGACTCCCCATCAGGACAATGAAAGCTGCCCGTGTCATCGCTGCATAGCAAACATCACGCCCTCGAGGTCATGTAGCGCCACGAAGACGTCTATTTCTTTGGCCATTTCCATCAGTTCAGTTCTGTCACACTGGCGAGTTCCGCTCAATCGCTTGCACAATGTATACACCATACCTACAGCCTGGACTTTGCCAGATGCCTCCATAGTCATTACAGCCCGTCAACTGTCATGATGCACGACCATGAATGCATCGTCGAATGGTATCAACCTGGATTCCGAATTAGGCACCCCTTGAGGTGTTGATAGCATGATCACGTCAGAAGGATAAGATGATGACCGGCGACAGCGCCTTGCAAGTAGAGACTGCGCTGAAGAGCCAGAAGCGTATCCGAGACTGATCGTTCTGCCAGATATTATGATACATTGCTTGCGAAAACGTTCTGGAACTATAGGAGGCTTCGGACGAAATGATGAGATGAGAATGATAAATGAGAAGGCGAGCTGCTAAAGGCATTTTTGTAGCCTGTAAAGGAAATCAGCATCCTGGTTCCGAATCCTAGACAGAGAGCAAGACTCACGGGCATGTTTGACACCAATGAGTACGTTTCAGTAACCACCAGATCTTGCTTCGATATCTGCACAAAGAATCAGCTCAAAATGCTCTCGTCAGGTGATTTGGGGGACGAAACGTACCATCGTCGAACACTACCAAGTGCCATCACCACCCCCACCCCCACTGCCACCATAACCTCCATCGTTACTGCTGAATCCACCACCTCCCCCGTAACCACCACCACCGCCACCATAGCTACCACCACCACCACCTCGAGAGTTGGCGAGGTTGACTCGGACTTGTCGGCCGTCGAGGTCTTGTTCGTTCATAGCGGCGATCGCAGCTTCAGCCTCTTGAGGGGTACTGAAGGTCTGTAGAATGGAGTTAGAGGGGAGGATGACAAGAAGTATAAGAGAAGGGAGGGGGGGGACGTACGGCGAAGCCGAAACCTCGAGATCGGCCGGTATCTCGGTCTTTCATGACGATGCACTGTGAGGCTGTTAGCTTGGAACGATTGGGAAGGAGGAGAGGGGCGTACGTCGGTAAGGGTACCGAATTGGCCGAAAGTCTGTTCGAGACGAGTACGTTTAGGATGAGTAGATTCGGAAGAGAGAAGGAAAGAAGCAGTAGCGACACCGTTGCCGAGGAGCGGGTATGGTGAGAGTAGGATTTGTATGGCGAGTATGACGAGAGTGCCAGATATGGAGTGAGATGCAGACGATATAGTGAGCACACGGTACAGCAAAAAGGGGATGTAGACAGACTTGGCGGAGGCTCTCATCGTCCGTACCCCAAGAGAGGTTGCCTAGAGAGTCACAAGTGTCAGCCACTGCACTCTCTACAAGGAGGGAAAGAAGAGGAGGAGGTGGCTCGCCATTGCCATCGGTCGATACGCACCAATATAGATTTTGGAGTCAGACATTCTTGCGGCTTGGAGTACTCGCAAGAGGTAGAGGTAGAATAAGAGGAAGAAGAAAGAATTGAAAGAGGAGATGGGGTGTTTATATACTCGGCGAGACCCGCTGACGACCATCACTGTGTGGAATCGAAGATCATCTCTGTAACGCCGCCGGGTGTGGCACTCGCTCCACCTCACGCTTCCACAACATTCCATACATCATCGTCCATCAAGGTACACCACCACTCCTTTAGATGCCTGCCTGCGTCAAGCCTGCGTTCTCGCTGGGATCGCTGGTGTGGGGTCGGACCCCGGTAAGCCGAGTGTGGCGTTTCTGATCCCGTGTCTTGATGGTCGCGCGTGGAGACTAGTGTTGGCTGATGAGAGGGAGTTGAATCGGGTGGAGGGTAGGTGGAAGATGTGAAGCATAGCAGGCGAACGGTAGAGCATATAGGGAGAGTCCAGTATCATTTTCCAGAGTACCATCGTCAAATATACGAGCTGCAAATATTGCTCGCCAAGACCTCGCTCTCTACCGCGAGCACCAGGTATAGTAATTTGTTCGACTGCTGTTATTTGACCAGATAGTCAAATGGGAACGTTTGTCTTTCCAATGAGATAGCTATGTAAATTAACAACACAGAGGGTCAGAAGCCAAGTCAACGCAGAAAAGCGGCACGAGCGAGATAGACCTGGCAACATGACTGTCGTAAGCCACATCAGAATCGAGATAAACCGCATTGCCCCAGAGGCCCCAGATCGAATATTGGGCGCAAACGAAGCGGCAAAGGTACTGCCATAATATGCTATTCTTGTGCCGTAGTAGTGATTAGCTCCCGTACTCCCGGCGCATGGCAAACAGTAGAATGAACAATGAAGGATGGGGGTGTTTTCCTACCAGAACCGCCCGATCCATCATTTAAAAAGAGCACTGATAGCATGAGTAGCGCTATAGCAGTTATCATGAAGGGGCTCGGGGTGCGAAAGAACGGAATCCGCAGAGCTCACCAGACGCCTCCGTTGATGACTGAATGATACATTTGGCAGTTTTAGCCTGCATCGCGTCCAAAGTTCCAATTTTGTGAGAGACGAGTCTTCTCTAGTAAATCACGGATCAGAACAATGTACCAGCACTACTCCCCTTATATAAGCTAGCGGCAAGACCTTTGACAAGCTTTAGATGCCTGACAAGGATCTCGATTTGCGTGCATTCGCCTCGGAAATTAGAGAATAGTATATAAGGCGGGACGTATAATATGAATTTGCCATCCTTCATACCACCTTCATCCACTCACCAGCTCATATCAGCTTCAGCTATGTCCAACGACAACCAAAGATCTATTCCCCAAATCACAATCTCCGGCGAGGACGGAGACAACGACAACTTTGTGGTGACGGACGACAGAACTCAGATGATCTGGGACGAAGCTTACGAAGTCGCCGAAAGATTCGTATCATTGACGCGAAACTGGGAACAGACGGCTTTCCAACCTCCATTTTCCGCAGTTCTTTGAGTGACGTGCTCGACAACCTTTCAGACATGACTGCCAAAGCGATCCGGTCAGAAATGGACAATGACGCACACGCTGAGGACTATACAGAAGATGACGGCCTAAAAAAGGTGTAGATAATTGCACGAGATATCACATTGTCCCAGCAGACAGGTGATGTGCTTGTTTGGAATGCCGAGGTGGCGGGCTCAGAGTGGGTAACCTTCGTTAAAGCAGACTTCTTCTCGTTGCCTACGGAGTTATGATTGGTTGCTCCACCTCAGCGGTGTTGATTCTATGCACAAAATGATGTCAGAAGATCCATTGATCTGTTAAAAAAACCTTGCTGGTTGGATTGTGCATACGCTTTTGGGTACCAAGCAAACAACCATTATGAACCGGGTGATAATACGCGTGTGGCGATTTGAGTCCCGTTGTTTGCTTGCGCGTTGTCTGGAGTTGTGCTGTGAGACGGAACGGGCCAAATGAGAGGTAGAAAGGATGGAGTCTCTCAGTCATCACGCGCACGTTATGCAACTATGCGTCGGTAGATATACGAGCTGCGAACAGATGAAGCTCAGCGCGAAGCGGCCCATGTAAAGCTATTCAGGCACCGATGTCGTAAGCCACACCTGTACCGAGAGCAGGCAGATGAGCCGCATAGCCCTAAACACACCAATGGGTGCCAGACAAAGAAAAGAGATGTGATAGATCTGAAGGGAGTAAAGGGCATCACGAGATGCTGGTGGTGTGCCATGGTACACGCCAAGTATTTCCAATCTGCAAGCTCCGCCGACCAAGAAAGGAGGATGATCGTGTCCCCAAAACCCCCTGGCTGGGCCGTCTCACAAAAGAATGTGGGCTGCATACTTATTATAGCTATCTAGAAAGCCCATGAGGGGACCGATATATGAATCTGTCGTGTTTCATCAGTGCAGCCTCCATTGAGACATCGATGCACTCGTTGGTATTTTCAGCTCGCGTCCCTTCCGAGGTTCCGAGTCCGAGTGGAGGAAGGCTCTTGTGGCATATTGCGATCCAATACCAACACTTCTATTCTGCTATTATCCGGGCCAACAACCTGACCTTTGACGGCAGTTAGATGTCCGACAACGAGCTGCGTTCGCACCCTCGTCGGAAGAGTTGGGAGATTGGCATATAAGGCGAGATGCATATAGGTTGGTGATCATTCAACCTTCCCCCACCATATCATATCGAATCCAGTCATCATGCCCGACTCCGACGAACAAACCCGACTGATTTCGGAGGAAGCTACGCGAGTTGCCGAAAGATTCATGGGCACGATTGACGCAAACATGGCAGCATCCGGATTTGAGACCCCCACTTTCCCCGAGTCTTACGACATCGTAGTCAAGACCGTTACAGATTGGGTGCAGACTGCAATCGAAGCCGAAGTGAACGAAGAACATAACGAGAACTGGAAGCTAGAGGACTCCCTCACAAATGTGGACGTTCGAGCAAGGGCGATTGGACTATCCGTGTCAGGTGAGGTGCTTGTGTGGAACGCGAAGGTCGATGGCGATGGATGGTCACTTACCATCAAAACGCCCCTGATAGAGTTGCCCCAGGCATGATGATGCCGTGTCCTCTTTGGATTGAAATGCATTAGATGATGCCAGGAGCTCCGGCGGTCCGTTGCGGTCTAATGTTGGCTGATGAGACACTCTCGGGACCAAGCAAGCAGCGAATATAGTATCTGGGCACTCTTATTGTATGAGGATTTCCCTGGCCCGTCGAAGACTGGTACCGCTCCCATAGAGCTATGCATAGGACAGCTCTATGCATAGGACAGAGCTACGAAGCATATACTGTCATTGCGCCATTTCAACCTGCAATGTACCGCTCAATGAGCCGTGATGATGGGTCAACTCCAGGTCGTTTCCCTACGCTGAACCAACACTGAACTCCAACTTCAACATGGCCGACGAACACAGTTCTCTAACGATGATGTGCGAGGTGTGACTCATGTCACAAGCGTTGCCCGACCCACTTGATTGGACTAGAGTACATGAAGGGGCGATCTGCTGAAATGATTTCTCATGCTGCGACTTTCGTGTGCACAAAGGAAACCAGTGCATATGATAGTTCTCGGACGATTATGTCACTCGGGTCAGCAGATGAGATGGAGGCTCAAGCAATATAATGGGACTCACCTCTTCCCATGACACCTCAGCTCCATTCATCAGCCGCTGTATCCCACCAGAATGCTCCCTCCCCAGACCAAGGACGCCTCACAAGGACTCACTCATCGTGGGAATGGGAATCATATCGAGAATGAGGATCGTCCTACTCAAAAGAAGGGATCACACTAGAATGTACGAGCAGGTCGGATCCAACCTGACTTCTCACGTAGGAAAGCTAGACATTGATGGCATATAAATTGGAACGATACTCCAATTTCCACCACAACGCACATATCGAATTCTACAAACTTCAATTTCAGCCATGTCTACAAACGACGCAGAATCTCGGATTTTGGAGGAAGCCACCCGCGCCGCCGAAGAGTTCATGAGCACGCTTGATAGCAATCTACAAGCACACGGCTTTGCAAGCTCTTCTGGCACTGCCTCGCGTGCAACGGTAGTCCAAGACATTTCCCGATGGGTAAAGTCTGCTATAGAGGCAGAAGTGCACCAAGGCGAACATGCCGAGGGATGGACTGAAGAGGATTCTCTCCAGAATGTGCAGATCCGCGCAGATACGATTGGGATCAGTCAGTCGGGCAAAGTGGGAGTATTGAATGCGAAGGTGCAGGGCGACGGATGGTCGTTGATCACCATTACGCCGCTTATGGAGTTTTCTCGTCCAGGTTGATACCGACCTTCCGATAGACTGCTATGCAATTGTCCCACTACTATGCTTTCAGGTGAGGTGCTTCTGCACAGTGCGAAGGTGCATGGCGATGGATGGACAGTCATCGCCGAGGAAGACCTCATAGTGTTGCCGGAGGCATGATGATGGCGTGTCTTCAATTTCCAAGATTGAATGAAATGCATTAGTTGGTGCCGGGAGCTCCGCGTGTCACGTATACTCTTCTCAGGCCTCTCAGGACTACCGAGTAGTATGATGACGGCCCCAAGCGCCGCGCTAACTTCGTTGAAACCCAATGAGTGACTCTACTCTACCTGGCTTCTTTGTGCTATACGCGTGCACTTTCAGGCAGGTGAAATTGATGACGTCCCGTGTGGTAATGATCATGATAGGATGGCATTACACTGACCTCAATGAGAGAACGCACCATGTCACAGCTGCTTTGCGTGAGCACCAAAAAGGATGACGCTGGAGTGTTCCATAGTAGTTTTCATATGTCTTCTTCTTCTTCTTTATCCAAGAAACCTTATAACCTTTACAACAGATACCAACGTCAATCATCGCACCTTTCAGTAGGTTCAAGCGTTCGACGGCAGAAGGTACAACATTTGAGGTAGAGAGAGCTGGCTGCTGACATATAAATGCAAACAATACTCGAGTTGGACATGGTTTTCTTCAAACCATTTATCACCGTTACTACTCGCGCACCCTCACAGCAAATTCAGACATGGCCGCCGAAGAAGAAACAGTCCCTACCCAAATCTCTGAACAGGCAACTCAAGCCGCCGAGAGATTCGCGGAAACGCTCAACAGTAGTAATTTATGAGGCTACGGCATTCTGTCATGGTTAAAGGAGTCATCTGTGTAATTCGTTCATTCAAGTAGATTCAGTAGATCAGTTGTGTGTGTGTGGACCGTGCTCTCCGTTTACACACATATCAGAGTCGTTTTCATAGTTCTTCTTCTTCATATGCGACAATAACGAAAAGGTTTTTGCCCCTTATAACAAAACTCTCTTCAGCACGACAAGAGCACTCCTCAAGCGTGACACATTCTTGGCGGGGCTTCTGCCGGTGCTCGCGCGACGGCTGTCTCATTCTTGGCAGCATGGGTACAGTCTGCTATAAAAGCAGAGATTGACGATGACACCCATGCCGAAGGCTGGACAGAAGATCACACTTTTCAGAATGTAGAGATCAAAGCGGGAGGCATCGCACTAGACCCGTCAGCAGGTGGCTTGAACGTATTGAATGCGCCGGTACAGGGTGACAGCTGGGTAACGAACGGATCGCCGGCCGACATAGAGTTCAGTCCTCCTTCACGTGAGGGTTGATAAGAGTGTCCTTCATTGACGAATCAGATGCATCTGCAGTGTCGTTAGTAATAAAAGGTGTATGAACTTCCACGGAAGATCTTCTGTATCGCACAAGCTAGGATGGGAAGAGGGGGTGGAATATGGTTTCTTGATGACGCCACTCAGCTCGTTGGTATTGTCACACTTAGTAAATCCCTGAGGTGGTATTGGCGCTGAGTTGTGTGGATGGTTGAAGGACTCGCGGTGTACAAACTCAATTCATATCATATCGTTCTACTCTTTCCATGCGATAATGCCGAAAAGGAGAACCATTGCGATTGACATGTCGAACACTAAGAGCAAAAGTTCGACAAGAGCCGAAGAGGGAATTCAGAACGTCCCTTGTTGCAATTGTAATAGCATACACTCACAAGCGAGCATGCACCACGGATGAGACCCATGCCATTCCGTCTACTGGTGACTGTCCCCCTCGCCTCACAGCAGAGCACTTCACGGTGTCTTCCCATCCACATACACCAAATAGATTTGGTATCATCCTCTCCTGGTGGCTGGACTTGAGGAGCGTATTGGCTCCTTGATGGAGGAGAACAAGCTCGAGGAGTACGACCTGCAGCAGCTCACGGCGGTCGTACTGAGACAGAAGGGGTCAGAGCGGGCAGTGGCTTGCTTTGGTGAGGGACAGAGACTTACACGAGGGCCTATGAGGGAGTGGATCTACACGCAAGGGCAGAGAGATAGGACCCAGGGGGGGCGGGGAAATGTGAGTTTGAAGGAAGAACATCAAACACCCAAACGTACACAGTGACGGGTCAACGTGGCTTGTTGGCAGTCCTCATTCATTAACTGTGTATTATTGAGAGCATGAGCTATTCGATACTGCCTAACATGCTTATCCTCCGTCCAACTGCAATACTGTAACGCCCATCCACACCATATCACATGCGCGATGGAGTAAGCCGCCGCTGATGGTCGCGGAGGAGACGCGTCGAGTGAAGGATCGCCCTTTTTCGTTACCTTTTTCGTTCTTCTCATCTTTCTTATGCTGACCACCTAGCCAAACGACCACCCATCATGTCCAAAAGAGGTCTCTCCATGGAAGAGAAGAAGACGAAAAGTACGCCTCTCATCCCAATCAGGATCGGAAGGGTGGTAACCGATTGACTGGACGCGACGCGACACGTCTGCCATGTCATACCGCGTTCTGCACATCTCCCACTTAGCTATGCTAACACTCTCTACAGTGGTCGAGATATTCCACGAGACGGTATCTACTTTCCATGCCAATTGGGGGGCTGGAGGTCTCTTGAGAAGGAAGGACTGACGATCGTCAAGGCAGAATTCTTCTCCCTGAAAGAGCTTGAGAAGATCGCCCCCAGTACGTCTCTTTCTCTACCCCTCCCCAGAGGTTTATCCTCCCATCGTGTTACATACTGACACAGAATTATAGAACAAAAAGGCATCGGTCCGTACCACACCTCTCCCCCGGCTGACTTTTATGCCGAAAACGCTGATGAATTCGGACAGTTCAGCAAAGTGTGAAAGAAGTGTTGGACGACCTTGTCGGCGATGGGTTGGTGACTATGGACAAGATGTACGTCTCTCCCTCCTCTTACAGCCATGATACTCGGGAGCTAACTGGGCACAAGCGGTACTGGTAACTGTAGGCTCCGCCCGAAGAGGGGGCACAGGTCGTAGACTGACGCAGCGCAGACTACTGGGCTTTGCCGAGTGCTGCCGGAGCCACCGTACGTCTCCTGCTCCCGACGTTCAGTCATACCCGCTCTGATACATGACGCAGAAAAACGCTGCTCTCGCGAAACACAAAAAAGAGCTCGACAAGCTCGAAACCTCACTTGGCGAGACCAAGGCTGCTTTGGACGAGGCTGAGCAAGGCCGTGAAGACACCGTACGTCTTGTCTTTCTATTACCTCACTCTCTCTCTTCCCACTACCTGTCTACTATCATCAAACCTCGTAGTCCGCCCAGAAACGGCTCGAGCTGATTGCCCTCACAGCCTGAACGTCAATCCCTAATCTCCACCCTCTCCTCCCTTCAAGCCCAATCCACCGCCCTCCAAGCCGAACTCTCCGCCTTCGGCGCCGCCGATCCCATCAAATACGAGAAGAAAAAGCAAGCCATTGAGACGTGCAAGGAAGGGGCGGTGAGGTGGACTGATAATGTGATGATTTTGATGCAGTATGCTGGGGGGTTGGGGGTGGAGAGTGGGCAGGTGAGGGGGTTTTTGGAGATTGGTGAGTGGAGTTGGAATAGGTTGGTGGGTGGCTGCTGATCTGACGGGGGGTTGTAGACGAGGATTGGGATGATCTGCAGGTGTGATCTACAGTCATATTTGGGAAGGGAAACAAGGCCAGCCTTGCTGGTGATCGTATATGATAGTATCAGCGAGGGTTTCAGCTCACATGGGACAATTTATCATGCCACACGTCAACGTCTCGAGTCTGATATCCAGTTCATTCAAGAAGACACGTTTACCCAACCGTATCCTCTATTACTACTCGCCCTTTGTATCCTTTCTGTAGATGTTGAAACCAAAGAAGTAGTTCACCGGACCAGAGTCCAAGCAGGGAAAAGCGGTGTGAAGAGTGCGCTTGAAGTCATCAAGAGCAGACCGATTATTGCACGCTATCATTTGATCGTGGACGTGGACCGAGATCATGAGAAACTCTGGATCACGGTGTCGGATATACAGGCAAGGGTCCGTGCGGGAGGGTACGAGACCTTGGCTCTGAAGGAGAACCGTGCCGTTGAGTCAACTGAGGACGGCTTGACCGTGATGGAAGGACCAGCGGTAGGTGTCGGGCGTTTGCTGAACCGAAAGACCGATCGTGAGGCGACCTCTCTGACGGGAGGTGAGGAGTTCGCCGTTGCCAACAAGGATAAGGACGGGGTGCGTGTCGCGGACGTTGGTGAGGAGGTCCCAGTCAACCACCATGTGGTCAGAAGCACCCGAGTCGACGACGAATGAGGACAGGGGAGCGGGAGGGTAGAGTCTGCATTCATCGCTTCCACCACGCTTGTTGTACCGGCCCCGCATGCCCCTCACGCTCCCCTGTCCTCGTTCGTCGTCGAAGGTGTGATCCGTGGTTTGTTGATGTCTAGAAGCATGTCAGATAGTATCAGTGACCCTGCCCGCTCATGGAACATCACTGCACACGTCAAATTTCCAGTCAGACATCCAGTTCATTCAGAAGAAACGTTCACCACAGCCTTATCCTACATTCCTATCATACACCTCCCTCACAGAACCCTTTCTATCCCTTATCCCTTCTCGACTTCTCAGACATCCTGCGCTTAGAAATCAAAGACATCATTCGGCCTAAACAACGCCGAGATACTCTCTCCGTTATGCGTTCTCCTGATACTCTCCGCAATCACTGGCGCAATATCCAGCGCTTCGAGCAAGCCGTCGCAAGCCTCGACACGGGACGATTGATCGATTGAGTTGGTGACGACGAGCTTCTTGACGGGGAGGTCGCGGAGGTTGTCCATTGTTGTTTCCGAGAGGAGACCTGTATAACGTTTGAGCAGTGATCTGCACAGGATGACAAGATACTTACCGTGAGAGATCAAGGCGTAAACCTCCTTGGCACCGTTATCCCTCAACACACCAGCAGCAAGACGAACGGTGTGTCCCGTGTCGACCATGTCATCAATCAAGATCGCCACCTTCCCCCTCACATCGCCGACCAGCAGTTCCATCTTCTCCACGATACCGCTCTGGTCATCCGCATCATTAAAGTACTCTCCATCGGAAGAAGACGAAGCGGAAGAGTTTGGGGCGGAGCCGACTGGGGTAGGGGGGACGGTAGGGAGACAGAGGGAGGCGGCCATGTCGCGCCGACGTTTACGGTTGATGAGGGCGAAATCCAGATTGAGCTGGTCCGCCAGAGCAGTCGCTCTGTTTCCATCAGCACCAGTTCCGAGAGCTTTTTGATCAGAAGCTTACCTCTTGGCACCACCCGCATCCGGAGACACAATGATAGCGTCCCTCCACTCTGGGATCTCTGCCTTGATATATTGCATCATCGTTGGCTCGGAGAACAGGTTATCGACGGGGATGTCAAAGAAACCCTGGATCTGGGAAGCGTGGAGGTCCATGGTGATGACATGGTCGGCACCAGCGACGGCAAGGAGGTTGGCGACAAGCCTTGAAGGAGGTCAGAAACGTGCGAGAGTGGGGGAGATGGAAAGGCTCACTTGGCAGTGATGGGAGCTCGGGACTTGTCCTTCTTGTCCTGCCTGGCATAGGGGTAGCAAGGGATGACAGCTGTGATCCTCTTGGCACTCGCCGTCTTGCACGCTGCGGTCTTATCAGCATCCCTGAGGAATGCGAGTTCCGGTCCGATAGCCTCGGGGGAACCTACCAGATATCATGATAAGCAGCTCCATCAGGTGGTCGTTCACATCAGGAGGCGAGGGGGACTGGATGATGAAGACGTCTTCATCTCGCACGGAAGAGTGGATCTGGACACTGGTTTCGAGGGAGAGGAACTTGGAGACGTGGCAAGGGGTGAGGGGAATACCGAGTCTGGGAAGAGGTCATGAACGGTTGCGTAAACTTTGGAATGAAATGGCCTACCTGGCAGCCACAGCTTCGGCAAGCTTGGGGTGAGCGTTGCCTGCATAGTCCACAGGTCAGCGTCCAATCCCATACCTCCTACACCATTTCCAGCTCTTTTGGTCGTAATTCACCACGCGACCAAAAAAGACGCTCCCTCGCCAAGCGCTGGACCAGTTTCGCCCAAGGAAATTCGACGTACCGGTGAGCAATTTGATGGAGTTTCCGATCTGGTGCATGGTGCTTGCTGGGCTGTGCTCGGTGGCGAGGGGTGGTTTTTGTGCGAAAAGGCGGCGGTAATGCAATCAGAAGGCGGGGAAAAGTCATCCGAATTTTGGTTATCAGTCATTTACGTAACATCACGTGGATTTCATGTTCGAATCGTTGATGATGTCATCGCTCACCATGTTGAAAGATCTATGGCACAGACCTTGGGCGCGAATGGTGAGTTCGGTATGATTTGTTTTTGCTGATAAGCGATATAGCTGGGACGCCGCAGATTTGGATTGAGAGATCCCTGGAGGCTATCAGCCGATGCCTCATCGCCAAGGACGGTATCGCCTGGCCCGACGATACCGAACGACGCGATATAGCTCGGGAATTCGGCCGCAAATCACCTTTCCACAACTGCGTAGGCCTCTTGGACGGCACATTCATCCAGATGGAACATATCCCCGGCCGGGAAAATAATCGTCTTTGGTCTGGAAGCAGAGATACCTATGGTTACAACGTGCTGGTGGTGGTTGATCATGAGTATCGGATCCGGTCCCTACACACGGTATTTTTGGCTTCACATCATGATGAGCAGGTGTATCGTAGTACGAAGGTACGTTGATAAGGCCTTTGCGGATGAAAAAGTGATTGGTGCTGACGCGTAGCTTTAGATGTTCCAAACCCCCCAAGGTCACTTCTCCCCCGACGAACATCTCCTTTAACGACAGCGCCTACACTCCCAACGTCAACTGTGAGCCAATGCACAAGAACAACGCTGCCGAAGGAGACACCAAGCTGCGCAAGAGGACGAAAAGCACTCGGAATTCAACGCCGACGTCAAAAAGGCTCATGTCGTTATGGAGCGCGCCATGGGGTATTGGAAGGCGCAGGTGAAGAATCCCGAAAAGTATGTTACGTTTGTGACTATGTGGATTACGATATGTACACCTTCCCAAAGCGGGCTTCTCGCTTCATAAACATGTAGCTGATGAGGCGGCTCGATCATAGGCTACTGCGCTGCTTCACAACTACGTGCTCGAGCACGAAGGTCTCGACGATGACGAGCTCATTGATGAGGCTGAGCTGGAGCTGGTGAAGAAAGAGGATATAGCGGCTCAGAAGAGGTTGGTGGATATACAGGAGCTCAATGAGGCGGAGAAGAAGGGGGATGGGAGTAGGCGGGAGGCTGTTCGAGCGGAGGTAGAGAGGATGAGAGAGTTGGGCAGGAGTTGGGGCAGGATGTTGCGTACGGAGTGATAAGCCCGTAGTCGAATGACGAGGTCGTTCCCAGTAGCTAGTGGTGTGTATGATTGAATCTCTCAGGCCACTTTGAGGCAAAGTGCACTTCATATTGCAGCATGTACATCTGAAGTTCGTTGAGAGAAGGATAATTATGTCGGCCAGGACCGCCTTGTTCGGTATACCGATCCTCCAATCACCGTCTCTCCAAATCACTTTATCCAGAGCACACCTCCACTTCTACGTCCACCCTCGCCCTTTCTACCCGGATCGCTAAATCGACAATGGCATCCCCTCAAGCGGACCCCAGGGGGAGGGGATTCCTGCCCTCCAAAGCTTCCGTTCTGAGAGTCTTGACGATGACTCAAAATACTTCGGCGCTGGTGTTTACGGTGTTTCTGGTACCCCATCTGGCGAGCCCCGTCATGGCTGCCATCGGCGGACTAGATGGTGCCGAGAAGACTATGGTACGTCCTACTTGTCAATCATGTAAGGCAAGAGCTGACTCGGATCGACAGATGATAGCCCGGGATCTGTATCTTCCACTCGAACCGGTCCTAGTGTACATCCCCCTCGCGATCCACCTCACATCATCCCTCACCAAACGCCTCATATTATCCACCAACCCCTCCCTCCCCCTCTCCATCCGTCTCCCCCGTCAAATGCACCAACTCCTAGCTTACCCCCTTCTCCTCCTCCTCGTCCCCCACATCCTCACCCACCGCCTCATCCCCTCTTCCTCCGCCCCGCCCATCAGGGAACTATCACCGAGCGAGCTTGGGTGGGAGTTTGTAGGGTATGGGCTGGGGGATTGGTTGACGTGGGTGGGGTATTTGGGGTTGGTTGGTGCGGGGGTGTGGCATGCGGCTGTTGGGAGTATGAAAGTGGCGGCTTGGTTGCGGACGCTTCGGCGACGGCCTTCCACTCGTACCACTCAAAGCAAACCCACCGTTTCTCCTGATTCTGCTCCTGCAGCTACGAATGAACAATCAGAAAAGAGGGTGGTACCGAGAAAACGAAAACCCGGCCTTCGAGGCGTCATCCTCTGCTTTTTGGGTATTGTCGCCTTTGGGCTGTGGAGAGTCAAAAGCGATACAGGCGTAGTGAGCCCGATGATGAGGCGTAGGTATGATGCTGTTTTTGATCGGGCACCCTGGGCTTGGGCAAGCCGTCTGCTGCTGCGCTAGAGCGGTTGAGGCATGAGAGGTTGTATAGCATTTTCCTATGGATCTGACTTGTAACTACTATGACCTCTGCATATCATGTCTGCATGCTGCCACCGTATGGCTGCACTGCGAGTCCCGGAAGAACGTGGACAGAAGTTGAATATAGAGCCATTGCCATTACACTCTGCATTGGAAAATGGACGTAAACCCATTACAAAATCAAGTTGTCGTTTTCTAATCCCGCGCGTCCAAGTGTCTGACTTTCTCTGACCTACTCCTCTCTCCCTCACCATCCTCTTTTCTGCCCATCCACCCCCCATCATGTCCCAGTCCCCAGCCCCCAACGGGGTTGCTGGCCCAAGCAACTCCGCCCCAGCCCCCGCCCGCCCCACAGACTCCAACCTCCTCCGCCAATTCGTCATGGAATACCTCCAATCCCACGGCTTCGACAAAGCCCTCGCCATGTTCCAGCAAGGCATCGCCGGGCAGGACGGTGATGCGTCTGATGCGGATGTCGGTGCTGGTGCTGGTGCTGCGGGGGTCAAGACGGAGAAGGCAGGGGAGAGGGAGGCGATCTTTCGTGCGCCGGGGCCGGTGCCGCTGGAGAGCAATATCAAGAGGAATATCCCCCAGGCGCAAGCTGTCTCGGCATCCACCATGGCTGACCGTATAACACCCGACTTTGAGGCCCAGGCGAAATATATCATCGACCAGTTGCAGAAAAAGGTCGAGGCGGTTCAGGACGAGGGCGAGGAGAAGGAAAAGGAGAAGGATGTGAAGGATGGACCGCCGGTGGATGGGGCTCTGGTGGATGTCTCGGATAGGACGGGGGGGTACTTGAGCTACCGGAGATGGGTGGATGGCGGGCTGGAGATGTGGAAGGTGAGTAGAGCACCCTGGATGGGATGTCGCTGATGTTGGCAGACTGAGCTGGATAACGTCTCGTTCCCGATATTCGTGCACACCTTCCTCGAGCTCATACATCTTGGATTCCTCAAGACAGGTGAGGTCAAGTATACCTGACTGTGTCTGATGCCCTGTAGCCCGCGACTTTTTCACTCAACAGTCACCCCACCATGCACCCCTGCACCCTCAAGAGATTTCGACCCTCTCTTCACTCTCCTCCCCCTCTCAGATCGCACAAAACCCCCTCTGCAAGCAATTTCTCGCTTCCAAATTCACCATTCCTCTGTCTCGCAACGCCCACGACCTGCTACTGCAATGGCTTAGCGGTGCAAGCCTAGATGACGAGTGGGAGGCCGGATTGCACAGTGGACCGGGAAGACGGAGAGAAGCTGTCAAGTTGATCGTTTTCAACCATGTCACTATACACGGTGCGTTCTTGTTCTCTAACCAATCTACCAAACTGACAGTGGCTAGTGACGGACTCGTCAGAACCTCTCGACCATGTCGCCATCGCCTCCAAATCCGGCCTCCTCCCCTCCTCCCTCCCTTCCAACAAATCCATCGACGCCTTCAACTCTGCCACCACCCTCAAACTCGGTCCTCCCCCCATGACCGACAAGCTGAAAGAACAAGTCACCAGGACTCTGCAAGATGAGGCCGCTGCCGCTGCTGGGGAAGATGAGGGTATGGACGTCGAGGCGCCCGCTGTGGAGGTCAAGATTGAGAATGAAGATATCGACTCTTCCCTCATCAGCCCGGCAGAGTCGGAGACACTTCCTCCCGTCCCTGCAGTCTTCCGCATCCCCGACCTCAAGCGCGAAGTCGAGTCTATCAAAGACCGGCGCAAGATGGTCCGTCTCGGACCGTCTGGTACTTCGGAAGGCAAGGGGACGTTGCCGAGTGTAGTAGCCTTTACGCTGTTTGACCATGGGGAGAATGCTTCGTCGGTAGAGTTTACGAGAGATGGGAGTATGATGGCTGTGGGGAGCTCGGAGAGTTGTATTCGGCTTTGGAGTTTGAACGGAGACAAGTTGAAGAAAAAGTCTGTTGATGAGGAGGGAGCGCTGGTGGAAGACGAAGGTCTGCCAATGCGCAAGCTGATAGGTCACTCTGGACCTGTCTATTCCCTGTCGTTCGATCCTCTTCCCTCATCGTCCTCCACCCCGACATCTCTCCTTTCTTCCTCGCAAGACGGGTCCATCCGTCTCTGGTCTCTCGATACCTACTCCAACCTTGTCGTTTACAGAGGACACGGAAGAGATCCCGTCTGGGATGTGGAGTGGGGACCTGGAGGCGTGTACTTTGCGAGTGCGAGTCGGGATAGGACGGCGAGGCTTTGGAGTTCGGACAGGGTTGCGCCTTTGAGGATGTACACTGGTCATTTGTCAGACGTCAACGTGAGTCTATACCATCTTCATTTGAGCTCTACTAACTCTGTCGTAGTGCGTCAAATTCCACCCCAACTCTCTGTACTTGGCAACAGGCTCCACAGATACATCCTGCCGTCTCTGGGACGTCCAACGCGGCGCCTGCGTCCGCCTCTTCCTCGGTCACACCGACTCCATCACCACCCTCGCCATCTCCCCCGACGGCAAAACCCTCGCCTCCTCCGGGCTCGACAAGAGCATCTACCTCTGGGACCTCGGTTCCTCCCGGCCCATCAAAAAGATGACGGGCCACACGGGGCCGATTACGTCCTTGTCGTTCAGCCAGGAGAGCTCGGTGTTGGTGAGCGGGGGGACGGAGGGGGTGGTCAAGTGTTGGGATGTGAAGGGGGCTGGGGGGGAAGGAGGTGGGGTGGGGGGTGGGGAAACGATGTGGAGTGGGGCGGGGGGGAAGGAGGAGCATGGGGCGTTGCCGATGGGAACTGGGGATGCTTGGGATGTGCCGCATACGTGAGTCGTTGCGTACCTTGGGCTGCCGCTTTAGGTTTCTCTTGTCACATCGGCGTACTGACAGTATATCTAGGAGCGACTTGTTGGCAACCTGGCCGACGAAACGAACACCGATACTCAAAGCACACCACACGCCGAGGAATCTGTGCATGGTCGCGGGCAGCTTTGCGCCGCCTAGTAACGCTAGAAGAGCGTAGGCGGCACCCCTCGACATAAGAGCTGAGGTGCAGGGGATGATAGGGTCGCGGCCGGAGATGTAGGCATGGTCGTTCGAGAAGTATACTTGTATGGACATGATTTTGATCCCTTTGCGTCCGTCTGCGAAAGCGGTTCCCAAGCTGGATACGACAAGAGTTACGCTGCATCTGTCAACACGTGAAGAACTGAAAGACACTATGAGTGCCGAAAGAACCAAAAGCCGGGGGGTGGAAGAGGGCGTAAGCGGTTCATCGGGAGATACCAGACAAAGATAGAGAAGAGATGCGGGCAAGATAAGGGAGGAGATTGGGAACGTGGGGGGTGCAAGACCGCCGCTCAGATTACATGACTGTGCTTCATGTCAGCATTCGAATACTCAAAAGTGGGAGCCCCGGGAGGCGAGCCGTGGGGATGAAGGACGTACGCGAACAGCAGTTGCCATTGTCCACGGGGGCGTACGGGTCGTCACCCTTCTCAAGAGGACCCCAGACGGAGGGGATCTGTGATGGATGTCAGTAGATGCTACGGCATAGATGCTGTAGAGTGATACATACGAGGGGGTCCTTGGTCGAGCGACAGTGATTGATAAGGCTGGAAAAAGTTGCAGTTAGCTCCCGCATCTCCATCGTTCAACCTGCTTCCACCAACCGTCTCCTCCTCACCCCCACAATGTCCGCTTTGCATTTGTATGGGGAGAAGACTCACTTCATACTAGCGACACTGACCATCACCCTAGGCCTGGCCAGCTCCTCCCTCAGTCTGTGGTTGTGTTCGAGCAGCCTTCGGAGCTTGAGCTCGTGCATGGTGGCTTTGTTGGTTCTGCTGGACATGTTGGAGGGGGTAAGGAACGTGTGAAAGGAAGAAATAGTAAAGAATAGAAAATGAAAGAGAAGAGTTAAGGGAAGGACAAGCGAAGACTGGGTGATTGGTGTGTGATGGGGATCCATCGTCTGTGCACCAAGGAACAACAACGCAAGTTGCCAGTTGCCACTATCCCTCGTACAATCACTGGCATCTTTGGGGGTAGGGAATCTTATGACGCGCATTATTTACATGCACAGGACGCCTGGCGGAAGATCCACTCTTATTCACGCTGCAAATAGTACTCGAGTACATGATCCTGAGCAGAACGGCGCTTGAGGAGCAGTCTTTTTGTGCGTGTTTTTTTCCATCATCCGTCTGGGGCTGGTGATAACTATTACTCCAGTGTTCGAGGATAATAAAAGATCTGCTACTCTAGGTGACAGTACACATCGACATTAGCGAGTGACTGCGTCGAACATAAAGTAGTACCTTGCAGCAATCGAGCTTGGCTGTCTGTATCAACCTTCATATCTGCCGAACATCATGCCGTCGCCACCTGTCGCAGGAGGAACAGTACTTGAATACATACTGAACCCCCACTCTGAACTCATTTGTAAGGACTCTGTACAGCTCTGAAACGCAACGCTGACGTGTCCTACTATCACTCTTTACAATGATGAGATTTCAAGCCCCTCAGTCGACAAAGGATCTGTTTCATGCTTGATTCAAATGAAGCTGGACGGTATAAGTGCGAAGAGAAGAGTTGCCTTATATGGGAAACGCAGAACACCTGGAAGGGAGACTGGTCTGAACACCAGTTTCTCGACTATGCAAGCTACCTCTGCGAGCTTTGTAAGTCCTATCACGGTAGGTGCCGTTTGGCGAGGATGGACAGAAGCTGACAATCGGGTATCACTGTAACAGGCTATCATGTCCTTATGGATCTTATGGTCTATCACAGTCATCTGCTGGTGAAGGATACCTCGCAGTGGGCGGCGACTCGGGGGTATTATTCGGCAACGTCGAGCTCAGGGATATCGGGATAGTTGCTTCCAGTCATCACATATGTGATCCCTAATGGAGACTATACATCCTGAGTCGCATACAAGTAGTCAAACTATGCAGTGGACCATGTACGTCCGGTGGCCAATCTGGTGAAATTGTGCTGCAGGCGGTCCTCCAGCTTTTCTTTGTGAAACATCGGTCTGCATTGGAATCCCTCCCCTTCACCAAAGTAGCACACAATTGCGCATAGCACTGTACCCAGTCTATTCTCGAGTATCGTGACTGAAGGGGGTGAGAGAGACGTACATCTTGTCCATCGTCACCGACCCATGATCGCCGACGAGGTCATCCAACACCTCTTTCACGCTTTGCTGATCCTCGACCATCATCATCAGCGGGCGCTTACCCTATGGCATCTGATGTGGTCAATTGTACGATGAAGCATTGCAATGTGACAGTGCCCGAACAATCTATGATAGTTACTGTATAGACAGCATATCGAGTAGCTGATCCTCTTCATACTCTTCTATCTCCTCAGTCGGTGCCTCAGGACCGTCAACAACAAGCCACGTTGTTGCCGCGCCGTCCCTGTGTGTTGTCGTCTAGATGTTGTGCTTTTTCCAAGAATTTCATTCTTCTCTCATCTTCTTTCCAGAACCTCCTATGCCCCGCCGAGAATGGACCTCCTCCGCCTGACCCAACGACTTGGTTTTTCTCTGTTAGTACATCTCTTACTACAATGTCTGTAATTGTGTTCTGAGGCATTTCGCCATACCAGTGACACTGGACACTCTGATCGTTTCAGCAGTTCCAACATCGGCGACAGCACTCATTGTTTTGGAGAAGATCGGGCTTGGGATCGCAATCGCAACCGTCTCGTAAGCTCAACATCCTCTTTGCACACCTACCGCCCCCATTGACTGATGACATGTTTCTTTCTCATTTCGCTCCTGGCTGCTTTAGTCATCTCTTGGGGCTGGAGGTCTTTACGCATCCAATACCCATCCCCCGAGATCATGATACTCGCCGATCTCGAGACTCAAAGTATCAGATACAAGAGGATCCTTGCAGCAACATCTAGTGTGCTTTGCGGTCTCGGGATGGTCATCGCCCCCGATGACATGCCTGGTTTGCTGTGTGTCGCGATGAATTCTTGGCGTCGCGTCAGCATGCCCAGTCCATCTGCGATGGCTAAGAATTGGACGGAAGAGAGATATGAAACATTCTCAGCTGTTTCATTGTATCACAGCGAGGAGTCGTCTCTGTGGAGGAATACGGGCGAGTAGCAGCTTTCCTCTATGCATGGTAGTCTTGGAGAGAAGAGAGCCTTCACGGAGTCAAAGTGGTCAGTCGTTCCTCATCGTCATCGAAATGCACTCCATATGCATCCACCTGACTCATGTCCCTCGCGTCATAGGAGTCCGGATACACACAACAGAGAGTCAGGCGCCATGCGGCGACCTAGATATCCATCCATCATACGACATCATGCCCATGCCATGTGCCCAAGATCCCGCATATATATAAACTAGTACATTTCCCATCCTTCCCTCTTCTTCGTCCTATTTACCGCTCGCCGCCGGTACGTTCCCACTGCAGTACCCATCCAAGGCGTAAAGGTTTACGTGGCACCTCCATTGTGGGCCATTCACTTGGAGCGGGGTGTCACAACGGGCATGGTCACGATCCGCGAACGGCGTGCCTTTGTAGAGTTCGCTCGTGCGGCATAGTATGAGTGACGATCTCGTCCGGTATTCCGGTGCTATCTGTGAGTACCATCTGCATTGCCATCGTGGGCCTCTTCTGCTAGCACATGCTGACCACAAAGATCAACCACAAAGATCAACCCCAAAGATCACCAGTCTCAATCCGAGTTGGACCCACCACCACCTTTGGGTATCCACCCCCCGGGTTCGGATGCTTTCTCAGCCTTGATCGTCCGCTATATCGTTTCCAACTTACTTCTTCTTATCTGGCCAGCTTGTCGTTCGACTCACATTGAGGATACGTTTGATTGGTGATAATACGTATGAAGATTACGATGTATCTCGGCTGAGCACCCTCAAAAATTCCAGCTCGTCTTACATCTTCTGTCCTGTCCATTCCTTCGTCAGCCACCACACCCCCGATAAAGTTGAAAGTCACACTGCAAGGTGCATTTTTGTATTTTGTATCTGCTATAGCTGACCCCGAGAATGACGGACCGCGGGTAGCAAGGCTGTCATGATGAGAAACCGGTAGAAAGGTCTATAGTGACATCCCAGCAAGATCCCAAGACCTCCAAGCCACCCCCAGGACCACGGGCGCAAACCTGCATCTCCGTGAGTACTCTATCAAACTTACAGCCTGAATCACCACTAAGCAACGAGTTCCAGCTGTTGATGTTCAAAATCTTCAACCTCGGCCGTTCGGCCGATGCTACCGCCAATACTTCGTCTTCTTCAACGCCTACCGCCCATTCGCTTCTCATCTCCTCCGCTACCTCTTTGGCAGACGCATTTGCCTCGTCCCTTTCTACCTGCAAGGCATATCTCCTTTGCCATCGTCTCTCGATACGACCCCCACGCTGGTCTACACGGCACTCGGCAGGATGTGGGCGAGGATGGTGGAGGAAAGAGCGGGCCCGGGATAATAGTAGTTTGTCTCAGGAGAAGGGCCGCGCGGGTGGCTATGATGCGATTGAGATCAGTGGTCCTTCAAGCAAACATGGACAAGTATATGTATATCGCAATCAGGGAGCTGGGAATTGATTATATGCGGGTATCAAATTGGAGAAGAGTGGCAAGCTACCTAGTGTCTAAGCAAAATTCATAAAAAGTCTTGCACCTCTTGAGGTTGTTGGCGTAAATCGCTGTCGTCCACGCGGAGCTGAACGCCCCTATGGGTCAGAGCGTCTTCCTACATGCAGCCGATTATTCGCTAAGCACCAAGATGCTCTGACATGACACAGGTGATTAGTAGAAGGGCGATACTCAACCACAAGACGAACCTCCATGACTCGCGCGGAACGACGAGCGCACGAGTGGAAACGCGAACGGCGCAGCAGAAGCTTTTGCTTCTTCCATTCATCGCATGTGTGTAATCATTAATGTGACTAATAATGCCTAGAGATTGGCCCTGAAAAGCCTCTCTATTTACACGTTGCAATAGGCCATGGGGCCATGGGACGTGGAGGCCGTGGGAATGTGGTTGTTCAGGGTTGCTCTGTGGCGTGTGTGGGATTCAGGATTCTGATGCAGTTGACCGATTGATTAATCTGACATCCCGCCTACCCCGACCCGACTTGGCTTCCTGTGAAAGCTTATGCATGTATCGGCTTAGTGTATACCGGTAGTCGCCACTGTGTCATCTTTTCAGAGTCGTTCGCGCGCCAGCGGCAAGTGTTATTTTGAATGCGAAGGAGCGCCTCAGGTGTCAGAACCTCGTTGGTGATGCCTCTCCTCGGCTTCGGTCCCGTTGCAGACTGATTGCATCACTGTCAGGACAGTGCCGTTGAATTCCACAAAAACATGAAAAAGAGCAGACATCATTCATCTCCCGATGCGATACATATCATTCAACCCCCAACATCGTGCGTTCCCAAAGCTGTAGTGATGTCTACATTGGCCGGCACCGGTGAGTTTCTGACGCCCTGCAGTAATGCGCACCCTTCCGTGTCACTAAAGTCGTATCTGCATCTAGTATTCAGATTCCCAGTCACTGTTCAACGCCTTCTATTTGTTCTTGATTCGCCACACGCCAATTATCACCTGTGCCAGTCACCAGCTTGCTTTGTCTGGTTCGTTCAAAATCTTTGGAATGGCGACTTTTTCAGGGAGGAGACCTTGTCGATACAGGGAAGATACTCCTGCCCACCCTGTGAGCAGTACATTTGTCATAGCTGCATGGGCTGATGCTGACTCGCTCGGTGTTCTTCAAGGCGACCGGGCGTTGATCACGATAGTAAACACCTGTCCCTACATGCTGTTCTGCGACATGCATTCCTGGCTTGAAACCAAGCATCGGGAAAGGGAACGACGCTACCACCAGCAGCTACAACAACAGTCAAGGTGGCGACGCTAGGAGTTTTACGAGCTCAGCTGGACTTGAAAAGGAAGTCGTCTCGTTTTTCTCAGCATTGTGTGGATTGATTGCGTTGACTTGGATTTGGCAACTATATGACTTGATGAATATCCTTGATGAAAGTTTATAAGCCGAATAATGATTGCCTCAAGCTCATGCATTTTGAATAGGGAAGTGTCGTGTCCTCAACCGACACATGCCATATTCTCCGAACTTTGCCAGAGCGCCAAAGCATGCGCTTCTGCTGTCTTACCCCTCCCCTGACTGTGGTACGTGTACTGTACCATATCGGAGCATACCTGGGTGTCTATATTCTTGTGTTCTACGATAGAGGCAGAGGGGCGGATTTACAGCGTACAAGTACAAAGTAACCGGACCATCGAATGTCTAGTTGACCGGGTTGACCGACGACACACTCTGGTTACACGTTTTCTGACCAGATCCTGCAAGTGCCAGTTCACCCCCAATTCGGATAGAAGGCTCCGGTCTCATTACACTTGTCTGTTGTGATTAATGCGGCAGAAAAGGCGTAAGTCTGCTGTGGCGTTTACTATATGAGTTGACAGCGGCTAGGCTGTTGTTGTGGCTTGTGCGATTGATCAACGATTATGTGGGCGCTGGGGTCACGTTTCCGTTTGGTCCATGAGCGTTCGTGCCTCGTGTATTCGCTCCCGAAAGCTACCTCTTCCATAGTCACAAATGCTTACAGCACTGTACGAGTACCCTACGAAGAAGCCGCACCCTGCGGGCTTCAGACCCCTCACCAAAGACATCATTCACCATCCAAAAGTCGATGTCTACGATCTATCTCTCTGCGACAAGGGACTCCGTCTGTTACATATCATACATCTATATCCTCGTTCAAAAATGTATTGAACGGCCCAATCTAATCTCCCTCTTCTCCACCCTTTCTCCTCCTCATCTTCCTAGCTTCCCTGTGCCTCCTCTTCCAACCCTGCGTCAAAGCCGCCTTCTCTCCTTCCCATAACGCCTTCATAGCTTTCGTATCCTCTCTCGGCTGAGAGAAGAAGCCCAAGATAGGAGGCTCTTCGCCTTCAGGAAGGTCTGGGTGGAGTTGAGAAGGATGGAGTCGGGTGCGATAACCAGAATCCTGAGTTTGACCCCAACCTTGACCTTGCGCATCGCCTCCCTGCCCAAAGCCTCCTTGCGTCTGTCCTCCACGCGCTCCATGTCCTCCTCGTCCCCCGTAGCCTTCCTCTGCTTCCTCCACCTCGGGCTTGGGAAGACCAAAAAACAGCTCGTTGAAACCATTCCTGCTCTCGCCCTTCTTCCTTCCCTTCTCTCGCTCAGCTCCTTCTCTGTCACCAGGCAAAGTGAAGAACAAGGGCGTCTCGCCCGCTGTCTCCAGATCCAGCTTGACCTTGCCGCGACCACCAGCCACCATAGGCAACGGCTGAAGCTCATCCTCACCCTGAGCAGGGCGAGAAGGGCCAGAGATGGAGGGCAGAGGGATGTCAAAGTCGTCATCCAGCTCGACATCTGGTGCGAGGTTGGCGAGAAGTGAGAATCCTGCGCTGTTGGTAGCTGGGGTGGACGACGGGAGACCGAAGAGAGAAGTGGATGTGGTGGCGGGAGCAGGGGCGAACATGGATTTGAGAGTAGAAGGTTGAGCAGGTTGGTCGACGGCGGGGGGCTTGGCAGGTTCATCCGAATCCGACTCTGAATCGTCTGAAGAGTCGTCCGAGTCGGATTCAGAGTCCGAGTCCGAGTCCGAATCCGACGACGATGAATCCGAAGAATCATCACTTGAATCGTCCCCAGAACCAGAGCTGGACCCACTTCCTGATCCACTGCCCGACTCCTCACTAGAATCTTCACTAGACCCCTCGCTTGAATCATCACCGGACTCTTCCTTCTTGTCATCTCCCGCAGGCTTGTCGACATCCATCTTCTCGTCCTCCGAGCTCTCATCGCTCCCGCTTGACGACGATGACGAGCCTTCGGACGAGTCTGACGGCTCGGTCGCCTCTTGAGGTGGGGGAGCAAGATCAGGCTCCTCGACTACTATCTCTTCGTCTTTCTCTACCACCGACTCGGCCGGCACCCCCTTCTTCTCCTTCTTCTTGCCCCGTCCAATCTCCACCTCTCCATCTTCCTCGCTGTCACTCTCCTCTAAGAAACCCCTAAAGCTATCCCTCCCGAGCTTCTCCCTCTCCGGCGACACCTGGAAAGAGTCGAGAAGACCGTCCAAGACAGAAAGAGCCGCGGTTTTCTCTTGCTTTGCTTGATGAACAAGAGGTTTGGGAAGGGAAGACGGCGGGGGAGTTGGTAGACGAGTAGTAGTCGGGACGGTTACTTCGAGCTCAGGCTCGGGGGACGAAGAGATAGGGGTATCAAGCCTCAGAGAAGGAGGACGAGATGATCGTGCCGCTTGGGTAGAAGGCGAAGGGTTGGCAGAGCGGGGAAGGTCGCGAGTGGGGAAAAGAGGGGATGATTCGGCAGAGGATGACTCTTCCGGTTCTACAGATGCTTCGACGGCTCTAGAGGCGAACAAGGGCGAAGACTTGGCTTCGACCTCCTCCTCATCTGCCTCTTCAGCAGGAGGAGCTCGGGAGGTGAAAAGGGGAGATATCTCCCTCTCTTGTTGGTGAGATGGGAACAGGGGAGATGCCTCTCTCTCTTCCCGATGAGAAGGGAACAGAGGCGAGGACTCGCGTCCGGTGGGAAGCTCTCGATGACCGAAGAGAGGGGTGCTGGCGGTGGATCCGACGGCAAAGTCGTCGAGAGCGAGGTCGATACCATAGTCGAAGTCCATACCATCGCTCTCCACCCGTCTCTTCTTGCCTCTGACCACCTCTTCGTCCACAACCTCGGAGTCGACGACCTTTCGCCAAACGCCGATGGGCACTCGGCCGTCCTCGTCCTCTTCTTCTTCCTCATCGGAGAAGCCTTCGAATTCCCATTCACCTTCACCGATAGACGTGGGAAAGGATAGAGGGAAGGTAGAGAGGGAAGAGCCCCATTTGAGAGGATTGATGACTTTTCTGAAAGACCTGGCGGGAGCCATGGCACGTTTCTTGAGGCCGATCTTTTTCCCTGGCACGCCGATAGGTCTATCGGGACGCATACACATAGGCCTGACCACCCGTGTCTCTCCACCATCCTCCACAACAACCCAAAACTTCTTTTTTGTAGCTCTCTGAGCATCGACAAGGTACATGTCTTGCGCCAACTTGCCGACGCCCTCCGCCCTGGCCCTCATCACTCTCTTGCGCTTTTGCTCAATCTTCTTGTCGACGATTTCGGGAGCGGGATTGTTCATAGCGTGGAGGCGTGCGTCGAATTTGGGCTTGGCTTCGGCGATTCGCAAGAGAGCACCGCGCCAGTGGGAACCGGACATGGTATTCAGGCAGCGCTTCAACTGGGCAGGGGTGGTTTGGAGGGTAAGGTAGGTGAACGGACGGGGGTCGCCTATATAGCATTGTATTAGCTATATTTCTTCTGGGTCATGAGCTGTACTGACCAAGAGCATCGGGCTGCAATTCCTCGACATCGCTGACACTCCCAAAGAGGGAGAACCTGTCCCTGAGATGTGCGGCTGTGATTTCCGGTTTGAGGCCGCTGATATGAAGCCTCTTGGTGACTTGATCTTGCGTGGCCATTGCTGGAGTTGGCCGGGTTTATATGGCAATTGTACCGAAAGCAAAAGTTCGAACAGCTCGTAAACATCTCGGACCCAAAATCTCAGAAGTCCCCAAGTCACGTGATTTCGGGTGACCGTCCACTCGTCCATAACAACGTTTGAGCTCTGTTCGTATGCATGATAGTATTCGCATTAGACCTATAGAGACGGTGCAGACTTTCTGGCTGTAGAATCGTAGATGCGCTTGACGTTTACGTGTCCGACGCCCGACCAGAGCCGCAACGCGCCGTGGATATCTATCGGATTCGAGGTGGGTCATTACGGGTACTTCCACGGCGATATCGTTGGGGCTGACCCATGAGCTGTGTAGAAACTATAGAAGTCATACATATTCCCCAACTCTCAATCTCAAAATGGTCCTCACTCGCCGCCAAGCTACTTCTTCCCCTTCGCCCTCCACTTCGCCACCTATCATGTCTGACACTACTTCACTTCTAGGTCAGAGCAGGACCATATCATATGAGGAAAGCCTTAGCATACTTCCTTGGCAGACCGACAACGATTACATACGGCATGGATACCGTCGGCCGATACCGTCTATCCGGGGGTGTTTATGGAGTGCTGTGAGATGTGAGTCTATTCGCGAGTGTCTTTACTGTATAAAGCTCATGGAAGCTTCTAGATATCCACAACGAGACGAGTATGTCCACATCCCCAACGTCAACTTACAAGACTAACCCGGTCCTAGTCAATATTCACTCCCACTCCATCGGCGTAGTATTCTTCGCCGTCCTTCTCCCTCTTCACCTCATTCCCTCGCAATTCCCAACACTTCACCATTTCCCAGTTGATCCTCTGACACCTCCGACGCTACACGACAAAGTAGCCTTGACTGTGTATCTGGTCTGCGCCGTATCGTGTTTGAGTTTGAGTAGTTGGTTTCATACGGTGTCGTGCCATTCCGAGGACGTCTGTGAGGCGGCGCATCGAGGCGATTATGTGAGTCCATTCTCTTGATGACTTGTGCTTCGCTGATGTACGAACAAGATGGGAATCGTCATCCTGATTGTTGGGAGTATCACGCCAGGCATGTATTACGGCTTTTACGACAGCGTGGTGCTGCAGGCCGTTTACATGAGTGAGCTTCTTTTCACCACCCAGCGGTTCATACTGATGATATACAGCTGCTATTGTTGGTGCCGGAATCACCTCGGCCTACGTACGTTGCTAATCCATGGTCTCAATTGATGTCTGCTGACCAGAAATCAGATCGTCCTGTCCCCACATCACCGTGCCCACCGCTGGCACCGAACCCTCACATTCATCGGCCTCGGTCTCTCTGCTGTCGTGCCCATCAGTCACATTCTCATCGCACATGGGTTCAAATACGCTAGGCAGACGATGTGTCTAGACATGATCCTCGCTGGCGGCGCTTGCTACATTGGGGGAGCTTTGTTATAGTACGTTTCTCCCTGAAACCTCTAAATTCTGTCCTAACGTGATTCGTAGTGCCGCGCGTATACCCGAAAAGCTCTCTCCAGGGACATTTGACTACTTTGGCTCTTCTCATCAGATCTTTCACTGCTTTGTTTTGGGCGGTGCTTGGTTTCAGTATGCGGCTTTGAGGGGCATGGTCTGGGGCAGAGGTCTGGCCTTGAGTGGAGGTGCATGAGGAGGGAATGATAACACACTCCAACACGGGCTCAAATTTGCTGATGTATCATTGAATCATATCATATCGGCACCCCGATCTGGTCTTTTGATAGTGACCGTTTGGCTGTGCTTATGTTCTTGCTGGACAACCGACACTCCGATCGATGACATTGCCTCAAATAAAACTTCCTGTATTTTACAGACACCATTCAATACGAGACTCACTGAGCTGGCGTCAGCAAAAGTGCCGATAAGGGGGTATGCACTTTCGGAAGAAATTAAAGAGCGAGGCAGGTTGAGTGACCTTACGTAACCGCCAACCCGGCGGGTCGTAATTACGTTTTTTTTGGTTAATTTGGCCGCCGGCGCTGTCCTCGCTCCTCGCCTTGAGCTGTTCAATTTCACTGCCACTTTTTCTGTCCAGGCATTCCTCATCAGACAGCATATCGTCAGCCATGACAGACACCCAGTACACCTGTAAGTCCCCCTGGGTCATCACTACCACTTGAGCTCACGTCCCATAGTCCGAGCTCAGAAGACCGCCGGTATCGTCGATGCTCCCGCTTGGGACGTCTCTACAAGAATACCAGCGTATGTGGATCCTGTAGTCAGAGAGCATGGCTGACTTGAATATAGTGAAACTGTCGGCTCTAAATGCTATGCTTACTCGCCGAACGGAGAATGGCTCGCCTACGCCTCGACAAACTCGTGCGTGCATAGTGGAGCAAAAAAGTCTAGAAAGCTGATGGTACCCACACAGTGTCGAGCTCATCGCCCCAAGCTCTTCATCCTCAACAGCTACCACTATCGAGCAGCCCAATGTCGTCGCCATCAAGTTCTCTCCCCAGAGCACTTGGATCTTCACTTTTGAGCGACCTGTCAAGACTGAGAGTGGAGAGATGTACAAGAACGGCAAGGCTTGGGATGTAAAGACTGGAGAGCTTGCTGGGAGCTGGTATCACAAGACTTTGGATGACTGGTGAGTTCTGAGGGAACGCAACACCCGAACCAGCTGACATTGTGCAAGGGAACCCATCATCACTGCCGATGAAACTTATCTCTTCCGACCCGGACCCTCCGACCTTGCCATCTTTACCCCTCCCTTCGCGGCCCGGCCCGCCACCCGGCTGAAGCTGGACGGTATCCGTGGCGTCTTTATCTCCAACCCCTCTGCCCTCCCCGAGGGCTCCACAAACGCAAAGCCCATCGCGGCCCATACCGAGCCTGGGGTAGCTATCTGGGTTGGCGAGAAGAAGGGAGCGCCTGCTAGTGTTGGTCTCTGGACGCTTTCTGCCCTTGTTGGCAAGGGTGCGGCCAATGGCGATGGGGAGATCAAGACGGAGACGAGAGACATGCCCACCACCCAGGCCAGGAAGGCGTTCTACAAGGCGGACAAGTTGACGGTCAAGTGGAATAACGCCGGTACTATGGCCCTCTTCCTTGCCCAGTCCGATGTCGATGCTACCGGAAAGTCCTACTATGGCGAGACCAACTTGTATCTTGTCGGTTTGGATGGAGCGTTCGATGGACTGGTGGAGCTTGACAAGGAGGGTCCGATCTACGACTTTGCTTGGAGTCCCCTCTCTCGAGAGTTCTCTGTCGTCTACGGTTGTAGGTCGCGTCGTCAAACTATATTACTGCACGCTGATCATATCATAGACATGCCCGCCAAGACCCAGATGTTTGACCTCAAAGCTCGCCCCGTCTACTCTTTCGGCGAAAATCCCCGTAACTTTGTCGCCTACCAACCCCAAGGCAAGCTCCTCCTCTCTGCCGGTTTCGGTAACCTCGCAGGCGGTGTCGACATCTGGGACGTCTCCACCCGCCGCAAGGTCTCTGAATTCAAAGCCTCCAACGCTTCTCACTGCGAATGGTCTCCCGACGGTCGATACATCCTCACCGCCACTCTGAGTCCCCGACTGAGAGTCGACAACGGCGTCAAAGTATGGTGGTGCGGCGGACAGCTCTTGCACATCCAGTTGACCGACGAGCTCTACCAAGCTTCCTTTTCGCCCCGTCTTTTGAAAGACCTCGGTCCTTTCCCTGCTGTGATCCCTGCTGCGCCCGAGGCCAACCCTAGTGTCGCCCTTCTCAGGCCCAAGGGTGAAGTCGACGGAGCCGCTGCCAAGCCTGCTGGTGCGTACCGACCCCCTGGTGCGCGAAACAGGCCCGAAGGCGCGCCTGCTTCTGCCTCTGCGTCGTCGGCGACACCGATGTTCCGAGGTGGTAAGCCTGCTGGGCGGTACGTCCCCGGTACCGGTCCCCCTGGATCTGCTCCCAAGCAGGTGTCGGGTCAGAATGGGAATGCCAAGAATGATGATAAGAAGAGGCAGAGGAAGAGGGGTGGGAAGGAGAAGGAGGACGAGGCGCCTGCTCCGGCTGCGAAGGAGGAGGTGAAGGAGGAGGCTGGGGAGGATGCTACTGCCAAGAAGGTTAGGAACTTGATCAAGAAAGTGAGTGGCGCTATTTGCCTTTTGCCGTTTACAATCACTGACGATGCGTGATAGCTCAAAGCGATTGAGGAACTCAAGACCAAGCTCGCCGGCGGCGAAGTGCTCGAAAAGACTCAACTCAAGAAGATCGAGTCTGAGGCTCAAGTCAAATCCGAGATCAAGGCCTTGGGCGGCAATGTCTAAAAAGCATCTTGTTATGTTCCAACAGTGTGAAAGAGGTTTGATCGTTAAGGCATGTGGGTGTTGAGCATCATGGGGAAAGTTTGAGGGGGTGTAAGCATGTGGAGAATGTAACTCTAGACGAGTAGAGTATTAAAGGCGCATTTGTTGAGAACAAAATCATTCAAATTTTGTAAGGTGTATACAGACAGTCTCTCCATGCATAGCATTTCCGCAAGCCCATTCAGACGCCAGGAATCGTTCTTATCAGTTGCGAAATCACGAGCGTACAATAAGTGACGTGTCAAAGGGTGGTCAGAAGGAGAAGAAACGTGGCAAGCACGTTCATGCTACGTTGAATGATACGCGTCTAGCTCTCCTCTTCCGCCCCCCCAAGTTTCCGTACGGACGCCCTATCAATCACATTCAGCAATCTACTCACATACATATGGCAGATGGGAGACTACTACGCATGGATAACTATGATGGTGGCGCAGATCGCGATTGAGCCATGGTCGTCTGATCCGTGCTACTGTATCTTCCATTGTGACGGGCGCCACAGTTACCATCCTCCTCCCCTGCCGGGCGGGGGCCGGCACGTCGTCACGTCGTCCATGGTGGGACATCAATCGCCCAGTTTTCTTAATTGTCCTTCTAGCGCATCTTGGCCCACTCTTTTGTTCTTTTCGATGGTTGAGGCTGAGACATAGCTGATTTGTCGATAGATGACGAATCATGAGTCATGTGTTGCTGGAGAAATGAATGTTAGATCTGAAAGCCATGGAGGTGTGGTCAAGAGATGGGGGTTGTGAGATAGTCCAGAGATCCAGAGACTGTCAAGTCGTTCATGGAAGGAAGGCTTCTTTCGGATGTTGACGTTGATTTCGAAGCGCGCGGCTGGTCTAGATGCATACTACTACTGCACTGTACAAACTCGTCTATAAGAGCACTGCAGCTGTAGCCGCTTGTTGATGATCCTGTGCGCTTTTGACGCTAGTGGGTAGCCGTTTGCAAAGGAAGGCCAACGCCAAGTCATAAGGACACCATGAATGGAGAAGGAGGAGGTGTGACGAAAATTTTGAGGGTTGCAAGTGCCTTGTCAAGGGGAGCACCAAGAGACTGTCCCCTGTCTCCTGCTGATGAAATATTATCTCTTGCCAGCTGCCCGAGGAGATGCAGGTGCACGGGCGAAGGTCGGCGATGAAGAAAAGATGTATAGCCTCGGTGATGCTATGGGCCTAAGTACTACTGTAAATTATATTCTTGTCACCCATCATTCATCATTCTTTTCAAGCCAAGGCACTCTTTACAACGGACACATTTCAACACCGTGGGGGACAAGGATGAAAGGACATACACAACGACGAGTCAACCGTAAACAACCGACGACCCGGAACAACAATCTTACGAGAGGGGTTTTTCGAGGTGTGTTGTGTAGGAGACCATGCAAACCAGATGCACCAGATGCATCAGGTGCAAAAACGGCCAGCGGAGCATGTCGCTGAACTTTGTCCAGATGAGGTCCTCTTTGGTGACAAGGATGAACCCATACGAGTGCTGAGCCATACGAACCCCTATTCCGTCTCCCCCGGAAGAGCTTGCTTGGATGCACGGAGAGCAAAATTGAAAGGGTGTAACCATGTCGACCCGCGGCAGTTATTGGCGCTCTTTGCTCGTCCCCCAGGAGTCAGGTTCCCCCATCACGTTCCTCGACATCATGACTCTGTCAAAGTTTGGCTGTTGCCCCCCACCTGTCCATTGTAGACGCATCTCTGCACTTATCTCTTCCAGCTCACGGTGATAGTGACATGGTGTGCACTGCCGCAGAGCCGGATGACGTGAGCTGCTGCAAAAGAATTTGAAGACGACGGCGGTGCCTGCAAATCGGGTGGCCGAGACTTCTTGAGACGTGAAGCCTGGAACGTTTCGGCGTGACTTGCTGTCGTTCAACCCCCTCCTTCCATGTACCACCCCTAAGGGTGCCCCTTACACCTTCTCTTTCCACTCCCTCGCCATTGCATATACTACCATACCGCTCACATGCAAGAGAGCGACAGAGAACAATGGGTAGTATAGGTCCGCCTGTGAGGAACGATCAGCCCCCCACCGTCCGTCGACTGGCAATGATCCGCCCCATGCCCAGGCGTTGCTTATTTGCCGATACCCCTCCGGTCCCTGAGGAGATGGAAGTGGCGGCTGAGCTGAGCTTGGGGCGAGTTTTGGTAGCAGAGGCCAGTCGGCAGCCATCATACATTCTCTTGCACTCTCTTCCTGCATCCTGATACCCCCTGCTTTCCTTTACGCGCAACCCCTGCCTTCCCCTAACCACGCCTCAACCTCCCTGAAGCGGTGCGCGAGTGACAACCGGTGAGTACCCGCATCTCGCTGCAAGAGACCACGCTCATCAGAATTTGCTGTCTCGTGTCTTTTGTACCATGCTTCTCCCAGCGCCCCCCTGCGACTTGCTGTCGCAGTTCACATCTCAGCCTTCCTGTTTCCGCCGAAGGCACGCTTCAAACCTTACCGCGATCGAAACCAGCCCCGGCACAAGCACCGAAACAATTTTCCAGCCTCTTTCAGATCACTTACGATCACCTCCTTTGTGCCCTCCCTTGGGGCTGAGGATTGACTGTGGTTGACTGTACTCGCGACGTGCTCGGATCAAAATTCCTCTCCACACTCTCCCACCCACTCGCCTTTTTCGGAAAGACTTGGAAGGAGGGCGGATGACTGTGGTTGACTGGACTGCCAGACGCATTGAACGTTTCGAGAGCAACTGTCATCTCCAGCACTTTACCCGCTCTCTCTTCCACCTCTCCACACCCCCTCCCACACCCCAAAAGAAGGACAACTCCTTCACCCAAAAGCTTCACGCACCACACCACTCTAGAAAGAAGCCCGAATGAAGATGAACGACGAACACGACCACCCTTCCCTCTGCTGGATGCTCCTAGCCTCTCTAGGTGCATGCTTTGTCAGGTCCGACGACGTAAGTGTACCCCTCGGTTTGTCTTGTTCTATTGCTAATGTCAAGGGTAGCCCGAGCGAGAACCTCTCTTCCCACCTCCTACGACAATCCTCACCCAGCCGTCTGCTCATCCCAGTGCCCGGGCTCGTCCGACGCTCCCAAACCTCCTCTCATTCACAACATCCTCCCGCTCTCGTTCTCGCTCCACCAGCCAGTACCCATCCGTTAACTCTTCTCCCACTCGTACGACGGGCCCCTTGTCAGGCGGCTTTGGCTCCGAGAGAGACGGGACAGTGAGCTCGAGGAAGAGGGAAGATGCTGGTAGGAGGATGGATAGTATATCGAAAGCTTTTGCTGGGTGAGCCTTTCTCCTTCCCTTTGATGAGATGCGACGCTTACGAGTCCTAAAGACGGATGCAGCCCCTCGAGCAATCCCTCCCCTCCACGCCCAGTACAGCCCGCGGCCTCCGCCCACTCTCCTCCACCCTCACCCTCTCTCACCCCTCCGCCCTCTCCCTCTCTCAACAGCACCATCAACCCCCATCCCCCCTCTCCCCACGGCCGACCCACCCCACGAGGTCCCAAACTACATCCGTCCCCAACAACAGACCATCCGCATACGAGCCTTGCCCTTACGGTGCCACGCTACCTCACCGACCTAGCGCGCCAAATCTGGGGAGGAGCATTAGTGAGCCGTGGTACCTTGCCGATTTGGCTGCGACTGTCAAAGTCGACTTTGCCGAGACGCAGATCCCGAAATACGGGCCGCTTATCGTCTATCGTCTGTCTCGTGCGGGGGTGGACCCTTCTTCGTTGCCTCATGGTGACAGGCCTTTCGGGAAGGGAAGGGTGAGGAGCGCGACCACGATGGAGAGGCTCACCTCGCCTTGGGAAGCGTCGAGAGGCAGGGATAGGGAACCGAGCATGTCTACTATGGTCAGAGAACCTTCTTTTGACGGATCCACCCCGTCTCCTACAAAGACGCACCACTCTGGCTCGTCTTTGGGCACCAGGAGCATGAGGGCTGGAGGGGAGCGATCGCTTTCGAAAGATGATTCTCTCAACCTTTCGCTGGAAGGATCTCGTCAGGCATCGCCGTTACCTTCTACGCGAGAGTATCCCGATGGCGAAGGGTACTTTGCCGAGGACGGGGAAGAGGAAGAGGGTGTGGTGAAGAGGGACCTGGGATTGAGCGTCTTGTATCAGAAACAGCAAAAGAGGCGGCCCAAGAGTAAGGGAAAGAAGAGGGTTAGCAGTTAGATCGACTCGATTGGTACCATCTTGCTGGGCATCAGTCCACATCCTTCTCCTCATACACGAAGGGTAGATCTTGACGAACTTGATACGACCCTTTGACGACTGAAACGAGGCGTGAGGAGAAGTGAGAAGGACAAGAATGAACATATTATCTTGTAGTACCCTTGACAATTTCAAGCCAATGCTGAACAGCATTAGACATTCCTTGACGTACAAGTACCACTCCTCACACCCAGTTCTTCATAGCCCTTCCCAGCTCTCTTGTACTTATAGAACAATCGGCATGTCACCTCATGTTTTGTATAGATCATTGTCGATGACGTGGGTATTGCTGCATGTCACGATTGAGAGGGGGACCGCCAAACGTCAGAGAAACGAGGAAGGTTTATTGGGGTGACATTCGTTCAACGACGGCGGGAGGAGCTTGGTAGAGTGTCGTCTTCGTATTGAGTGCCAGGGACGTAATCCCTCCCCGGCTGTTTCGAGTCAGCACCTCATCCACCATCAAGTTAAAAGGTAAAGAAGGCGAAAGACGTACCTTCCTATCCTGCGTTTGACTATCTTCTTCCTCCTCGCTCTCGGCCTCATCCTCATCCTCATCCTCCTCATCTTCATCATCTCCCTGCGTCTGCCTTCCTCTCTTCCTTTTCTTCACACCACCACTGAACGAATCCTCCATAGTCGAGACGCCTTGTTCGCCGATAGGTTTCGGCGGGTATTGGCGGAAAGACGCAGAGCAAGGGGCATGCTGGCATTTGGGGTTAGGCATGGCATTGAGGGCGGCATGGCAGTATGTGTGATAGTGTGCAGAGCACTCTTCTTTCGAACAAGCAACTCCCTGACATGCAAGTCAGTTTGGGGGACCAAAAGGACAGGTAAGTGAGAAGGCTCACTTCGAATACGATACGTTTACAGCGGAGACAGCTGTGAACGTAGTCTGGGAACTCTGATTTTAGGTATGTTTCCAGCTCGACGATCGCTCGCATGCTCAGAGAGTACCTTCCTCGTCTACTTTGCATCAGCTCTTCGTCCTTTTTTCCACCCCAGGGCAAGGCCAAAGACTCACTTGGACCGACTGATCCACCCCCTGGATACCAAACTCTCCAACAATTTTGCAGCCCACGACTGGGGTGGCTTCGTCGTACCATCCAGATCCTTCACAAGCGACCGAGCCTGACCGTTGGCGAGCGAGTTGGCAGGGTAGGAGATCATGATGGCCTCGACGAGTTTACGGTAGAAATCGACTTCCTGTTGGTTCAGGTCGGTAGCGAGTTTGGCCACTTCTGTAGCGTCGATATTGCGCTGGATTACAGATCAGCCGGAGGTACAAGTGAAGGGACGGTGAATTGGGGGACGAACCAGGATGTAGGAGGTGTCACCGGTGCGTTGATCTCGTGCTTGGGCAATCTCCATACTAGCGACATGCAGAATGTCTGAAAGGTCCATTGCCATCTCCGCGACGCCCGGTGCATTGAGAGCGTAAGGCCCCCTGAATCTCGGGTCATCTTCTGAAGTAAAAGTCAGCTTTTCGATATCTCTTTGCGACGCGTGGATTTACCCCTGACAGCGGCTATGGCGCGCTTGTATAGCTCCACGAGGGTCTTTTCCTTTATGACGCGGCGAGCGAGGAAGGTCTGGATGAGTACCCTGTGAAGGTCGGTGGCTTCGGTCATGATTTGGGTCCAGGAAGCTCTTTGGGTGGATGAAAAAGACGCGTCGAAGAGAACATGACTGCCAGGGAAAAGCGCGCGTCTCAAAGAAGGATGTTGCTTACGTAATGTGTCATTGTTTTGACATGAAGATTATTTTGGCTCTAAATCTTCAACTTTTGTTCAACTTGTACAACTAATCGACACAATGGCGAGGATTGGAAACAAGAAAGTCAAGTCCAAGGCCACGGCTGGGGCATCAACAACTGAAGTAAAAGTCCCCACGAAGGGACAATACATCCCCTCAAAATCGCTCTCATGGAAGCCCGTCAAAACTTCTGCCTTCTCTGGTATGGACGCCGGTGGAGGTATGATGATGCTGGAGGAACTTGAAGATGTTGGAATTGAATGGGAAGAGGCGCAGGGTGGGCAAAAGCTTGCCAAGTTCATTGTGAGTTGCTCAACGAGGATATGTAGCAGAGCTGATTATTCTATAGGAGGTAGAAGGGAAGAAGAAGAAGGGCAAGAAGGCCGAAGTGGAAGAGCCTGAAGAGGACGTCGTGTTCGATGAAGATTTTGAAGAGGAGGCTTCCGGCGATGAACAAGAGGCTGGCGAAGAAGACGCTGCTTCCAACGCCTCTGAAGAGTTCCCAGACTTTGCTGGGTTTGACGCCGAAGACCTCAACGAAGCTGACGACGAAGAGCACGAAGAACTCGAGTCTGTTCCCGATTTCAACGGTACGTCTCCCACATATCATATCACTTCAACTGACGTAGAGTAGATGACCTTCTCCCCGAATGGTCCTCTGTACCCCTCCACCCCACTCTCAAACGCGCCTTCCTTGCAACCTCCTTCACCACCCCAACAACTATCCAATCTCGCGCCCTTCCCGCCGCGCTCACCGGTCGAGATGTCATCGGCGTCGCCGAGACCGGTTCCGGTAAAACCCTCGCCTACTCCCTCCCCATGCTGGATTACTTGTTGAGGAGGGCGAAGCCTGTCAAGGGCAAGAAGAGGGCTTTGAAGGGGTTGGTGCTCTGCCCTACTAGGGAGTTGGCTCTACAGGTGGTGGAGCACTTGGAAGCTTTGCTGAAGCATACTGTCGAGGAGGAGGATGAGGTGGAGAAGAAGAAGGGAGAAGGGAAAGAGCCGCCGAGGATCAGTGTTGGGAGTGTTGTCGGTGGTCTTAGTGCGCACAAGCAGACCAGGATCTTGAACCGAGGGTGTGACATTCTCGTGGCTACTCCTGGTCGTCTGTGGGATCTCATGAAAGGTGTACGTGTCAGAACGATTTAGGGAGCTTCATCTGACAGATTGTAGGACGACGAGCTCGCCACTTCCATCCGGACTCTGCGCTTTTTGGTCATCGATGAAGCGGACAGGATGATCGAGAATGGTCATTTCCAGGAGCTCGAGTCTATCGTCCGGCTCACTCAGCGTTCTGGCGGGTAGGTTTAGTTCTCCATTTCTTCCTGACTGGTAGACTGACTATTGTCTAGCGAGGCCGGGCCCGACGACGACGACCCAGTCTTCCAATCCCTCTCCACCATCTTCGAAGCCTCCTCCGCGCTGCCCGACATGCAGACCTTCATCTTCTCCGCCACCCTCAGCAAAGACTTGCAGATCAACCTCAAGAAGAGGGGAAGCTGGAAGAAGAATGGAAAGAAGAAGAGGAGCTCGACTTTGGAAGATTTGGTGGAGAAGCTCGATTTCAGAGATGAGACGCCGGAGATTATTGACCTGAGTCCGGAGGGTGGTGTTGTGGCGACTCTGAGGGAGAGTATGATTGAGTGTACCAAGGACGACAAGGTGAGCAACATTCTTGTGACTTTGGACTCTTCTGACGCTACGTAGGACCTCTACCTTTACTACTTCCTCCTCCGTTTCCCAGGCCGCTCCCTCATCTTTGTCAACTCAATCGACGCCATCCGCCGTCTTCTCCCTCTCCTCAACCTCCTCCAACTCCCCATCTTCCCCCTTCACTCCCAGCTCCAACAGAAGCAACGTCTCAAGAACCTCGAACGGTTCAAGTCCAACGCCAACGGTGTGCTGATCGCCACCGACGTTGCTTCGCGAGGTCTCGATATCCCCCAAGTCGACCATGTCGTCCATTTCAACCTTCCCAGGACGGCGGACGCCTATATCCATCGTTCTGGTCGTACAGCCCGAGCCAAGACGGAAGGTTTCGCACTCCTCCTCGTCTCCGCCGACGAGAAACCAACTCAGCGCGCTTTGAACCGTTCCCTCAACAGGACACACGAGCTGCCAGAGCTCCCTGTCGAAGCGGGATTCCTCCCGCCTCTTCGGGCGCGCTTAAAGCTGGCGAACGATATCGAAAAAGCTATCCACCGCGCTCAAAAGAGGACGCACGAGAAGAACTGGCTATTGGATGCGGCGGAGGCGATGGACCTCGATATCGACCCTACGATGTTGAGCGATGGGGAAGATGACCCCGATGCGCCGTATCACAAGGCGAAGAAGATGGACAAGGCGAAGGGAAAGACGAATCTGGATGGCAAGGTGGATGGATTGAAGATGGAGTTGAAGGATTTGTTGAGGGAGAAGCTTGTGGCGAGGGGTGTTTCGACGAGGTACCCGACAAGTGGTAGCAAGGTCATCGTGGATGATCTTATCAAGTCTACTGGTGAGTCTTTGTTATGGTCTGTTGGCACTAGGATGCTGATGGAGCGACAGGTCATGGTATGCTGTTGGGCGCGAGCACGAGTAAAGCGTACGACGAAGCAGAGTCCACAGGGAAGAGAAAGAAGATTGGCGGTGGGGCGCGACCGCTCAAGAAGAAGGTCAAGACATGAACATCTCGCATCTTTGGTCAGTGTGTATGTATGGAGTATCCAATTGGATGCCCTTTGCAGTGTAATGTCGACATCCTGTTTCAACTGCATTCCACCCTGTTAAGAAGCTTCCACCATAGCGGATTGATGCGAGATCTTGGTGGCTGCGGAACACACACCTGCGATCAAAGGACGCCTTGTGACTTTTACGTTCGGCGGCGAAACTTACCTGGTCTATCTAACGCGTATAAGCACTTTTTATGCGCTCTGTCCTGTCTACGAGTGCTGTACTCCTGCAGCACACCCCACTTCACTTTCCGACTGCTACCACCAGCGTACCCAATGGCTACCAAAGTCGACCCCCATCCTGATGATCCGTCTCCCCCTCCCGGTTACTACGACGCAGTAACCACAAATGCTGCGCCTCCCGAGAACCAAACACCCCATAACCGCCCTTACATATCCCCCAAATGACAGATGCCCCAATGCCCTTCAATTCGTCCTAGACACCTGCGACAGACGTATCGCAGCGCGCTACGAACCCTGTCCGAACAGCAACGGGGATAGAACCCCGCTATCGAGTATTCTGTCTACAACAGTGTTCAAAACACTGAGCCGAAAAGAAGGCTGTTCTTCACAGTCTTCGGGAACGGTGCACCTACGTTCAGCTCTTCTGGTTTCGCAAGCCAGACGGGGGGGGCAGTTGATGGAGCAGATTTGGGATCCTAAGTACTCTACTGTACCTTATGGGAGATATGTCGAGGTACGTTTTGGTGGCGGTGATACTGCGTAAGGAGACGGAAAGCTGATGAGCTTCTAGGTGAATCGTGATGCTGTTTGTAATGCCTGGCTCATGACGTTGGACACGGTGTATTCCTTGCAATGGTTTAGCAAACTGGGCGCTCATGATATCAAACAGTTCTGGCTTACCACCCAACCAGAGACCCACCTCCAACCCGGCAAGCGCTACAGCAACCTGCCTTCAGCATGGATCGTACTCGCAGCCTACTTCTCAGACCCTGCTGTGACACGATGGTGGTACAAGTTCTTCTCTCTGATCACTGATCATCAAGATCACCAGGGAAAGCAGTCTGTTTGGGATGATATGCCTTCGGGGATATACCGTTTGCGTTCAAGTTTCAGCCGAACGTGTTTGATCGTAAATAGGAGGCGGGGCCTTGCCGTCGAGATAGTGGGTTGAAGGGAGAAGGGGCCGTATGGCATGGGAGTCTACGTGGTATCGTCGGAGTTTCGTGAAGAGGTAGCGATCGGGCGGGTGGTTGTGCAGGATGGGCGGCCTTTACTTTGTAGAGATTGATAGGTACCAAGATGAGATGCTCGATTATGGATCAGTTCGACTTGAAGGCAGAAATATACCCAATCCATACTCCTCTCTACCCTCTAAGTTCTAAGCGTCACCTCGCCATCTCTCCAGGACCTATCATACACTCACGCCCCTCTGGCCCCTTACTGCTTCTTGAGACCCCCGGGAGGACCAGTGTTCTGTTTCCTCTTTTCCTGCTTGGCGTCGAAAGCGGACAATTCACCCTTGGCTTCCGCCTCGGCACGGGCTTTGGCTTTGAGCTGGATAGATCCGGCGCGTCGTTGATGTGGGCGAGATATCGGAGTGATGGGACGGCAGGATAGGGGGCAGGGGGAAAGTGGGAGCGTAAGGGTCAGTAAGGAGTCAAGGGGCTTTGGCGGCGGTGGGACGTACAGCTTGCCTAAAGAATCGTCAGCTCAGCACTCAAAAATATCTATTGGGAACTCACTTCTCAGCTACAGCCTTCGCATCCCTATCAATACCACATCAGTAACACACCACATTGCCCATCAAAGAGTGCAGTGGACATACGCTTCTCGCCTAGCCTGAGGGTTACCAGTCTGTTTCTTTCCAGAGTCGCCCCTACAACCCACGCCTCAGCTCATTCCCCTCAAAACAGATGAAGACAGAATGGAATTGGGAGCGTACAGCTTCTTGAGAGCTTTGGCTCGGTCACTTTCGCGCTGATTGCCACCTGTTCGAGATACAGAAAGTTAGTTTTATTTGGTTCGTGCGCGATAATCATAGGGGGCGCGGGGTTGGGGATGGAGGTGGGGGTGGGACGTACGGGTCATCTTGAGTGGTTTGAGGGGGGAAGAATGGTGAGTACAGGAAGAAGGGGAAGGGGAGGGAAGGATACGAATCGGCTGCGAGGTCAAAGGAGAAACAGCAAAATGCGGCGCGCTTTTTTTTGGTATGCAGCTTCGGAGTGGAGGGAGGAGGGGCGCGGGGCTTGGTGACCATGAGAAACCTTTCTGTGTATGCATCGTCGCTTCCCTGCTCTCTTCTCTCTGAGTACACAGATGCCCCATAAGACTGACCAGCTGGAAACTTTGAGCTGCATGCATCCTCCTTCCCTCAGATGCCTCAGTCAGTCAGCAGGGTGAATTTGATCCCGCTACGAGACAACGTTACCAAAGTGGGCCCCACGGCCCACCTCCACTTGACCTCCACGCATCTCCCCCATCTCCACCGCCCGCCGCAGATTACCGTTTTGTTATGGTCAGCGAACCTCAAATTGACCCAATTCTTGCTGCTCATGGGACGATACCGGAACTGCAACTTGGGGAGGGCGTATCGGGTGCAAGGAAGGGGAGGCCGAAGAAAAGTGAAGGGGTGAACAAGGGCAAGCGGGCGGCTGCCTCGAGAGCAGGGGACAGGGTGACGAGAAGCAGGGCTGCTGTTGCTCAAGAAGATGAAGCTGGCTCAAGTGTATGTTTCATTCTTGTTCTACAGAAAGATTTACTGACCAACCCGCTCTAGAAGAAGCGGCAACGCACCAAAGCGCCAGTCAATATCCCTGGGCAACCCAACGGCGAAGCCGTATCATCAACGATGAACAGGACAGGAAGTTCTTCCTACTCGGGTATCGAAAGTGCACCTCAATTGGCTCATGTTGCACCTCTGGTCAGCGGTGCCAGGGCTATGGAACAGCTCGCCTCCGCCGCTATCGCCCAAGAACCTGTCTCTCAAGTCTATCATCTCTTCATCCTCTTATATATCTTAGGCTGACATATGATGCAGTCAAATATCGAAACGGCCTACACTCCTCAAATATCTCCATCTCTACAACCTTACCCTATCGGCCGCACACCCTTCCGCTACCCATGCCATCATCCCGACCTCCCGCCGCCTTTGCCTGGTGATCCGAATGCCGTCGGGTTCAGGCGGTTCGACCCTTCTTTGGACTATGACTCTGACGACTCGAGTGTCAGTAGTCAAAGCAATCAGAGGGTGGCAGGCAATGTTGGTCAAGGTCAAGGAAGAGACGAGCAGATATATCCAGCTATAGGCCCATCCCGCCAGAATTTGCTCCCAACTCCATCCCAAACACCCACTTTCCCACCTGATCACTCTACTCAGCAAGTTATCGCGAATATGGGGCACCATCTCCCTTCTCATATCCCGGTCCAGGCCGTTGACCCTGGACGAGGGCAAGGGCAGGGCCAGTGGCAGCTCGCAGCGCAACATCAACAGTCCTTCTGGCAAGAGGAAGTTGAGGCGAATGCGAATGCGGCTTTTGAGTCGATTTCGGCTTTGTTGAGTGCGTCGGAGTATCCTGGGGAGATGCATGGTCAGGGGTAACAAGAGGGTGAGGGTATGGATGGTGGGAAGGGGACGGGAGTAGATCGGTAGATGAGGGGTATATTGCTGGCTTTGTGGAGCCAGGGTGTACTGGCGGGTGGAGGGGATCTTTGTACTGTATCTTTCCGGTATGTCTAGCTGTATCATATTGCGCACGATCTACCAACAGAAATTGTAACATAAGACCTTGGGCATGACATGTACACATCTTCTCGAAGCGGGCACACCCAACAAGGCTACCTGTGCCAGATTAAGTGGGGGGAATCAGGGTGAATGCATGTATCCAATTCATCCAACTTGCTACACTTTCAGAGCATGTACAGCTGTACAGATCTGCATCTGAACCGACCCGATGGATGCAAGCAAGACACATCAATTGCGGTACTCACCAAACCTAAATCCAACACGGTGTCCGCCACCAGCTTGAGTTTCCCGGAACGTGTCTTTCCTGATTCCTCCACTTTCGTCCCTTCTCATCTTGAATCGTCGCGTCAATAACATCCCTTCCCATCTTCTTCCACTTTTGCCCCCGATTGAGCGCATAGCAAGTCCGTCCTCGCCTCGCCAGTTTCGATACGCTTCAAGAGGCTCTTCCCGACTCTCGCTGTCTTCGCAGGCGCGCCCGAATAACCTCACAGTCCTACACACTCCGCCTATCCGTTCGCCATGTACGTCCTCTCCTACAGCCTTCGATTTTGATATCCCTCCTCCACCCACCCGCCTATGTCTTCCCCATTTATGCCTCGCCCGGTCGAATTAGCAAGAGCGGAGGGAAGGTGGAGCTCCCTCGATGGGCAGGCTGGGCGGACAGATGTGATCATGTCAGGATGGAAAGCTGATTGTTTATGATTGCAGGAACTATGTCCAACTTGAGAAGCTGGGTGAAGGTACCTATGCTACCGTTTACAAGGTACGTAACATCCATCTGTCTTGCTCCCCTTCCATCGTAAATTATGGCTCTGCTGTCCCGCCTATAATCATTGCTCTGTCTGGATCCCATGCTTTCACAGGCCAGATCGCATGCCTTGAGTTGACGCTGATGATGGATGTTTGTTCTGTAGGGACGTTCTCGAACGACCTCCGAGATTGTGGCGCTGAAAGAGATTCATTTGGATGCGGAAGAAGGTACCCCGAGTACAGCTATTCGAGAGATCAGTCTCATGAAGGGTGCGTCTTTGTTCTTCTTCTGCTGCTGAGGACCAATCTCTAACTGATCTGTCTTCTCTTGATTCATCCTTCAATTCAATTCGACCAACATACCTTCCCTTCCATCACCAGAGCTCAAGCACGTCAATATCGTCCGCCTCCACGATGTGGTCCACACCGAATCCAAGCTCATCCTCATCTTCGAGTTTTGCGAACAAGATCTCAAAAAGTATATGGATGTTCACGGAGATAGGGGAGCGTTGGATTTGAATACTGTGAAGAGCTTTACGCATCAACTGCTGCAGGTATGTTCTCATCCTGTTTGAGAGCGGATTCTCAGTGATGTCTGTGAACCGCGCTGATGAGATGAACAGGGTATAGCATTCTGCCACGACCATCGTGTCCTGCACCGAGACCTCAAACCCCAGAACTTGCTCATCAACAGGCGTGGGGAGCTCAAGATTGGTGATTTCGGTCTTGCGCGGGCATTTGGTGTGCCGGTGAACACTTTCAGTAATGAGGTACATCATCTCCCACCAAGAGCAAATATGGGGTATAGAGACTGATGGTTCTGGACAGGTGGTGACGCTCTGGTACAGAGCACCGGATGTGTTGCTCGGGTCGAGGACGTATAGTACGAGTATCGACATTTGGAGTGTTGGTTGCATGTGCGTATCATGCTCTTGTTGTGATCCGTGGTGCCCAAGCTGATGTATGTTCAGCTTTGCGGAGATGATCACTGGCTACCCGCTCTTCCGAGGACGAGACAACGCGGACCAGCTGGTACAGATCATGAAGATTGTGGGAACGCCTAGTGAAGCTACGATTGCCCAGATCAAGTTGAACTCTGTAAGTCTCTCGAATCACTGGAAGGCTACAGGAGCTGACCAACGCCACAGCCCGAGATCCAGATCAAAGCACCTCTCGCCAAACACCCCAAACAACCTTTCCACGCCATCGTCCCCCGCGCCCCCCGCGACGCCATCAACCTCCTCGAACACCTCCTTCAATTCGAGCCCTCCCGCCGATACGACGCTCACACCGCCATGCAGCACCCCTACTTTACCTCTGGCCCCATCGCGCCGCCCACTTTGTACGATGCGGGTGCGTCGGCGTTGTCGAGGGCGGGCGGGAGTGCGGGGGTGGGGGCGAATGGGCAGGGGATGAGTGCGAGTAGTTTGGCGTTGCCGCCGAGTGTGGCGGCGAGGGCGAATCAGGCCAGTGCGGCCGTGCAGGCTCAGCAGGCTGCTCAGGCGCAGGCGCAGGCGCAACAACAGCAGGCTCAGCAGCAGCAGTACAATATGATGATGGCTGAACAGGCTGCTATGCAGGGGTACTATGGTGCGTAGATTTCCTCTTGTTGGTGGTTTCACTTGGCTGACAGAAAAGTAGACCCCCAACAGGTGCAAGCCCATCACCACGCCCAAGCCCAAGCTCAAGCTCAGGCTCAGGCGCAAGCACAAGCTCAACACGCGGCGCAGATGCAGCAGATGCAACAGGGGTACTACATGGGTAACGGCGGTAGGCAGGGGCACTAGAGTGGAAGGGGAATGAGAAGGGACTGGGAGGAGAGTTTAGTGTTTCTGCTATGAACTAGTGTTGGTGTTGTGTTTATACTTTCAACCTCTACGTAAACGGTGTCTTTGAACTCGCAATATTAGTCTCGCAATCGTGAGGGACGTTCGTCTGTACAATCGACCTAGGGCATCTGAGGTTGGCGTCATCATCCCCACAGGTCAAGGCTCAGTTGATAAGCCCGATATCATCATCCAAGGGGTGACTGGCTCTATCCGTCGTATTTCGGAAGCGCATGGCGCCTACCTCCCAATGCGCTATGTCTTGATTCTTCCCAATGGGCAGTTCGGTTGGTCCGACGGTATTCCCTACGGCCCTCTTCACAACTATCTGAACGCTCTTCGCCCCCTCAGTGAGCTGCTCTTGCCTATCGTTAACCATGTCTTTCTGTTGCTAACCATCTTCTTAGCACCTCAACAAGGGAAAGATTGCATGTCTCCTAGGGATTGGCACTCCTTCCACCTACATGTCCGCGCTGGCCACTACCCAACTCTTCACCGCTCTGGTCTACTTTTCCAAACATGGGCTGTGGATGCAGGAGCTGTGATCGAGAACTAGATTATCTGCGTAATCACCAGATTGAGATTCGTGGTGAAACTCGGGATGCTCTGCAAAGGGGGTTGGAGGACGGTCTGGCACCTAACAACATGACCTTGGTGCGATATTTCCGACTCGGCCCCTCAAACGTTGAGGGAATTAG